ATTCCTGGTTGACAATCATTTTTCTTCAGAATCTTGGAGGCGTGGCCCCCGCAGCACCACTATTGAGAAACCTGCAGCCATACCACTTTCTGTTTCCCTGTGACCTGTGTTTTCTCCCTGGGAGCTCGTAGACTCTTATCTGTCCCTGCTGTTCTGCGGTTTCACAAGACGGACACGGGGCTGGGTGCGTTTTCCTCCACGGGGCTGGCACTTTCGCTCTGGAAACTCCTGTCTTTCAGGCCTGGGAAATTTCCTCCTTTGCCTTCCCTTTGTTCCTTCTTCCCTGTTAGAGTCTAGGGTGGTTGGCCTCCCGGGCCCTAATATTCTTACAGTTTCTGGCTTCCTATCTGTTCATGTGTTTCAGGTCTCCTGAGCGAGTTCTTCAATGTGACGTTTCAGCCTTTCTGCTGAGTTTTTTCTTCCTAGCCTGCTTTCAATATCTAAGTTCTTTTTAAAATCATCTGAATATTTCTTACTTTAAACAAAACAAAACAAAACCGTACTCCCTTCTCATTCACGGATGAATTGTCGATGAAGGTAGAGACAACCATTTAAAAAAAAAGTGTCCTTCTTCCTGCCCTTTGTTTTCCTTAAATTTGCTTATTTTGTGTGTTTTCCATTCTAGAAGTTTTTTGCTCATATCCATTAATCCATGGTTGTCTGGTGCCGATCAGAGGTGGGAAACTAAGGGCCAATGGGAAGTTCTGAAGGAGCTGGAAGGCTTCCTGAAGGTTCTTCCCACACTGCTCTGTCCCCGAGTAGAGCCCTTCACTCTGCACCCCCCTGTTCCAGAGAAAACTGCCAGCCAAAGCCAAGAAGGCGGGGCTTAGAGAGGTTCAAGGGTCAGCCTAGGCTACAAACCCCCTCTGGTTCACCCTCTCCAGAGAGAGACCTGCAGGCTTTGGAGGGAAAGATGGCGGCCACTTTGCCTCGTACAGTAGAGGAAGCCATGTAGACTGCCTGCTACTGCTGCCAAGCTTTCAGCCTTCCTTCCTCACCCCACCCTCCTCCTTCACCCCCAGTTCCACAGGTGCCTGGAGCGGCAGGTCCCTGGCCCTTTGGGAACTCCCTGCTGTAGATCTGCTGTTGATCAGCTTTTCCCACAGCTCGTCTCGGTGGCTAAATCCGTTTCAATCTGTCCTGTCCACTCTCTCCAGCTTCTAATATCTCTCTTCTTCCTCTTCTTTTTTTTAAAACATCGATGCGTGAAAGATACATCGATTGGTTACCTCTTGCAAGCCCCCAAGTGGGGACCTGCCCTGCATCCCAGACATCTGCCCTGACTGGGAATTGAACCTGCAACCTTTTGGTTCGCAGGCCAGCACTCAGTCCACTGAGGCACACCAGCCATGATTCGTCTTCTTTTCTATATTTTCTGTTCTAGGATTATGGGGCCTTTTTAAAAAAATCCCTTTTCTGAAATTCTACCGGAGCTTTGGGTTGAAGTGAGATTAGATACTTGCATGTAATTCCCTCATGTTAACCTGGAAATGATACTATATGTTCATTTGCCTACTAAGCATCTCTCCCACTAGAATGTAGGTTTCCTGATGGCAGGGATCTGTTTTGTTCAGTTCATGCTTCCAACCCCTGGCCAGGGACTGGAACAGAATACACGACTGACACAAATGAGGGACCTAAGTAGGATACATGGTTGTATAAACAAAAGGCGCTTGAGAAATAACTATGTATCACATTGAGAAATACATATGGTCTAATGTTTACTTATTTAGTTGTAATTTTAACTTTTTGGACCATTTGTTGGCATGGAGAACATTACAAATAGATGCTCAAAGCCAGACTTGGACAAGTTTTAATTGAACTCAGTTTTAAATTAAAGCTGATGTCCATACATGGATTGCACATTAATTTTATTTTATAGTAACAATCCAATCTCTTACATGGTGGACTTTCACTTTATCAATCTAGAGAAACAATGATCTGAATGTGGTCGTGTCACACGTTGGCTCAAAAACTCATGTCCTGTCTGAACACAGTCCATGCCCAAGGCAGCCTGTAACTCAGCCGGAGGCAGCCTGTAACTCAGCCGGGAGGCAGCCTGTAACTCAGCCGGGATTACCTCCAGATTCTATGCCTGGAGCACGCCCCTGCCTGGCTCCCTGAGTATCACCTGGGGATGGTCCTCAGCCTCTAACTTCTGGGACTTTGTTCTCTGTGGAAAACGCTTTTCTTCTTACTCCATCGAGACCCACCAGAAATCCCACCCAAACTCACCTTTCAACTCTCTTCTGTCTGAGGAAACCCCTTTTATCAGCCCAAATACAGTTTTTTGCTTCTTGATGTTACCGGACAGGGCACCTGGCCCTGAGCGGGTCTGCCCAGGGCCAGCCGGTAGTGTGTGGGTTCTGGGCTTCACACAGGAAAATTCCCACAACATGAGTCCAGGTGACCGTGGGCATACATTTATTAAAGCTTGGGACAGTGAAAGAAGGCAGGGCTTAGCATAGAAGAAGCAGCAGGAGACACCTAGGCTGGGCTGCTGTTGGCTCACTGGGAAGCTGGAGAAAAGGGGGCCTCAGAGACAGGCTCGGGGGGTTAGCATGAGATGAGCTGCGGCTGCCCGCTGCTCCCCTGGTTGCGAGCATTGTGAGATCCCTTAGAACTTAGGAGATGTGTGCCTGGTGGGGTGGGAGGTGGGGAGAAGTGGGGAAGAAGAGGGGGATGAGGCTTTTATCTCTCTCTTGCAGGAGGGAATCTCAGGGGGGGTGTTTCAGCAGAATATTCGTCAGCGTTCCACGTGTGCTCTTTCGGGGTCATGGTCTTTACTGACTGGTTGGTGCCAGGGGGTCATCAGTCATTGCAGCTGGTCCTGGCCTAACCCACCGGGGTTTGCTGCTTTTCTGGGCCTAGAGCTAAAATATAACTGAGGCCTACATGTCATCTCCAGGGAGGTGACCTTCTGCATCTGGCAGTAAATTGCTCAGCCAGGGCGCTCAGCTATCTCTCAGTTTCCCTTTGCACTTGTCCCGTCTCGCTGACGAGCACCGTGTTTGTACCTCACTTACAGCACTGAGCGCCATGGGCCTGGCGTCCTGGCAAACATGTTCCCGTCCGGGTCATTTGCTCTCCGGCCATGATGCACAGGCAGCACTCAAATGTCTGCGCATTTGAATTAAACGATTGGCCTGAGTCCCCACCCTTTCATTCGCTCCTGTCCTAAAGACATGAGGGCAATCCTACATAGCAATTAAGGTTTGTCATAGATTTGCTGGAAATTTTAATCAGCAAAGGGGACACCATTGCTTTTGAAATTTCAACTCCTTCTCAAGGGAGCTCTTTATGAACAGAGCACAAAAATGCCCCTTGCCCAGGCAACATGCTCATTGTGAAATAATTGCAAGACAAACATGCTTTAAAAAAGCTTGTGTAGGAAAGCTCTGATTTAAAACAAAAACAAAAACAAAAAACTGTTACAATACTGAGTAACAGAGTGAGTTATAGAAAGACAAGGCCCAAAAGATGAAAATATCTGAAATCAACTCCCTGGAGGGTCCATTTTCACAGTGGGTGGAGGGGAATGCAAACTTTGCAAGGGCAGCACAATGTACGAAAACGCTAAAAACATCCTCCCCTATTAACTCAGGAACTCCATTTTGGGGAACTTAGTCTAAAGAAATAAATCTCTTAAAGATGCTTGCACATGCTCATCCCAGCATTGTCTATCAAATAGGGGCAACTCAAGTATTCCATAACGGGAACAGTTAGATGAAGGCACATACACATAATAGAATGAATAGTTAGCAGCCATTAAAGATGTTCTAACGATGATTCAGTATGACTTCACAATTTTGTTTAAAACATGCTCATTATGTATAGAAAATGACTGAGCAGAAATACACCAAAATATTGGCACTTTCATGGTCTGCTAACAGAACATTATCTCCAGACTTTGTACAAAGTGACAAAACTCCCGAGATGTTCTGAATTAAGTTAAAAAGGACTGGCGAATGAAAGGCAGAGAATAGTTAGCCTGTTAGTAGCTGGGGCCAGCTAACAAGGCTACGCACATTCCTGAGTGCAGGTTGGAACTTTGTACTTCCACAGGGCTATTTCCGACATTATTTAAAAGTGAGGCTAGTCAGGAGCCATCAAACCCCAGAAGCTTCCACTTCCTGTTTCCGTGTGAACTTTCTAGACTATTGCCCACCTCCCACCCAAAGGAGCAAACCAAAGAAGCAAACGCTGCTTTTTTACGGAGTCTGCGCCTATCCCACTGCTAGCCCTGCTTCACCTTCTCCCACCCGCTTATCTATAGCCAATGTATATTCTTTCACAGCAATCTACATCTTTTTTCCCCCAAACTGTTTGCATACACGAGCGGGTCAGCTCCGGGTCCCGGACACAGTCCCTTTCCCACTGAGAGCTGCTGCAGGTGGTTCAGACTCCGCGCCCTATGCTGTGGTTTTCTTTTCCAGAGAGAAATGGCCCCAAACCCCTGTCCTTTTAAAAAGACCTTCAGCCGTGGAAGTTAAAATTTCTGTTCAACAAAAGCATAGGACATAATAATTGCTCAACGCATTTAGAAATATAAAATGTGTAAGAAAGAGAAGGACGTTCAGAACTTTTGGCTGAATGAACCTAGGTTATGTCGGAATAATGGTGCGATGTATGGTCTTCTTTACAGTTTTGGGTTCCGAATTTTCTAGAACGACTTTGTCACCCTAGAAGTTACCATTATCACATATATAGGACAGAACGTCGCTACTCTGCGGGATTCAGACAGGAGCTGAGGCTGAGCACCAAGAGCGGGGTTGCCAGAGACCCCTACGCTCTTCAGATAGAACCGCGGCCTTCCGGGGCGGCACCGTGACGTCAGCGCGCAAAAAATGGCGCCCGGCGCGCCCGGCTGGAGCCGAGCTCTCCCGAGCGTGCCCGAGCAATCCCGGGAGTCTCCGAGCGTTCCCGAACATCCCCGGGCGCGCCCGAAGCCGAGAGTAGCCCCTGGAGCGCGCGAGCGGGAAAGCCCCGCCCCAAGCCTGGGAGCGCCGGGCGCCGACGCTGGGGAGGGACTGCCGGATGTGAGTGGAGCGGCCATTTCCTGTTTCTCTGCAGTTTTCCCCAGCTTTGGGTGGTGGCCGCTGCTGGGCTTCAGCTTCCCGTAGGCGGAAGGCGAGGCGGCGTGGACAGCGGCCCCGGCACCCCGCGCCCTGCCGCCCGCAGCCGCGCGCCCGCCCGCCTGCTGCTCCCCGAGCCCGCCGCTTCTCGCCTCAGTGCCCGGTCGCCGCCTCCGCCGCGGCCCACCAAGCGGCCCAGATGCAGGCCATCAAGTGTGTGGTGGTGGGAGACGGGTGAGTGCGCGGCCCGGGGCCGGGGGTCGCAGCTAGGGGTCTGGGGCCGGGGCGGGACAGGACGGGAGGGCGCGCGTGGGGCCTGGGCTCCGGCCTCTTCGGGGCGCAGGCGGGGGGCGCGGGCCGCCACCCGTCCCCGGGACCCGGCGGCGGACGTCTGGTTCTGGCCCTTTTCTCTCTCTTTTTGGTGGGGGAGGGAACCGCCTTGGGCGGCCGGAGGGAAAAGTGAACTCCACCCTCCGCTTTCTCCCCGCACCCGCAGACCGCTCGGCCAAACTCACCCGGCGGCGCTCCGCCACCTCCCTCGGTCGCTCTGGATTACGTGGGTTTAGAGAGTTGCCTTTCTTAAAAAAGGACTCTTTCTTGGCTTTTATATTAACCTCTCGAGCCCCGCTGAGAGCATCCGTGCCGCCCGGCGGTCAGTCGATCAGAACTGACGACCCTGGGTTGGATCGGGGACCCTAAATTGATTGACCAGGGGTTCCCTCCACGGGTACTTGGCCACTTTTAGGATTTTAAAAAAGGATTATTTTTGCTCTTTTCCTGGAGAAACTTTTAAGATTCTAGCTGCGAGGAGCTGGGTCTGAGTAAGACGGTTCTTTTTTTTTTTTTCTGAACGTGGTGTGGTCATTAAAAAAAAGAGAAACTGGCCTTCGTTCCTTGCGTTAGGAAGGGGGTGTAGCAGAGCAGGCTTCCCGGGGCGAGAGGCCCTGGGAGGCAGAGCAGTTCTTTTCATTACTGTCTGGTGGTTTACAGGTCTTGGAGGAAAACAAGACTTGTCTTATGCAGTCGTTTCTTTCTTTCTTTTTTCTTTTCTCGTAGAAACAAGAATCTTAGTGTAATGCGAGCAAAATTGTATGTCTCAGCATTGCTCAAGTAGTTAATTGTGAACAGGGAAGCTCCGAGAATTGCTCCCAGTTTCATCGAACTCAGGATGCAACTGGTACATTTTTCGACTCGTGCGAAGTCGAAGGAAGCGGTTCGGCGCCGCTGAGCCTTTTGATTGCTTTCCCCCTAACTTGTCGGGAGGACTGATGTGGCTTTTATGCCTCTGCATGAGTTCATGAATTCTCGGCGGATTTCGATCAGTTGGACATTTGAAATTGTTCCTATAAGTTTAAAAAAAAAAAAGTCAAATTGCTGACGTTTTAAAATCTAACCATCGTGTGTAATATTCCTATTTGAAAATGCTTAAAACTAAAACATAAGCGCAGCAGATACTTTTAGTTTGTGTGATACTCGCAGACAGGGACCTCTGCCGTCTTTGTTGGCTCGATTAGCCCGAGTCCTTGTTGACTGCCTGCCGCGGGATCTGGCTCTTTCCTTCAGATCCCGGCCCCGCCGGGCCCGCGGAAACCCTGAGCTGCCACTCCCCCCGCGGCGCTGTCCCGCGGGGAAGGCGTGAGGTCGCACCGGGCGCTGGCTAATAGGTCCCAGCTGCGGAGTCACTGCTGCTGTCCCCCGCAGGCGCTGCTGGGCTCTGTGAAGGCGGGTTAGGCAGAAAACACCGTGCCTGGCCTGGAGTCTTTTTAGTTTTTTAATACTGTACTTGACATCAGTGTCGATCAGGGTGAGGTGCTATTTGGAGGGAAGTTCTCCCTTTACAGAAAGTTTTTAAGCTGTACTGTTTAATGAACGGGATGGAGCAAACAGCACCTCAGCACAAAACTTTAGAGACCTCATTTTCCATGCCGAAACCATTTTTTTGCTTTTACCCAAATAAAATACATCCCTGGTGATAAAGTTGGAATGTTCGCTGTACATGGCGGTCTAAATTTAGCGGGGCTGACACTTAATGTGTGGAATTGGAGGCAGTTAAGGGTAGTTGAAGCAGTGAAGGCAAACAGGTTCCACACATTGCAAGCTTCCTCGTTTTAAAAGTATTCTTGGGACCCCAGGCCGGGTGGGTCACTCAGCTGGTCAGAGCATCAGCCCAGTTGGCCAGGGGTGCGGCTCCATCCTGTCAGGGCACCGGCAGGAGTCTGCCAGCCGAGGTGCCAGTAAGAGGAAAAAATCCGGGCCCCCCCCCCACCTCCCTCTTTCTTCTTTCCCTAAAAATCAGTAAATTAAAATTTTTTAAAAAATGCTCTTAAAAGCTATATCAAAACCATGTTATAACCAGGATCAATTAACCTATATTCTTCAAATGGATTATTTCCTATATTGTGATTTCATTGGCATTGACTAAAATATGAGATAAAATTCGATGCTTTTTATTGTAAGGCAGTCCTTAACACAGCATCTGTCGCTTTTATTTGGGGGACCTCGGCCCCAAGATTTTCTCTCAGCCTTACTTAGGTAAGACAGCACCCCACCGACGTGTTTACAGGTGGTCATTTTTGACAGTGGTGGTCTTGCTTAGTTTTGCTGGAAGGCTGGGAGTGAATGACCTGAGGCCCTCATTTCACTCGCTGTACAAACTGGTGTCCAGATTGGGCCAGTGGGCTCTTCACTCCAGTGTCTAATTTAGATACTGCTGCCTAAGATATTTTTTCTTTAGGGATTTTTTCAGCTGAGTGTGAAGAATGCCTTCCATGACGTCATCCTTATAGGGATGTATTCACACCAGTTACTCGCCACTTCTGTTGAACAACCAATCAGTGACGGCATGATACATGAATTTTTTTTTTAAGCTTCGTAAATTTATGCATTTCATCTTGAGGCATAGGGTACCATATTTTTTATATGTTTGTAAAGGGGTTTGGATTTCTCACTGGCTTCCAAATTCAGATTTAGCATCTGATTCTGATACTGATTGGTAAAATGACACAAAATGCGCTCTCTCTCTCTTTTTTTTTGTTATGGTAATGTGTCATTGTTTATTATAGTCCTAGCTCAGTCATTCTCATGTTGGATGGTTAGGTTGTATATGATTTGCCTTTTTTGTGTAAGCTGTTTTTTTAAATTGAATTTGTTGGGGTGACACTGATTAATGCACTTATATAGGTTTCAGACCCTGGCCGGGTAGGTCCATTGGGTTTGACACACAAGCAGCAGCCAGTGTGCGCGTAAATAAGCGGAACAGCAAATCGATGTTTCTCTCTTCCTCTCTCTTTCTAAAGTCAGTAAGTTAAAAAATATATATAGGTTTGGGGTGTACACTTCTGTAATTATCTGTATATTGTATTGTGCGCTCACCACCCAGGTCAAGTCTCCTTCCATCGCCATTTGTCTCCCCTTTACCCGCGTCAGCGTCTCCCCACCCGCCTCTGGTAATCGCTGTACTGTTGTCCGCGTCTTTTGCTTGATTCCTCCGCCTTTTTCACCCAGTCCTCCTGCCCTCTGACAGCTGTTTCACATGGTAATCTCAGTAAAAGTCTGAGGTTTGGTTTAGTGGAGGAGGATCGGGATTCCATTTCTAGAACCCTTAAATCCACCTTCTTTGACGTTCTGTCTTTGCATTTGTCATCTGACATTTCCGCACTGACTGCTTTCTCACCTGTGCGTCACCAGGTAGCTCTGTCTCACAGTTGTGGTCTTCCTGGAGAAGGAGGTGTTTCATCAGGAATCCTGCTACTGATTCCTGAGTGGCAGTTAGTTACCAAATGTCCTCAGAAGGAATATTGTTTCTTCAACATATTAATATGGACAATTTCAAACATACAGAAAAGTTGAAAGAATTGCCCAAACAACACACATATACCACCACTTGGATTCTGTAATCAACATTTTGCTCTGTGTGCTTTATCACATATCTTCATTGGAGGGATATTTTTTCATTTTAAAATATTATATTTATTTATTTTTAGAGAGGGAAAAAGGGAGAAAGACATAGATGTGCGAGAGAAACATCAATTGGTTGCCTCTCACGCACCCCCCCAACTGGGGACCTGGCCTGCAGCCCAGGCATGTGCCCTGACTGGGACTCGAACTGTCAACCTTTCAGCCTGCAGGCGGGTTGCAGTACACTGAGCCACACCGGCCTGAGCAGGGAGGGGCTATGTTAAGAGGATTTAACAGAGAAGTTGATTTTGAAGGAGAATGAGAGTGATAGAAATTCTTGTTTTGAATTCTGTCTTCAGCTGACTCAAACATCAACTAACCCTAGGTTTAGGTTTGGTGGTCAAGAAGGGTGGGTTAGAGTTAAGGCTGCTTCAGACTTGGACTCTGTTGTAGGTAGTAGCTTCAGCTTTGAGTGTTCTAGAAACGATACAGAATCTGAATTTTTTTTCAGCCTCCAGTGGGTGGATAATGGGTGGTTTTCTGTATGCTGGCTGGGACGTCCTATTAGTAGCGGAACAGCAGAATTCCCGTTTGGGTTTTGTATTTTCGTAGTGTGGAAGGGCTCTCTTAGTTCACATGTTCCCTGAACCTGTTCTCTGCTTTGTTGCGTGTTTACTGAAGGCTGACTGTTACCCATTCCTGCTTCCCAATGCAAATTGAGGACTTTCAATTCAGGGTCTTTTTAAAATTTTTGAGCTTCCTGGATCCCTTTTTTTTTCTTCTTCTCATGTGAAGAAATTGCTGGTGTTTCTAGATTTATTGATTTTTTTTTTTTAAGTTTTGGTTTCTGGATTTCAGGAATTAACACTGAAATTTACCCAAGATATTTTCAGTAAAAAGTTTCCTTTAAATTGAGCATAATAGGAACATAAGTTGCTGGCTTTAATCTTGGTTATTTATACTGGATGGACCGATGCACAGACAGGTTAAAGAAACAGTGCTCTTGGTGCTTTCTTCCAGTAGCCTCATGCTCATTTCTCCAAAAATTAAAAAGGGGCTGAGCTGAGTACTTAAATACATACAGTGGGCAATTCTAAGGCAAATGGTACCTTCCATAATGCTGCAGCAGCGTCAGTCCAGTGTGTGCCCAAATAGGCTCTGGCCTTCTGTGGGGAAACTGTGAGTTTGCCTGGAGCCAGTGTGGATTTTATTTGTGGAGTGTGTTTAAAAGGGGGCAGATAACAGTTTTCTTTTTCTTTTTATCTGTTTTTAAAAATTAAGGAAATATTTATTTTTTTATAGGTTTTGAAATTGTTTAAACTATCCAATTCTTTTTTTTTTTTAAATTTTAAAAATTTTATTTTCTTTAGACAGGGGAAGGGAGAAAGGAAGGGAAACATCCATGTGTGGTTGCCCCTCATGCGCCCCCTGCTGGGGACCTGGCCTGCAACCCAGGCTTGTGCCCCGACTGGGAATCAAACCGGTGACCCTTTGGTTTGCAGGCCGGCACTCATTCCACTGAGTCACACCAGCCTGGGCAATGTTTTTCATTTCTGAATTAAGTAACTGCATGTATTCCAGGAGGTCTTGTTCATTGCAGCACTTAGTACACTTCCTGGCATAACACACAATACTGTTGGTATAGGTTGACATTGAATTAATGCTCACAATAGTTTTGTGATGGAGTTGGTAATTTTGTATCCGTTTTACAGCTGAGAAAACTAGAGGTGTAAGGAAGTTGAAACTTACCCCAAAATTTCAGCCAGTGAGTGATAGAGTTGGTCATGGGTAGGTTTCATATCCTGGGTAATGACTTCAAATCTTAGGCTCCTGCTCGTACAGGTTTATTTTGACATTCTAAGCTTTTAACAGAATGTATGGTCAATGAGTCATCTCAGTAAACAGCCTTCAGAAGTGGGAAGCTACCTCCCGATGATATAATGTTTGACTCAGTGAGGTCAGGGTGGGGAGTTCCAGCTTTTGTTAAGCCCTTAACGGTGTTATGAGTGAAACAAGTGTTGGCAAGACTGGATGGGCCTGTAATCTGCCCTTGTGAGAGGTTTTTGCCTTAAGCTAGGAGTGCAGGGGAAATAGAAACGCACAAAACTTCTTTGAGGTTGAACAACAAAGTTTACAACTCCGAGCGCCGGTGTGCCCTCAGTTGCGGGAAGCCCGCAGAGGACAGCAGGGTGACGCGCCCGTGGAAGGACAGCATCGGGTGAGCCGCGAGGAGGCCAGGGACCTGGGCTCTGGAAGCCCCTAAAGTCTGTCCGTGACGGTTGCAGATTTGGAGACTGGCTTTTGGAGGGGTGCGGCTACGGGTGCAGGAACCTTAATTTTTAGGTGATGCTCTCTTGAAAAAAAATCTTTTTGAAGTGATTGGGAGACTTGCAACCGCACTGGGGCCTGTTCTTGGCGGTGCGCTGTGCCCCTGAGCGGCTGGGCAGGGCCCTGCTGCCGCTCACTTCCTCCCCCTGGCAGCCGCTTGGGAAGCTCACTCCAGCACCCCTGGGCTGCTGACGAGGGGTCTGGGTTACCCTGTGTGAGCTGCTCTGAGGGCTCCTGGCGATCGGTGGGGGTGGGGGCGGGCGCTGGCAAGAGCGCGCGGCCGGACGGGCTAGGGAGAGACTAGTTCTGTGTGGCGGCGATGACTAAGCGCTCTGTTAGGGAGCAGTCCTTGCTGATTGCCAGGGAGGGGGGGGGGCGGCTGGAGTCGGAGCTGCCAGTCGGAGCGGCTAAATCTGTTACTTAGCAACACAGTGGGAGTTGCTGAGGAAAGCTGTGTTTGCATATTAGTATTCATCAGAATCATTTCAGGATAGAATAGAAGATTCTTGGATGAAAGACTTCTACAGATGGTCACAAAAAAGACTTTCAATTTTAAAATATTTTGTTTTCCTCTTGAACCTTGTGCTTATTGAATAACTGTCTCTGGACTATGAGTGCTAATACCACGTACTACACAGAGTGTGAAGGCTCCTGATGCTGCCTTTCTGAAAAACTGTAGTTTATTTACTTAAATTTCAGGATAAAAATGTATGTGTGATGTTAAATAAAAGGTTATAGAAACAGTTTTCTTTCATTCTAAGTCCTTGGTGTATACTCCTTGATTTTTCTGTGCATTATTTTAACAGGATAGCGAAAGCTAAGATTACATAAATGTTAACCAAGCAACTTACACCTGTCTCCTCTCTCTTTAGCGCTGTAGGTAAAACCTGCCTACTGATCAGTTACACAACCAATGCATTTCCTGGAGAATATATCCCCACCGTGTAAGTATTTTAAGTTAAACTGGGAGTTAGCACATCAGTGATGTTTTTTGGACACCTTTGACCTTTGCTTTGCTATAGTCATTCTTAATCCTTATGTGAACAGATGTGATTACCTTTTCTTTCAGACATTCACCAAAGTCTCCGTATTTGGGCTTTTAAGAAATACTTAATGTAAAGTTGCCACATAGTGATGAAACACACAGCTTTTCTAATCTATTTTTAGACATTTAGGAAACAAAAGAAAGTTAAACTAATTGAAGTATAGAGGTTGGGTAATGTAAGAGTTTCAGATAAATCTGGCCTTCCGGGTTCTGTGTGTGATTCTGGCAAGTAACCGTTGCTTTACAAGCTGCTGTTGAGTTATGGGTCTTTGGAATTGAAACCAGGGTGTGTTTGGCGGGGGTGGGGGAGGGTTGGGAGGATGGAATTGGCTACTGAGCTGCTTATTCCCTGTTGGCAGCAGAACTGGGTGGAGATGGAAAAGTGCTTTTTTGATGATGGGGTTGCTAGGGAGCTCCACGCAGCCATGTGGCCTCGTAGCACCACCCTGTGGCCGCCGTGAGCTCTGTCCCCATGGTTAACGTCCGGTGAAGTAACGCTCCGCTGCGAGCGCTGCCTCCCTCTCGCTCCTCCGGCAAACACGCCCGCTCGGGCCTCCCTGCAGAGTCTTGTGCCCGTTTCAGTGCAGCGGAGTCCCGCTGTCCTCCTCCAGCCGGTTCCACCACAGGTCGCTGGGGCTCTTTCTTTTTTCTTTTGCATTACAAACTGCGCTGTGTCAAACATTGCATGTATGTGCACGTGGTAGGTTGTTAGTAGGGGAATTGTGCTGAATTTTAAATCTTGATACCTACTGCCCATTTGCTATCTAAAAGGCTATCGCTTTGACCAGCTGTGACTGAAACAGCCCCTTCATACAGCTTGTGGTCCACACAGAGTTGAAAAGTTACCTCCTCATTTGCATTTCTGGTGTCAATGAAGGTAAAGCCTTTTGAATGTTTCCAGTCCATTTATAGTCTTCTGGGACTTGCCTGTTGAAATTTTTTGCTTATTTTTCTACTGAATTTTTTCTCACTGATGGAAGTTATGTATGTAAGAAATATTAATTCCTCTGTCTCTCGAATTTGTCTTTAATTTTTGTCAGAATGTCCTCTGCCCTGAACAAGTGTAGCATTTTAACACAGGTGCGCTGCCTCCCCTTTCCCTGCGTTCGTGCCTTGCTAAGGAAGACCATTCCCATCTGAGTGATGCAAAATATTCTTTAGGAATTTTTCTAGGAGTTTTGTAGCTGAAGTTTTTTTCTTTAATTCATTTGGAATGTATTTTTTTGGTATAGTATGAGATACCTGATCCCAAATTGGAAAAAGGGTCACCATTTAGTGAATTATCAGTCCTTTTCTCGTGAGGCAGAATTACTACACATCAAACCTTTTCTTTATGAAAGCTGGTTTGGTCATTAAATTCCATAAACCACATTAGCACCTTACTCAGGCCTTGACTTTGCTGTCCCAGGGTAGTTAAGCCCCTAAGTACTAGTCTCCTGAGCATGTAATAAAGAAGTGTGGAGTTTTATTGTATTCTCTTTGGTACCTGCTCTGGTTTGAATTGCAATGCCAGATTTTCTTTTTGGTGAACTGTATGATACTTGTAATTTCTTGTCAGCCTGTTTTCCTGTCGGCCTGTAGGTTTTTCTGGGCCGCCTCTTACGGTTAACTGATTTCTGTGTGGCAGCTTCAAATAATTTAAATTTAAGCAAGTGTGTACCCTTTGGAAACGTCCCACAGCAGCGGCTCACGCTGCGCCTGTGCGGGGCGGGGCGGGGCGGGGCTGTGGGAGGAAGCCGGGCCCAGTTGGGGGTTTCAGATCCACAAGTGGGATTTGAAAGAGGGACCAAGTTTACACATTATTTCATCCTGGGGAGAAAAACCTTAATGTCTATTTACTAAAGGTGGAGACTTTTTTTATTGCTGACAGTAATTTGTGTCTGTTAAATTTGGTAGCTTTCCTTTGTTTCTTGGCTTTTTTCTCCAGTTGCGCGTTGGTCTCCCTCACACTCCACCTCGTGTCCCGGGCCCTGCTTCGTCCGCAGGCATGTCCTCGGGCCTGCAGGGAGGACTTGGGCTGGCCCGGTGGCCTCTGGGCCCGCTCCTGGCTGTCCCAGCGCTGCCGCCTCTGGGACCCCGGCTGGAGCAGCGACTCAGGGCCAGGGCCTGGGCCTGAGGCTCCAAGGCTAGAGACTAACCTTTTTTCCTCCATATTTTACAGCTTTGACAACTATTCTGCCAATGTTATGGTAGATGGAAAACCGGTGAATCTGGGCTTATGGGATACTGCTGGACAAGAAGATTATGACAGATTACGTCCCCTATCCTATCCGCAGACAGTAAGGATCATGACTGATTTGTAATGTGTTCTCTAGAATGCTCAATTCCTGAGTGGTTAATTACTGCGTATTGCCTGTGGATTTGCTTCTATTACCATCTTTTGGGTGTTGAGGCAGTTGAGCAAACTCCTTGGGTTCAAATCCCGCTCTCCCTCTTACTAGCTGTGGGACCGTTGGGCAGCTTTCTTCATCTCTGGTCTTAACCTCTTGTAGGATTGGATGGGTTAATGCATGCGAAGCACATAGATCGGTCCCTGGCATGTCGCAGACACCCACCCCAGTGTGGCCCTGTTAGGATTCTGCCTTGTTCTGGTGTCGATGCCTCGATCGACCCAGAGACTCCTCGGTGCAGAGCGGAAACCAAATTCCCTTGTGTTGTCCATCCCCGCTCTCAGCGAGCCAGGGTGGCCGGGGCAGCCAGGGTGGCCGGGGGCATGCAGAGAAGGCAGGCTGTGGTCCTTTGATGGATTCAATCATCACTTTTCCGTGTGGGTGAAAATAACATTAGTCTGTCTACCCAAATTTTTTTTGTTTTTGTTTTTAAATGAATTCCCTGTTTAGTAATGATAGCTTTACGCTTCTGAATCCAACTTTTTCCATGCAACAGTCATTGTCTTGTGTTCTGCTGGGGGCACTACCAGACACAGTTTTTTGAGTTGTTGATTCTTGATTATTCTTTAGCTAGATTCTGGTAACAGACCAAAACTATAAAATGGGAGGTTTGAATTATGTGATTTTTTTTAAACCTCAGCTAAAAATTAACTAAGTATTAAAAACCAGCCAAATGACCAAATGGTGTGAGTTCTTCAATATGTTTAGGAATTTATTCTGTACCAGTGGGTGTACCAGATTTTAAATGAATCTGCAAACATACTGAGTAGGAGTCTCCTGTCCCACTGGATACATCTGGAAGGGTGGGGTATCTCTCAACCATCCCCTGTGGCTCAGAGGGCGGGGCATGGTGGCCTTTTTCTCTGAGAGAGATGCTCACGGTCTGTCAGAGGTGACTTGGCAAGACTCCCCTTCGCGTGCTGGAGAACCCAGGACTGACTGGCGCAGTCCGCAGCGCGAGCGCCAGGGCCTACGCTCTGCGTGTCCCGTTCCACAGGCGGGAGAGGCGGGGAGGCCCTGCTTGCCTGTCAGGTGCTGGAGCAGCTAAAAGAGGTAGGATGTGGTGCTCGCCCTCGGGGCTCCCAAGCGCCATGTCATGCCATGCACCAGGCACCAGCTGAGGGGGTGCTTAGGGACACGGAGGGAGAGCACGCAGCTGACACTGGCAGATGTGCCCGCGCGGACTCCTGGGAGCTGAGGGGCTGGCCTGGGTGCGGAGCAGCCAGGCTCGGGAGGCCGCCTGCCTTCACGCTGCGCTGCCGAGAGCAGCAGGCGCTGGGGCTCACGGGCTGCACTCCGCGCTCTGGGTGCAGAGGCGGAGAGACCTGAACCTTGTGCCCGGGGAGCGCGGCCCCCAGGCGCCGGCTCCCTGCTCTGCAGGCCTCTTCCTGTGGCTTCCCCTGAGGCAGGGCCAGGCGGAAAGGGTCTTCGATGGTGCCCGAAAAGAGACGTCTTGTTTCCTCTGGTCATGGGGTGCTGGCTCCCTTCTCTGCTGGGCAGCTCTGTGTAGCTAAGTGAAATCTGTTAAAACCGTCAGTTTCGACTTTGTTCTCCAAAAGATGGTGGGCAAGTAGTCATTTTCAGTATAAATTGCCCTTCAAGTTTTAATGTTGCTAAATTATGTAATCCTTAGGGCTTTTCTGCCCTTCAATAAATTATCTTTACATTCTCTTTAAAAACACGTAAGTTCTGCATATTCACCTTCAGCAGATGTGCTCAGAATGGAGGTATCATCAGCCTAGTGCTCAAGCCCAGTGTCTCACTTCGTGTCTGCGCACCTGTACTTGCCTGCTTGTCCCTGTAGTTCGTGGTGCTGGGGGAAGAGATGTGACTGGCCCGCACCCTGTGTGTATTGGGAGAGGCACACGCTGCGTGGTTGGTTTCCTTCGCTGCACCGGGTTGGCCAGGGCGCCGCTGTGTCAGGCAGTGTTTTCACCTTCTGCGCCTGCCTGGCTCGGGAAGGGTTTTTAAGTGCTGAGCTCAGTCACTGCAGCGTTAGACAAAAAGGAAACCTGTGGTGTTTGGTGCGGCTGTTTCGATGTTCACGAGTTTTGATGTTGCTGGGTGGCTATTGCAGCCTCAGTGCCCTCCAGCCAGAGGTCCCGAGGAGCACGCCTGTGGTTGACCAGACAGGGCTGTCACTCTGTCCTGAGAGAGACAGGCACCTTGGGGGCCGCAGGGTGAGGCCAGGCAAGGGCCCAAGCAAGTGCCGGTGGGGGCAGGGCAGTCAGGGGTTGGGTATTTTAGTGACTCTCCCCGGAGGGTGGGGAGCAGCAAGTCAAAAGCTGTGATTGGTAGAGAGGTAGTCACTCTCCTCCCTGGCTGGGGAGGGGGTCCTTGGTGTTTTGCAGTTGGCACGGTGACCTTAGGTTGGTTTGTGCTTAGACATGAGTGTGGGGTGAGTGGTCTTCCGTTCTTTACGCTGGGTTCCCATTGGAGCAGAGTCACACAGTGACCGTGTCTGATGCCAGTGCCCTGGCACATTGCTCTCTCCCACACAGACCTGCTCTGGCGGAGCTGTGGGTGCCAGGCCAGTGCCCGGGTGTCGCGACCCCTGTGCTCTGCCGTGTTTATGTGCCCTGGTCTTTTTTCCCCTGCTGTGTACAGCGCCGCCCGTGTTAGAAAATACTGCAAGCCTGAAAGTAAGAACCGAGTGGAAGCGTTTGGAAGAGAAGGAAATGAAAGAAAGAGAAACGGAACAGCTTAGAGCAGTGCGGGCTCAGCCCTCTGGAGCACCCCTCCCCCCCAGGTCTGCTCAGCGCAGGCTCCGCTTCTCATGGGTGGTCCCCCTGACTGGTACGGGGGCCGCAGGAAGAGCGCCCGCAATGGCGGCCAGCGGGGACGGGCTTTGCAGTGCAGGAGCAGTAAGTCACCAGAGGCCCGCTGGAGGTCGGCATTCAGAACTGCCCCACTGATGTAAGGAAAGTGATAGTCAAGGCCAGAGGGAAGGTGTCCTGTGAGGAAGGGAGAGTGTGGCCACGCCACAGGTGGCTCTGGCTGAGGAGCTCTGAGTGTCGCAAGGACTGGCGTGAAAGTGGAGGCACCCGGGTCCGGGCAGCCGCGGCCGGAAGATGAGGGGCAGGGGCTGAGATGCGGCGCCGTGAAGTCCAGGTTGGGCACGGGGAGCGGGCAGCTGGTGTAGCGCTGACCGAGGCCAGGAGGAAAGCATCTTGATTCATCAAAAAGTTGTTCTTAAAAATTGAAAAGGGTACGACAGCTGTCGTTAGAGGACACCCTAAAACTGCACCTTTGTGGCCGAGCCATGCAGTCCCTGGGTCACAGTGAGGGCTCGGCGCTATGTTGAGGCCTTGGGAGGACACATCTTCAAAACAGCTCGCAGATTAAACCAGGGTATTTACGGAAACTTTAACTTAAGTGGTCTCTTCAGACTATAAATCAGAGAAGCTCAGATAAGGTGAAAGGAAACAATTCTTGTCTGCCTGTCTCTTAAAAGAATTCTAGGGCCCTGTGTTGCTGGAGGAGCACGCCCGTCCATTTTTATGGGGACAGCGAGATGAGTGGAAGGCATTGTGACAGGCACTTGAATGCTGTCCGTCTAGGCCACCTCATCCAGATTCGCAGGGGCAGGGGACTCAGCGTGGCAACACCCCAGAACCAGAGGACGCGGGTCTCGCCGCAGCTCGCAGCCCCGGCCCCACTCCCGCTGAGCCTTTCCCTGGGGCCCGGCTCCCGGGCAGGCGCCCCTCATGCGCTGCGGGCGCAGCGGCAGGAAGGACGCGCATTTAGCCCTTCCTTCCTGAGCATAAGCCTCCTGGGCGTGTTGTCGGTTCTGCTGGAAAAGGGACCCTGTGTGCTGCCACCACAGGGAGGGGCACCCTGCCCCCTCCAGGGGTTTGCCCACTCTCCTGTCACCATCCTGGACTGGCACACAGTGCCCCCTTGTGCCACTTCCCAGGCTGATTGACAGTGTTTCTGTGGCTTTGGCATCATACGCCTGTTAGAGCGTCCTCTGCTTTTAAATCAGAGCCTTGGGAGAGTAGAGACAGGATTCTGAGAAGGAATAAATAACGGGCTGAAATGATTTTTGTTCTCCATTTTTACTAAACTCAAACAAAGTTCTCGTGCATTACTAGGTCGGAGGAACGTATGGTAAGGATATAACCTCCAGGGGCAAAGACAAGCCGATTGCCGTATGTAAAACTTTCAGTCGCCTGCAGTTTCAAGCTTTATCTCTTCTTTCATTTCTCTTAGTTTTGCTAGGATTTCCTATTTGGCCTCACATTCCTTGAGTGTTTTATGTTTGATTCACTCAAGATTGGGGTTTTGCTTAACGAATCACGCTTCTATTAGAATGGGACAGTTTACCTCCCGCTTGAATTAAAGTGGTTCGGGAACTTCTTTTCTTCCCCCTCCCGAGTGAAAGGAGAAGGGGCTCTTATGACTGGGGCTCTAATGGAAATGTGGGGGCTCCGCGAGGAAGCCCCCCATGGGCCCTGAGCTTGGCTGGGGGACTAACCAGGGCTGCCGGGCCGCCTCCTCTGCTGGTGTCCGGTGCCAGGGCCTGCGGGGTGTGGCTGCGTGGGCTGGTGTGCGGGCCCCGCCCGCTTCGACACCGCGTAACCGGCTCAGGCGATTCTGGGGCAGACTTGTGCATGCGCTAGCGTTTAAAGCGTCGTTCATAAAAAGCTGTTGTGTGGATGTTTCTTTCCCTTTCAGGTACCAGATCCTGGCCAGAGGAGAGGGAGTGTTAGCTTGGGAACTGGGCAGTGCACAAAGTAGCGCAGTCGCCTTTTTCCAGGAGTCATGTCTTACAAAATTAGCATTTTAGACACTTGGGGGCATTTTTAAATTCATGCAAATAATTAGGGTTTTTACACAAGGCAGAATGGGAGGAAAAATCCAGGTATTTCACTTTTAGCTTGAAATTCTTTCAGGTATTAATTGTGCTCCTCCCTTTCCTTTGAATCTGTTTTAGCTGCATGTGCCCCCGGGTGCAGGTTTCCAGAGAAGGGGGCGGGCGTCAGGAGCTCTGACAGCTGGGAAGGCGTCGCTTGCACATTGGACCCAGTGCCCTGACAGGGAGCGTTCCCACCGAGCAGACACGGAGCCCCCTCTGCGGGGGGCTGATGGCTGCGCTGAAAGCAGCAGTTTGCCCTGGCCTGGCCGCTCCGCTGGTTAGGGCCTTGTCCCGGTCCGCCAAGGGTGGGGGTTCAAGCCCCGGTCAGGCGCATTCTGAGGAATGCATGGATGTGGGGCATCTAGTCCATGTTTCTGCCCCCCTTCCCTTTCTCTCCAGGATCAGTAAAAGAAAGAAAAAAACATTTGATTGGAGTCCAAAGACACAATGGAGATAAAAATGTTTATACCTAAGGAGCTGATGAGGAGCTTAAGGAAAAGCATGCCATTAGTAGATGTTTTGAGAAGCAGACCGGGTTTTACAGAAATAAACACTCAAGTGGAGCCTTGACACTTGATCTCTGTCCCCCGTGGGAGGTGGGAGCGATGGAAAAGAGGCGCCCAGGGGCCGATTCGATGCTGCCGCAGCCTCAAGTAGCTTGTAGCGCATCTCGCCCTCCCGACCCTCTCCTCGCAGTAACGGGCGCTCCACGGGCCTCTCTGGTTTGGGAGCTGCTGCCAGGAGCCACGGGCTGCGTCCAGGGAGCATGTTCCCTGCACAGGCAGCGCGCATGCCCTTGGCACGGCGGGGGGTTGGGGGCTTCCCGGCAGCGTCCAGAGAGCAGAGTGCGTTCATCTTCGTAAGACCCTCTTCTGAACACCGCCCTGTGTTTCCTTTTTATAGGACGTGTTCTTAATTTGCTTTTCTCTTGTGAGTCCTGCATCATTTGAAAATGTTCGTGCAAAGGTAAGCGGGTATTTTTTAGGAAAATACTTTGTTACATAATGTTACTCTCAGGAAGAAACATTGAGAAATAAACTACCATTTACTGACTGAAATTTTCAGTTTTTTAAATGGCCTTAGTAATTCTGCTAAAGTAGAGAATCAGTCTTCTAAGTGTGTGACTTAATGTATAGAGTTCTCAGGCTGACTCGGAGGTGCTGTGTCCCTTGTTAAACCAGCGAAGCACGATCACTGCCGCCCTCTGCCCCCCGCCACATCTTTCACACCCTGGGGGACGGGCGCGTGCCAGAGGCCCTTCCTCGGAGGGGCCAGTGGGGCGGTGGCAGCAGAGCTGAGGCCGCGGTCCACATGGTTTACTCAAGTCCCTGAATGTACAGGGTGGGCCAGTGGAGGTTCACGTTGTGAGGACGCGAAGCAGATTATCCTTGTATTATTATTTATTACGTAGTGTGTTATTTGTATTACAACTGTAAACCTACTTTTGTCAACCCCTGTATGGATTATTTCTGAGATGACCCAAGAAGCTGATTCGTTTTACAAAAGCAACGTGGGTTTTTTGGTTGGCGGGGTGGGGAAGCCCCTTTCACCACGACCCCTTACTGACAAGTAGCACCACCCTGTCAGGTTGATAGTCTTGGGAGTCCTGATTTGCTAATAAATAACGAAGACCAGCAGGAGGTTCTGGGACCTGGTGCTGGCCGTCCTGCGGCCCCTGAGGATGTGGGTGGAGCCGTGAGCGAGGCTGCAGGGCAGGTGTGGTCCCCTGCAGGAGGGCTCTGGGGGCACCTTGACTCAGGAGTGGTGGACACTTTGCAGCTGGGTGGATATAATTCAGGTAAGGAAGTGCGTAAAGGAGTGTCATCTCTTTTTCTTTGCATGTGTCTAGTGGTATCCTGAAGTGCGACACCATTGTCCCAACACTCCCATCATCCTGGTGGGGACCAAGCTTGATCTCAGGGATGACAAAGACACGATTGAGAAGCTGAAGGAAAAGAAACTGACACCCATCACCTACCCACAGGGCTTAGCCATGGCTAAGGAGATCGGTATGGAGCCCCGTGTTCTTCCCGTTTGCTCTGCTTGTGTTTTTATTTCCCTGATAGGATTTGAGGTTGGGGAGGCGGAGGGTGTGGTCCTCCAACCTGGGGCCTGGCTTCCTCTGGGAACCAGCTAAAAAGGCCCGTAGCGTCGCTCTTCCGGAGGAGACAGCAGGGTTTGGGGCTTCTGCGCCTCCTCGGCTGCCGGCAGAAGGCAGCAGGGCCTGGGGGGCGGCCCCGCCGTCGTTCTGCTCAGGGGCGTGGCCGCATGGCTGTAGGTGCTCCGTTTCTTGGCAGGTGCTGTGAAATACCTGGAGTGCTCGGCCCTCACACAGCGAGGCCTCAAGACAGTGTTCGACGAAGCTATTCGAGCCGTTCTCTGCCCACCTCCCGTCAAGAAGAGGAAGAGAAAATGCCTGCTGTTGTAAATGTCTGGGCCCCTCTCCCCGCTGCCCTGTCCCCAGGAACCTTTGTACGCTTTGCTCAAAAACAATGGAGCCTTCGCACTCAATGCCAAGTTTTTGTTACAGATTAGTTTTTCCATAAAAAACCATTTTGAACCAATCAGTAATTTTTAGGTTTTATTTAAACAAATAAGTGTAAGAGTTCAAACTTTCATATTCTATTAAAACTTAGCCCTAAAATGACAAGCTTTCTTAAAGCCTTATTTTTCAAAAGTCCCTATTCTTGTTCATATTAAGAGTTGCCAAAATACCTTGTGAACTAAGTCGCATTGCTGTGCTAAGAACACTAAGCACTAAACTGCTCAGAGGCCTGTCTCTGAGAAGCCCAGCCTCCGCGGGGAGGGAAGGCAGACACTTCCTAACGCGTTTCCCAGGCCCGAGCAGCGCAGCTTCCCTTAGGACGCGCTGCCGTTCACTGCTCCGTCACTTAACGCGCGTGGTCGCTGCCTAACGCTGCACTGTATGTCGTAGTGGGATGAGTGTGACAGCCCAACTCTTTGGATCGGTCTTTCTGATTTCGGAGTGATTTTTTAAAAAAATTAGTGTGTGAGCTTTTGCTGAGATTTTGAACAGAACTCTTACTCACGTGTTCCTCTGTTCTGCCCCAGCCGTGGGCGCACGGGGCAAGTACGGAACACCTGATGTGATCCAAGGATGAAGACGGCAGTATTTTGACAAAATAGGAAGTGGAGATTAATTTACACTACATTGTACACATAATAATTAAACTGAATAAAAGTGTCATGGGTAAAATTTTAAATAGGTTAATTTCTGTCAAATGTAGTAGATGATGAAGAAAGTCGGTATTAATCAGTGTTTTCTTAAGCTTTTCGTTTTTCTTAAACCTGCGATCCCTCCCAAAACTGGGCATTTAATTCATCTTTGAAATGGTCATTCCCACGGTTACTAACTGAGAAAGTGCTTTTTTTATGGAGCCCTTCTCACCGGGCAGTATGCCTCCTTGTATAAAACCTCTCTTGATAACACTTTAGTTGTTTTTTTTTTTTTTTAATTTCTTGTAGATTAGTACAAGTGCATTCCTGTTTTCATGTTCCTTTATTCAAAGCTAATAAGTGCTTTCCTTACTTAGTTTTCTAGTAACTAGATGTAAAAATCACGTGTTGCATCTTTACAGTTTTTAAAATATTTTAGATATTCTTACTATGAACCTTCCTGCCATCGCTGTCTTGCCAGCCCCCACCGCACCTTGCCTGACGCTGGCCCTCCCTGCCTCCCCGCGGACACGCTCCCTGTCGCTCTGCCTCACGAGGCCCCTGGGGGCGAGCCCCGCGCTCGTGCTCACCGAGTCCTGTGCAGCTCGCCCACTGGCGAGGCGACGAGGCAGGACCTTTCAACCACTAGAACAACATTTTTTAAATTGACAGTTGCAGAATTGTGGAGTGTTTTTACATTGATCTTTTGCTAATGCAATTAGCAGTATGTTTTGCATGTATGACTTAATAAATCCTTGAATCATATGACTGGTAATACTTGAATTCTTTTTTTTACTTTTTATTTTGGGGGTGTGTTTATTGCAGCGGCGGACAGCGAAGTGAGCGCCCGGCGTGGCTGCGTTGGCTCATTGGGGAGCCAGAGGAGGGGCCTTGAGACAGGCTCGGGGGGGGGGCAGCTCCAGATGTGCTGCCGCTGCCCACTGCTCCCCTGGTTGCAAGTCTTGTGGGGACCTTTAGGATTTAGGACAGTGGCCACCAACCTCTTTAGCACCAGTGACCAGTTCTGTGGAAGACAGTTTTCCCACCTTCTGGGGAGAGGGGTGGTTTCAGGGGATTCAAGCACTTTACATCCAGGCTCGCCTCCTGCCGTGGGGCCTGGAGGCTGGGACCCCGGTTGGGGAGACGCGCGCCAGAGCTTGAGTTCTCGAGACCAACAGCAGCCGGGAGTGCGCTTGCCGTGTTTTGTGTTCAGTCGGTGCGTGTTCTTGTGCTGGGGGCAGGGAGCAGCCCCTGTAGGGGAGACGGAGGGTTCAGCACAGTGTCCGCCACCCCGCAAGGGGGGAGGGTTGACGAGGGGTGGTTGGGTTCAGACCGGTTGGGCGTTGGTCAGGGACAGTGTCCGCCTTGGGACGTGTGCTTGTGTGTGCACACGCGCATTACACGGGTATCTCGAGCCAGGGCTCTGGGCTCCGGGCTGAACGTGGGATGCTGGGACCTGAGTTGGCATCTTGGTAGGGCGGAAGCTGACTGTGCCTTGCAGATCTTTCTGGAGCATGAAGTTGTGCTATAAACAGTTCATGCTAGAATCTCTTTCTAAATATTTTTTAGTCCTTGGAATATCTTGAGTTCCTTTTTCACCAAAGACGAATACACTGTTTAAAGACCAAATGTAAAGGTTTGCTCCGATAAAGGCAGCCTTCCCCTTTTATACCCCGCCAGAGCCAACTACTTTTGAGATCTTTCGACATTTGTCTCCACGCGTGTAAATCATAGGCTGTTTTTCCTTGCCAGGTCACCGCCGTATTAGAAAAGGCTGTAGCTCAGCCAGATGTTACGAGATGCGTGGGGCAAGGGTGCGGTCCACACTCCCCGAGTCTCCCTGAGTCTCCACGTGCTCGCCGACAGGGACGCGCTCAGGACCCACCCTCTAGGCTTTTACGGCGACCTGTCACACGGGCAGGACGGACTACACCTGCTGGGGATGGAGTGGCCCGCCAGCCCCTGCCTGGGGGGTCCGTCTACATACACCACGCGTTTTCACGGGTAGTTGGGTTTGTCAGCTCCTCCCCTTCCCACCGACATTCCTGTCTTGGCCAAGGTGAGGGCGCCCCACTGCCAGCTGCCCTGCGGCCCCCAGCCTTTCCCATGCCCTCCGTACGGGTCTTGTGGCTGGCGCTTACTGCTTGGTGGCTCCCAGCTGAGCCACGCAGTAACAGGATTTGACCCTTCCTAGACAGCTTTTGGTTTCTCTTGAGGTAATTAGTACTTCATTCGAAGCTGTTTTCTGTGGCCTGAATCTCTTAAGCTGTTCACGTGGGTGGGTCGTGTGTTTCATCAGCTTTCACTTTCCTAGTGTCAGGATCCTCTCGAGTGTCCCTAACGTGGTGGTAGTGATCGCCACCGCCCGATGCCTTGTTTTTTCATTTACTTCCTCATTTTGGTGAACAGGTTCTCCAAGAGCTCCCTGAGGCCTGTGTGAAATTGCTCTTTTTTGAACCCTCACAGCTTTGAAAATCACTTCCTTCTACCCTGCTACCTTCTGGCAGGGCCTGCAAGGCCAAGCTGGCACTAACTCCCCTTCCGGGGTCTTGGAGGCAGCGGTCCGCTTCGTTGGCCACGCCCACCGCACGGGATCCTTGTGGGACCTGCCCTGGGTCTCCCAGCGCCTGGGTGTATTTCTGTCCCTTATGCTCTGGGGGCCCTTCATCTGGAGCCTCGTGGCTCCTACTGTTCAGGTGTCCGTTTCTGTTGATGTCGTCTTTCATGCTTTTAAGTTCTGGGGGGTTCTGTTTTAATTCCCTGAACACCACCTTCCAGTGGGGGTCACAGAGCTTCTGCTGTTGCCCGCCCGCAGCTGGGGTGGCGCGAAGCTTCTCCTGCGCCTGTCCCTCTCAGTCCCTTCCTCCTCCCATCACCAGCCGCCCTTGGCGCGCCCTCACGGGCCGGGGGCCTCGAAAGCAGGGAACGCTGAGCACAGAGGTGCCTCATAGCAGGACAGCATCATTCAAAGCGTCTGAGATTTCTTACTTTTGTGCCGAGAACGTATAGGAATTAGGTCCAGAAAACGAACTTGTAGAAGTTGGACATTTCATGGCATTTCTAGTGAAGTTTTCAAAGGGCCCTCTGCAGGTTTTCAGAAGCAGATGTGGTCTGGCTGTGACCGCTGAGCAGCCCTGTGCCAGGTATCGCTGGAGGCAGGTTTCCCTGGTGGCTTTTCTCCTTGAAGGCTGTGGGAGGCGAGTGGGAGGAAGTCACTGCCCGGCCCTCACTGGACCGGTGTCCAGCCCGCCCACCCCAGACCCAAAGCAAGTGAGGGCCGGATTCTTCAGCTTCCGGGGACACCCCGCTTTGGCGAGGCCCGGTCCGCTGCCCCGCCCCCCGTCGGGTGCAGGGGGTCTGGGTGTAAAGTGTTTACCTCTGGCCTCCCGATTGTCCTGTTCCCCATCCTTGTGGGCTTTGCTCTTTTAAGAAATCCCTTTGCCGCCATTTACGGGCTTTGTAGGGTGGGGTGAAGCCCGATGCCTGCACCTTTGATCTCTAGCCACAGGGCCAAGGAGACTTCGTTTTGTTTAGAGTGGACAGGAAAAAGCCACTTAAAGACGACTGCTGTGGAACCACCCGGTGAAGGACCTTCCTGGGGCGCCCAGCAGGAGAGCACATCACCGCGCAGGCTCGCGATGCATGTAAGCACTTTATTTTTGACACCCTCTGAAGCCCCTGGCCACCTCCGAGCCAGAGTGCCATTCGCATCAATGGGCGTCAATGCCACAGCGGGTCTGTGTGACAGTGGATCGCGTGTATAAACAAGGACCAGGCTCCAGCCTGAGGGGCGGGAGCTGTCTCCACCGGCTTCCCAGGCCTGGTTCTGTCCGCACTGCCAGTCCCAGCTCAGGGTCGACCTCGGCGCCCCCAAGGGCAAGCCCGGCTGCGCCCTCACCGCCGAGGGCCGAGCGTGTAGCTGGGAATGCCAGGCCTGCTGCCCGAGCCACACGCTGGGCGTGGCCTCGCGTGAGCAGGGACCGGACGGAGGCCCTGCGGGCCTCAGGGCCTTAAACCTGGCTGCCGGGGCCCCGCCCTTTTCCGGGCTGCTCTCGGATGCCGAGGCGCTCGCAGGTAGCTGGGGAAACCCCACAGGGCTCCACCCATGTCGTGTCTCGGCTCCCCACTTCAGTGCTCCCGACTCCTGGGGCTCAGACCCTTCGATCCCATTGTCTCTCAGAGCGGCCTGCCGTTCAGACGCTCGGGTCCAGTGCCTGTCAGGTCCCTACCGACGCCCTGGCGCCACGGGATTTGCCCGGGTGTGAGTCACAGCGGCGGGAGCCCGTCGTCCACGCTGAAGCTTCCGGGGGCAGGACAGGAAACGCAGGCAGCCCTGTCGGACACCACCGTGTCCAGGGCTCTCATCAGGATGTCCGGCATGTGGTCTGTCAGCATCTTTGGGCCGATGAGTATCCTGCTGAACTCCGACTCCGAGGCCCACTTGGCGGTGTACTGAGAGGTGTAACAGGAGCACCTGACGGAGAGAAACCCATCAGCAACACGCCGCCCTGAGCTTGGCGCCACGCGCGTTTCTCCGCTGCAGAGTGTGGACCGAGCCAGGCAGGGCCCCGCTGCCCGCATCTCACCTCCCTGAGGTGCCCTCCTCCTCCAGGTGGATGATCCTGCCGGGAAGGTAGAGGGGCGGGTACTTGGTGGGGGACGGCAGCGGGGAGCTGCGGGCCAGCAGGCTCTGCTCCCCGAGGAGAGGCTGCGTCAGGTCCGCGTGGCCGTCCCCGTCCAGCTCGGTCGGCAGGCTGTCCGGGTCCCCTCCGAAGAGCTCGTACCAGCACCCGCGCAGCAGAATCTTGTACTAGGGCGAGACCCGAGAAGGCCGCGTCCCCGTCATTCCGGCTCCACAGTCCCCGGCGAGCACCCGGACCCGTGAGCCGCTGTGAGGTAGGTGCAGCGACTCAGGTGCGGGGCTGCGTCCTCGTCCTTAAGTCCCAGAGCTGAGCAGTGTGGGGGTCAGTGGCCTAAACTCAGGGCTCTCTTGGGCAAAGGAGCCGTCACACTAGAAGCAATAGTTAAAAACCAAACCACGTGGATTGAGGGGAAATTACCCTTAATTCTGTTCAGGTAACTGCAAAACAGTCTTTCTCTCCCCTTAAAGACATTAGATGCTAATATTTTAAAATCTGGGGTGACAGCTGGTAAGTAGAAGGTGTATTTTAAGTTCTTAATATTTTTTCTGATTAGCAACAAAATCTAAAAATGTCAGAGATGTACATGAAATCACATTTTGATATTTTTTGGGTCCAAGTTCATGTATCTCCTTGTTACCGCCCCCAGGCCTCAGACCACACCTCTAACAACCGTTCCTATTACTATCATCTTTAATGGCTGCATAATGTTACACAGGACAGACATACCATTATGTCTTACACTCCAGATGTGGCAGCCTTACTTTCTAAACTTTGGGACCAAAGGCATCAGGACACTGTTGGTCACAAGACAGGGTTAAGAAGTATGACAGCAAGTCATTCCATTGGGCCAGGGACAGTTCTGTGGCAGGAGTGGCTACTGGTATTTCATGTGCTGGATTTAGCCCTTTGTGTCCTTAGGCATCACCTGTGGGCACAGACGTCTGACCGGTGAGCAACGGCATCGCCTACCCTGGGCTAAGAGGCCTTGAGTTTAGAAACATCTTCCCAAGGCCCCGCAGGGCGCAGACCCGCCCACGGCGCGAGCTACCTTGGGCTTGTTGCAGTGAGCAATCACTCGCAAGATCCTCTTCTTCAGGTCTTCCATGTTGGCCACACTTAACCTGTTTATCCAAAGATCAGATGGAGGCTCAGGATTCAGTCTTTCCGGCAGCCCCCCGCCCCCGGCAAAGCCCCCGGCGGACTGACCTGGGAATCACATCCTTGCCCAGGACAAGGGACACGATGAAGTCCTTGGAGTATTCATGAAGGGCCTTGCTGAAATTCAAAAAAAAAAAAAAAAAAAGGTAAGAAAAATGAGTTAACTTTTTTACCCCTACCATAACTCGAAAAGATGGCGTGCCCCCAGGTGTCCGGCGCGGCGTCATTCACAGCCGCCGAGCGGGGGACCACCTCAGCGTCCCTGGAAGAACGAATGGATGAACAAGATGTGTGTGTAGACATGTGCACACACGGAATATTACTGAACCATAAAAGACAACGGAATCTCGGGGGCCTCTGAGATCTCGCTCCCTGGCATATGTGGTCATTGTGGCTCAAATAAACCCTTATAAAACTTTTCTATAAATAATTGAAATCTTGCATTTGGAAAAACACGGAAGGATGGTGAGGACACTGTGTTAAGTGAGGTTAAGTCAGACAAACACATACCATATGATCTCACCTGTATGTGGGATCTACCAGAAGCGAGCTTACGGAGAGCAGATCAGTGGCTGCCTGGGGGTGGGGGGGGAAATGGCTGAAGGGAGGGGGGACGCCCAGTTATAAAATAAGCACATCGACTGCCGTAAGCTCTGCTGTGAATAGTTGAAGGTCGCTAAGAGTCGTCAAAAGAAAAAATGTGCGGTGACAGACGTTAACTAGACTATTCATGGAGATAATTTTGCGAGAGATGGAAGCATTGGATCACTGTATTGTGCACCCAGGATGAATAAAATGTTCTTAGTCAGCATCGTACCATTTAGGAAATCGAAGCCATGGTCACACCCATGAGAGGCTTTTTCCTCTTTCTGCCACTAAATACTACTTGAAAAACAAATCTCTGGGGATGAAAAGTTAAACCACCAAAAGACCTGCCTGGACCAGCACCGGCCCGCAGCGCTGGCCCCTCCGAGCGCAGTACCTGAGCAGCCCCCGGGGCGGGGAGAAGGCGTAGCAGCGGACGTGCGGGTAGGCGCTTCTGAGCATGAAGGCCAGCAGGGCCGCAGCGCCCGCCCCCAGGCTGTGCCCCACCACGACCAGCCGGTACTCCTGGGGGACAGACGCAGAACGCGGACAGGTTAGAAACCAAACAGCAGATGGCAGAGCAAAGGGAAGAAGCAGAAAAACGGCAGTCTCACAGGAGCGACGCTGAAGGCCTGGCTCAGAATCCCATCGTTGATGAGTCGTCGGTACACGTAGGAGGCAGCCTGACAAATCCCCTGGAAACAGACGAAGGAGGCGACTCGTGACTCGAACGAGGCAGGTTCCGCAGGACGGGCGACGGGGCTGTGCTGTGCACTTATCTGTGACTCTGTCCCCCATTAAGAGATAAGCGTCTTGAGCAGGGGCCACGCCCGCCGCTCAGTGACATTCCTGGCACCTGCAGCAGAGCTGGGCATGCCACCAGGTGAACTGCACACATTCCCGGGGACAGATGGGTGACACCAGAAACACCTGTCCTCGTCAGTGGGTGCTCCCGTGGCGTTTTCTGTGCCTGTGTACTCTTGCCATTTGGACATGCCGTGGGCTAGTCCAGCCAGGTCCCTACGGTTGGTCACGTTGCAATGATACACGACTGAGGTTTCAAAATGATGTTAACAAAGTTTGGAATCAGTGGTGTTGATTAAGTGCCCACTGTTCCTGCAAAGGCAAAACTCAGAGCTTCACAGTGAGTTTTAGGGAAGCCAGGTTTGATTTAATTTAAAAAAAATACAGTGTAAAACTCCCTCACGAATACAGCTCTCTCACAGATTCTCAAAAGCCAAGCTGTTCCCACAGGGAGAGGTGATGCTCCAAGCGCGTCCTGCCCAGGCAGGTGCGGCCTTGGGCAGCCTGGCCTCCCATGGAGGCGGGGGGGCGGGGGTAGATTCCAGGCAGACAGCAGACTGGCCGGCCCTCTCCGGAGCCACTGCGTGTTTCCGATTCTGTAATCATGTTATTCTGTCAGTACAGTGCTGATGCCGGCCTCAGATGAGAAACCAAAAGGCAACTTGAAGCGTTTGCCATTTTGGGGACAATGTGACAGCACTTCCTGACAACCACCCGGTTTCCCCTCATGCCCTGCAAGTGCACAGCACAGTCGGCTTCCTCCAGCGCTCACTGGGCGCCGATCACACGGCCGGCCCTGGGCAGCCAGAGCCGGGCCACCTGGACCACAGCGGCTGCCGGGGCGCCTCCCTGGCACAGGCCTCATGCACACAATGCCTAGACCGCCGCCAGCGGCAGAGCTTCCAGTGCCGGGTGCCGTGGCCAGTGCCACAGCCAAAGCCAAGAGCAGAGGACACCCGGGCCCTGGGCCCGAGCCGCTGTCCTGCCGGCCTGCGGGGAAGCACTGCTGCAGGATGAGTTGGAGCTGCAGGCCTCGCCCCAAGCGCCGTGGCCACGGTCCCGAAGCCCGGACCCGCGGGTCGGCGAGGCCCGTCAGGACTGACCACTGCTGAGCCCTGTGGACTGGGGGGCTGGTTGGTGTGTCCCCAACGAGGCTCAACAGTTTTTCTCAAACGTGTCCAATAATAAAATGGACTCTTTCGTGACTTGAGACGCAGATGTATCGCTCAGAGTTAAAGGGAAAACCCCCCACTCCCAGGGCTGTTGGGCTTCTGACAGGCGGCCCCCGAAGCCCGCACTCCGCCCCCTACTGGAAACTGTCCTGGCCGGACACCCGGGCTGGTGACCCGCAGCTACACTCTTGCATAACCCACATCTGAATTAAAGTCAAGCATTTTATTTAAAAAAATGATTACTACAGAAGTGACATATTTTAGTTAAAAAAAGCACACCAAGTGCACAGGCTGGCACAAGCCCGTGGCCCCGTGGCCCCGACACCTGGTGGCCCTTGCAGCCTCCAGGACCTCGTCTGTCACCGGAAGCGCACGTCTGTCACCGGAAGCGCCCGCGGAAACCACAGCGGGATGCCCTCCGCCCTCCGCCCTCCGCCCTCCGCCCCGCAGAGGACGGCCTCCCTGAAGAGAACGGGAAGTGCGGACCCGGGGAAGCGGAACCGGGGCGCGCGCCTGGTGGGATGGTGGGATGCAAAACGGGGCGGCTGCTGGAAAACTAAACTGCGGGTTCCTCAAAAAGTGAAGCACAGAAGCACCCGGCCATCCCCGTGCTGGGCCCGCACTCAGAAGGAACGAAAGCAGGGGCTGGCGCACACATCTGCACGCCCACGCGCAGCAACATCGGTCACGACCGTCGCAGCGTGGGCACGGCCCGGGGTCCGCCTGTGGCTGAACGGATGAAGCGGGGCGGGGGCGGGGCAGGCGTGTCCTGACGCAGCCACCGCGGGGACGGACCCTGAGAGCAGGACGCTGGGGGAAGGAAACCAGGAGTAAAGGGCCCGCGCGGCACGACTCCCCCCACAGGAGGTCGCAAGGGGAGCTGCCTCCTCGGGGACAGCAGAGTGGCGCTTACCGGGGGCTGGGGAGGGGCTCAGCGTCCCCGGTTTGGGACGATGAGGGTTACAGGTGTAGACAGTGGGGACGGATACACAGCACTGAATGTATTGTATGGAATGCAACGTGAATGTACTTAGTGCTGCTGAATCGAACACTTAGAAACAGTTAAAATGAAAAATACAGGGTCTGGCAGAAGCAATGCCTGCTTGAGTATAGTTTGTAGGGTAAGAATATGGGTGTAATAATTAGTTTTAATTTGAACATCTCACCTAAAATGTCATCTAGTGTGTTTAAGTGTGATTGTCATGTTACAGAAGTACATGCTTATGATTCTGTAATTAAAAAGGGGCGTGGTTTGGGCCGCACCCTGTATTATGCCCTGTACACTTAAAACGGTAGGAAAACGCGACAACGCTCCGGGCAGGCCCTGTTCCCAACCCTGCAGGGGGCGCTCACGCGCCCTGCCCACAGCACCGCACAGGCAGGCCTGCACCGCGGGCAGCCCGGCTCCCGCAGAGAAAACGTGGGGAGCGCCCCCAGACAGCGCCGCTGCCCCCACTCGGGAGGGCTCCTGATGCGGGGGGCTAGTGCGCACTGTACTCAGCTAAGGTTATTTCTTCCACCGTCAGAATGTATCGCTGAAATTACAAGGGAAGAAAACATTCCACTGGAGTTCATGTGCCGACTCTGATACTCCTTCCCAGGACTGTGTGGCTTACGGTAAGTCCCTCTGAACCAGCGTCTGTCTCGTCGAGGGCTGGGGTGCGGACGGCACTGGGAGAACCAGCGCGCTCACCGGGGGCTGCGCTTGGCTGGGGCAGCTGTTTGTTATGTGGTGGGAGTTAACGACGCATTCAGAGTCGGGAAATTCTGACCCCCTTCACCTTAGAAACACCCCAGGCCCCAGGGCTTCTACCTTATGAGCCAAACGGTCTTCCACGTCACACTCTACGTCCAGGGTCTCACACTCCGCTGACAGGTCTGTGAGGATGTCCTACAGAAGGGCATCGGAAGGAACGGCGTCAGCTGGGGTGCGCCGGGCACCGTCTGAGGCTGGGCTGGGGGGACAGCGGGGATGGCCGTCTCCCGGGTCAGACTGCTGCAACCTGAACCCCTGAAGCCGGAACTCAGGAGAGAAACCCAGGTGGCCGGCAGCTCCAGAGACCGGAGGCCCAGCCAGCTCTGGGCCAGGTGTGAACAGCAGGGAGGAGGGCCTGGGACCCCTCCAAGACACCCCTCCGTCCTCCCTCACTGCACAGGTCCAAGTGCCACGAAGCGCCTGAGAGCCCTGCACTGGGGCTCACCCACAGCTCGCTGCGGGGGGGCGGGGGGGCGGTGGACAAAGCCGGCCACGGAGGCTCTTGGAGGAAGTGGCACCTGAGCTGAGAGCCCCCAAAAAATCGCTTTTAGGGAGAAGACAGGCAGGCATCTTCACCTGAGGGAGCCGCAGGACACAAGACAGAGGCACCTACAGTGGAAGCAGCGGTGGGCTGGGCTCGCGGGCGCCCAGCAACGCACGCATCAACGGGCTGCGGCAGAGAGGCGGCCTCGGGGAGGCAGGTGTGTCCCCAGGACCCAGGGGGCCGACCTGGGCAGCACCGGCCCCAGGCTGAGCTCCCAATGCCCAGGGGGCTGGAGAGGCAGGCAGGGTGGGTTGTAAAGCGCCTGCACAGCTGCAGCAAGAAACGTTGGCTCTGTGAGAAGCGGCAGGGAGCCCTGGAGGTTTCTGGGGAGTGGTAGGATCTGACCCATGTTCTTGAAAGGGTTCTGTCGACAGTACTTGGGACAGACTGGGACAGCGGGAGACTAGACACAGGGACCAGGGTCAAAAACGTTCCCTAGACCGGGAAAGACAGGACGGGTCCAGGACGAGGGTGGGGAGATGGCCTGAGACTGGGGTCCGGGCAGGACCATGCGCTCAACAGCCTGGGCGCTGAGGGAGGAGGCGGCCAATGACCACATCCTCATCCTCGCGTCTCCGTGGGCGGCCGGACGCGACGCCAGCCGGGGAGGGGGCGGGCACGGGGGCAGGGAGGGACAGGAGCACAGTGCGGCTCCAACACAGCTGCTTAACTGACTCCTCCGTTCTGGCCTCGGAGGTAGAGAATCCAAGGGGAGGGTCTTCCAGGTTGGGGGCCTGGCCAGGCACGTCTGGGGGTCAAGCGGGTACCCCCATCGGGCTCCTCCAGGAGGAGCACCCACCCCCTGGCGTCCGTCTCTGACATCTCTCAGCTGAAAGGAAAGACCTTCACCCACTTTTCAAAGGAAGGCTTTCGCAACCCCGGCTCACTTCCCCGTTCCCGGCCCGGGGCTTCCCTCCAAGTCTGATGCGGAGCCCGGACGGCCTGCCCACCCGGTGGAGCAGGGCCTGCAGGCGTCTGAGCCCCGCAGGCTGGCGCCCCCTTGTTCCCAGGCCTGACGTCACGCTGCTTACCTGCAGGGACATGGTTCCTCTCACAGCGACCACCACGGATTCTTTCCTGTGATCCAGAGCCACTAAAAAGGGAAGCTCATAGACCTGCAGGGGGAGAGGCGCGAGGACTGAATTAGCACACACGCCTGCCCCAGTGGGGCCGCCTCCCGGGGGCACGGCCGGCCGCCCCGGTTCTCCATGCTGCAAGGCTTTCACGGACCATGCCTTCGTTCACGTGAACAAGTCCCTCTGCTTCCCCTTCCCGGCCCCCGACCTCCCTCCCGTGTGCTGTGTGGCTGAGGGGGCTACAGGCTCGCTGGGCCTCGCTCGCTGTGGCCCAGCAATGCAGGTCTGTGGCTAAGTGCAGTGCTACGCGAAGCAACTCCAAGTCGTCCGTCTGGGCCAGACCAACAGGTACCGTCTGCCAACGCCTCCCTGCGGGTTACCACCTTCCCTGCAGGCGGGCGGGGCCGGCGCGCTGGCAGGTGAGAGGTCTGGGCCAGGCGGGCCTCACTCCCATCCAGCACCGCGCACAGGTAAAGCTGCGACTCGGTGCTGGCCCTCGCAGCCAGTCCTGCAAGGATGCTGAGGGCGTCCCTGTCGCTAGCGCCCCTTCATCTTCCGGAGGGTGGGGCGGCCCCAGCTCTGCAGGCCGGAGTGCAGCTGGCAACGGGCCAACGACAGCAGTGCCGCGATGACGGCCACCGGCTGACCACGAACGCCCCGGGTGTGGAGCGAGTGGGAGAGAGAAGACGCCGTCTTCACCCCCCGGCTGCCCCACCGGGGCTCCTGGAGAGAGCTCCCAGAACAGTCGCAAGCCCCCCGAGAAATGATCTTCTCTGAGACAGTGCCGCTCTCCCTGGCCCGATGGCCGGGTGAGGGCAGCGCTCAGCCCTCAGACTCGTCGCGCTTCTCAGGGCGACATCACACCCGGTCCCCCATGACATCCGGTGTCACGGGGCGGCCTGCGACCTGGGCTTCTGGGAGCCGCTGGGCTGGAGGGCGGGTGCTCACCAGTGGCTCCCAACCCGTCTGCACAGTGGAATCCCCTCAGGGCTCCGAGCCGAGGTGGGCAGGCCGGGGGCCGGGGGGGCCCTGCCGGAGGCTCTGATGTAATGGGCCCAGGTGCGGCCTGGATGTGCGGGGATTTCAAAGCTCCCGGGAGAGCCTCTGAGGCAGCATGTAGTTCGAGAACTGAGAGATCACGGGATCCTAACTGCTGCACGTGAGAGTCGCCTGGGGAGCTGCGAAGCCACACCAAGGACAGGTCGTAGAGGCTGGACAGCGTGGGCTTCTGTGGGGCCACCAGCTTCCCAGTGCTCCCGGCCCCCTGCAGAGTGCGAGACCCACTGCGCTACGCCCTGTGGATGCGGCTCAGACCCAGAGACGGGGACTGAGCGACTCCGGGCACCGCTGAGGGTCCACCCCCACGGGCCTCGCTGCTCTGCCGTAAAGGACGGACCCGGGTAAAGACGCAGCACAGCCCCGCCGGTGCAGGCTTTTTGCCCCACCGGACGCTGCACCCGCGTGGGCCTCCGGGGGTTTGAAACGCCCCTGGGATGACATGCAAAACTTGGGGGAAGAGTGCGAGGTGTGCATGTCTACGCACAGTTTCTGGGGGAAAAACTGAGAACTTCGTCAGAATTCAACGGACGCCCAGAACCCAAAGAAGTCAGACGTGCTGCCGTACTCACCTTGTCGTGAAAGCTGACGTGAACGAAGTCCCGGTACTGCAGCCCTGTCGTTTGCAGGATGGAGCCAAAATGACAGTGGAGCTGATCACCTCCAACCAAGTCATAGTCTGTTGTCCTGCTTCTGCAGCTAAGCACAGGGACAACCTGAGCCGCGGACCAAGGGACGCCGCACCCCATCTTGCTTCCCCAGCAAACGCAGGGCCTGAGTTCACAGTTTCCAGGACTTCGTCTGGCTAACATGTAATGGCCCTTAAAAGACAATGCGTTTCCCTTCTCACTAGAGTTGTGACATCTGGGATCACATGAGTGCTTTACCTTTTCAAAAAACGAATTAAGTCAACACGGATGGAGAGACCCTAAAATCACCAGCAACGGGACAAACTGCCAGCCGGCGTCTCCCACCGTGACGCGCCGTGAAGGGCAAGATTCCTCACAGAGCGTCCCTGCTGAGGGTGTGTGGCTTGCACGTAACCGTGCAGAGTGAGGGCCAGGCTACGAACTACCTGGACTGGACTTTTCAAAACGTCAATATCATGAGGGATAAAAAATGACTGAGAGGCTGCTCCAGGCTGAAGGAGACGTAACTAAATGCAACACATAGTGCTGGAGCGGAGGAAGAGTTGCTATAAAAATATTAGTGGGACAATGGGGAAACTGGAATACAAGTTGTAAATTAGCTAATGACTCATGATAAATTTCCTGAATTTTGTAACTGTGCTGTAGTTATGTGAAAGAACGTCCTTGTTCTTACGAAAAACAGGATGTCGGCATTAGAGACAAAGGGACATGATGTCTGCAACTAAACCCCAGTGCTGGGGGAGAGCTGCCGAGAGGGACGCCGCCCACGTGACCACCGAGTCCCAGCTGGTGCCTCCAGATAAAGGAGATATGGGAATTCTCAGTGCTGCTCTTGCAGTTTCTAAAATATTGCAAAATAGAAAGTTTTCTTTTTTTTTTTTTTTAAGGGAAATGTGATTACTTTTAGAAAATAATGTGCAGGCAGCACAGCAAACGACATGGGGGAGGAAGGCGGAGGCCTCCTGCCAACCCCCCGCCACCACTGCCCACCCCGCGCAGCGCCGAGCACCTACCAGTCGCCGCCGATTTTGCAGAGCCCGGTGAACGGGTTCCTGTAGATGTAGAGGGGCCACCCGTAGGCAGCCGCCGCGAACTGCATGTAGTGGTGGCAGTTCGCTAACTCTGCACCCAGGTCGGCTTCCTGCAGGAGGACAAAGCCAGCCCTTCGTCACGGGGAACCGCTCCGCAAAGGACCAACGAAAGCCTCAAACCTGAACTCGAAATCTGATTCTCCCCGTCTCTGCTCATGGAACACACCCCTCGGAGCATGTCCACAGGGAAAACGGGTCCTTAGACACACATGGCAACCGACCCCTCATTTCACAGCAGTGCAGCCGGTACCCGGGGTTGGCAGCAAAGACCTCCAACGTCCTCCCAGGCTCCTGGTGGGCGGAGCGGGGGACTCCCACCTGGCACAGGACAAACCAGCAGATTTCCATGCCGCTGCAACCAACCAGCTGGGGGACAGGAGCCTGAGGAAGGCGCAGCGGGACACGCGCATCTACGTGGACTTTCCTCTCCCCAAAGTACAAAGGTTTGTGGCAGGAAAACTCTCACCAAGGAAAGCTGGCTTCCCTGCCCCAGGCCCAGGGAAGGGAAGGCCCCGCCGCTGCAGGGAGTTCTGAAGTGTGGACTCACGGCCAGGTGCCTGGGAGAGGGTGCTTTAAAGATACCACGGATGGCGAAGGGGCCGGCAAGGGGCTCCTCCACCGGACCCCAGGCGGCAGGCGGCACACCGCAGCCTGCGCCCGCTGCGCTTTTGGTTCTGAGCCAGCGCCCGATCCGGCTGCTGGCTAGGTTTGTTTGTTTGTTTGTTTTTGGTTTCTTTTCTTTTGAAAAGATTTACAAATGAATGTAAATGTCAAGACTGTATAACCCACAGAAACACAGGCGTACCTGGGAGGAGCCTGGGGAGTGGCTGATCACTTCCTTGGGCTCCTGGCTGTTCCTGAGACTGTCCTGCTGCTGGTGGAGCAGGGTGAGGCCTGCTGCGATGTCACTGGGCACTAGATCTGTGTCCTGGGGGCGAGACCACAGGGGCTTGTCATACAACGTGGCAGGAGTTGCCTGTGAGTTCCTTAAAATCAGTTGTATATAATTCGCACATGCGTGCACATGCAGATATAGCTGTATGTAAAAAGGTGTTTAAAAATGTATTTTCCTTTCAGGGCTCCTCCTATATGTGAGCTTAATGTGTTTCATTATCCTGCCCTCAGACAAACCCGCTGGAGAACAAAAAAATTTTGTGGGTCTCTATTTCAAAGTGTCCTTCAATGACTTAGCTGTTTTTAATCTACCTCCCATCTTTTATAAGTCGGGGGAGTCGGTGGGTGAATTTGCCGCTTTTGTGGCAACAGCCGATTCTGGCCCCAGCTTACACTCTCAGCGGGCACAGCGGGCCTGGGAAAGAACCGTGAGCTGGGGAAGCGGCCGAGTCTCTTCAGCCCGACCTTGCCCTTCCCTCCCAGGAGGGCTAGCAAGCTGGCAGGGGTCGCGCCTCCTGTGGGCCCTTCTGGCCCAGAGGAAAGAACCGGGTGCTGGCCACTGAGCCCCGAGTTCCCTGCATGGTCCCTGGGTGTGATACAGGTCACGTCACCCTCTAGGAAGTGCCAGGCTCTCTTCTCCCTTCCTCCGCCTGGCTCCGGACTAGGCTGGAGCACTCCTTCACAGTGTCTCAGGGGACACGTTCCTCCGATCTACACACAGAGGCTGCTACCGCTGGACACCACAGAGCTGGGACAGAGAGCACAGGTGCGTGCGCGGCGCCGGAAAAGAGCCTCTGCCCCGCCTTGGGCTCAACGACGCCCACAGAGCAGTTTACTGGAGGCCAACCATGCTACGGAAAGACGCGCTTTAAACGTGAAAGAAAAACAAATGTCCCCAAGTTGCTGAAGAAACCATTCTATAACGGCGACGCCCTTCTGCATGGCAACAAACTACTCAAACTTTCCGTCAAAGCAGGCTGATCTACCGGTTCGATCAGGCCGTAAAGCAGGAAGAAGCCAAGGTCTGAGGGTGCCTCAGGCACGCGGCCCCCTGTGTGTGGTGTCTGCTGAGTACCGACTGGCGGGCGGACGTGAAAAGACAACCGCGAATTATTCCCAAAATGTACAGATTCCTTAAAACATATTTAGTTCATCAAAAAGCTAATTCAAAACCCCCTCTGTGTCAACACCAGGAGGCAGTGACCAGAGGCAGGGTCTGCCTGCCAACGCAGGGCCCGGCTACTGCCCCCAGAGAACCCGAGTGCGCGTCCCAGGGCAGAGCATCTCCCCCGCCCCCACCCTCCGGTTACAAACTCTCCAGGGCTACTTTACGTGAACGAGGGACCGGCTCAAAGGGCAGAGCACTCATCTTAACACAAGCAGCATATACCCAAGCAGAAGGAAGGCACGAAGCCAGACCCCCGCAGCTTACTGAGAAGAAGGTTGAGAAAAGCTCCGCTGTACTAGAGAAGGCAACGCGAGTGTGGTCGTCCTTCCCAACGCAGCAGCACAGGAGCTTGATTCTGGTTTCCCACACGCTCGTGGCTGCCGTCTTGAGGCCCGTAAGAAACTGGCTCGACTCGTGACTGTCCAGGAGGTTGGTGCCAGCAGCGGGGTACAGAGCCGCTGTCTTCCCCCCCAGGGGGTCAAAGACGATGACAATGGTGACCACAGTGGAGATGATGATCATCCAGCTGCAAAACAGAGAGCGAGCAGGCCGTGGCGGTGGGTGCCCCACCGGAGGCCGGCGCCGGGGGCTCCCTCTGGCAGCTCCGGTTTTCTGTCTGCACTACTGCGGCCCCCGCTCCCGAGGAAGACGCAGCTCTCCCAGAGCCTGGCTGAGGCGCGTGCTCGTCTCCAGAGCGCTCCTCATGAGGCCCCACGAAGACCAGAGCCCTAACAGCAAAGGCCGCAAAAGAACAAGGGCGCTGCGGGTGGGCAGAGCTGCAGCCCCCGACCGAGACCCAGGCCCTGCCTCCTCCGGGGCTTCTCGGTAAAACGGAAAGAACTTTTTCCACAGCGTGAGGACTCGGACAGTCTTTCGCCCAGAGGATTAAGGGCTTCCAGGCTGTCCACCACGGTCAAGGCTCTGTGGGTTCATGACCGTGTGCTCTAGCACAAGAGGAGCCTCGGAGAAGGAACTCTGCTGCCCCTGGTGGCGAGACCCAGGAAGCGCACTGTCAGCATGATGGTCCGTGTCCTTATTTACAACACAAGGGATGCAGCTAGATCTTTCAAAAATTTTTAGCCTGGAAAATGCAAAAATCTCTTTCTAGTGTCTAATTCTCTGTTGCCACTCTTCTCATCCTGCATTTACTGTTGGCCTTTGCTCTAGTCTTCGGGTTTTTTCCCTTCTTATGTGGGAAGGGAGGGAATACAGCACAGTGAGAACTGGTAAGAAAGGAAACGCCATCGACAGGTGTGTAATGGAAGATGGATTACTTCTCATGTGTCAACGGGTGCCTCTGAACGCGTAGTTTCCTTATAAAGGTCCACCTCCCCACTCTGTTAGGGAGCGCGCAGGCGCTGGGCTACCTGCAGCTACTCAGGAGGGCTTGTCTCCCCGGGCCGCCCCCGCACCTGTGACAAGGGACGGACAGAGACGGTGGGAAGGCCTCACCTGACCACGACCGTCGCGATGATGCTGTTCACAACTATCCTGTCACACTGGACGCTGCCTGCTATCCAGGTGGCCCCCAGCGAAGCCCAGGCCATCTCGGGCACAAAGAGCGCGAGGCGGACGTACAGCAGCTTCGCCATGGACTTCCGCGGCCCCGGGTTGCAGATGGTCCCTGAAACACAGGAGGCGCTGGCGCGGGTCGCCTGCTTCCTCAGAGACAGAGCCCCCCTTCCACAGAGACGCGACCCTAGGGCGCCCGCCGTGCTGCGCGCGCACCCGCCACCTGGCCTTTTCTGCCTGTAACTGGCAACCAGTGCCCAAGGCTGGGAGTACGTGACGGGAAGTGGAAACGGGACAAAAAGCCTCAGATTTATTTCTTAGACTTCTTAGGGTTTAAAAACACTTTGGGGTTCTAACTAGGGTGTCCATACAGTCACCGTCCAGTTTGGAAAGGTGCGGTTAACAATTATGCTAGGACAGCCCTGGCTGGCGTGGCTCAGTGGACTGAGCACCGGCCCGCAAAACAAAAGGTCGCGGGTTCGATTCCCAGTGAGGGCTCATGCTTGGGTTGTGGGCCAGGTCCCCAGTCGGGGGTACATGAGGGGCGACCGCACATGGGTGTTTCTCTCCCTCTCGGTCTCCTTCCCCTCCTCTCTCTTGGAAAATGAATAAATAAGATCTTAAGGATAAATAAATAAAAACAAACAATTATGCTGGGACAACCAGTGTCAAACAGAACTATCCCAGGCAAACAGAGAGAAAGTTCTAACAGCCAAGAAAATAAGGCCCGCCCTCCCCTGGAGCCCTGTCTCTCCAGGCACCGCGGAACCCTTCCCACCCACTGCCCCTTCACCCCCACAGCACCTGTGGGGCAGCACCATCCCAGTTTGCAAACGAGGAACCTGAGGCTCCCAGAGCATAGTAGCTACTCTCCCAAGTATGACCCGGGTCTATGACCCCGCTCTCCGCTCCCCAGCGCCCCGTGGTCCTCGCTTCCGGGACGTGAACAATGCTGACGTTCAGGGCCCCTGAAAGACGCCGAGTGTTTTAGACGCAACACTTGTACTGTATTTGTAAAATAAATCCAAGTGTCAACAGAGGCCTGTATGCTTTAATTCTCGATGTAAATCATCAACTCTCTCCGTCTGGGAAAAAGATATGATAAATGCTCATTTAAGGAACACAAAAATGACATACAATCCAAACAATAAATCTAAGCCCTAAAGAATAATTTGGTAAGGGGATCGCTTTTAAGTTCCAAAAATTGTCTTCCGCTAGAATGAATTACTGACAATCATATTTTAAAATATTAGACGCTATCAGGCCTCATTTTTGGCACAAAGGCGAGAGCTCATGAGGTAAGTGACTCAGCCCTCTCTCTGTGGGAGGCTGAGCACAGGCGTGAAAAAATCAGTTCTATATCTGGAGCTTGTTATGGTGTAACAACAGCCAATCGCTCAGAGAAACAGGAATTAACAGGAATCGCTGCCTGCACACGCCCACTCTCGCAGCACACGGGCGTGGTGGCCTCACACCCAGCAGCCCCCGGACCTGAACCGCCCAACAGACTGACCCTGCGGAATGAGATAAAATACATGAATGAGGAAGCAGGAGTTCTGGTTAAGGCTCCAGAAAAGAAATAACATACCGAAAGTGGCTCCTTTACACAGTCACACCTGCCCAGCAAACATTTTTACCTGACTTAAGATACTTATTTTCTTCTCAAGAGACAGCGTTGCTGGCGAGGCCTCAGCCGCTGCAGTGGGCGTGGTGGTGCCAGCGCGGCACCTTAGCAAGGCAGCTGCATCCCTGAAAGCTGGTTCGCAGCAGTCCTGGCGAGGTGACCCCTTGCCTTTCACAAGGCACGGCCATTTCTTAGGGTTTAAAAACACAAGCGCTACAAAAGGAAGGGCTGCATCGCGGACCCTTGGATTCAGCACCTCTGGCCACCGTGGCAACCTCCTCCGGCGTGGGAGGAGCGACGCGCTTTTGAGATACAAATGCAGAGGAGGGCATGATGTCCACTAATCAAAACCAGACACGGGAATGCACACCTTGTACGTCAAGGGTGTCCTATGGAAACGTGGTAGTCAAGAGGGTGGCCCTTCCCTAATTAAACCTCCCACACGGCAGGACCAGTCGGATCGCATCAGGGAGGCTCTCAAATCAAAACTAGAAGCTACCACGAGGAGATCAGGACTCTCCCCAACTGGGCTACAGAGCTGACCAACAGATGGAGGACCTGTAAACACACAAGCTGCTGTCTCTTGGACAAAATTGACTGAATTCCAGCCCTGGCTGGTGTGGCTCAGTGGGGTGAGCGCCAGTCTGTGAACCAAAAGGTCACCAGTTTGGTTCCCAGTCAGGGCACATGCCTGGGTTGCGGGCCAGGTCCCCAGTTGGGGCATGTGAGAGGCACCCGATCGACGTTTCTCTCTCTCTCTTTCTCCTCCCTTCCCCTCTTTCTAAGGAGTAAACAAAATATTTTATTAAGACAAGACTGAATTGCATTTGTTCCACTTATGCTCTATCACTTGTGTTTCTTTTGGGAGATAAGTCATCCAAAAGCTAAATAAACGTGGTCTTTCCACTCAAAAGACAGACACGCTACCGAGATGACTAATAAAGCAGAAGGGGCAATGGAGCCTCTCCACGCGTCAAGAGTGAATGTGTCACCAGTTACTTAAAAAGGCACCTAAAATATATAATTAAGAAAAAATTCACCGATGTTGTGCAGGTTACACATGTAAAGGGTGAAAAGTTCCTATGGTTCAAGTAGGTATAAAGTCAGTATTTAGTCTTTCTCCACCTCTTCAGTTACCTTCCTAAAAGTAAACTAGCAGCTTGTGAGGCTTCCCCGAGTCCACACATGACCAAACATGCGACGGGTACACACACCCTTCGGAAAAAGCAGCCAACTAATGCAATGCTCTGTGCCTCAGTGCAGGGGAAGCCCCGCCCCATCTGTTCAAGCATTTCTCGTCCTTTTTAATAGGCGCACAGCAGACCATCACACAGAGGAACCACGCGCTCCCTAACCAGTGGCCTAGCGACAGGCACGGGGTTTGTTCCAGTCTTCCGCACCTGTGAGCAGCGCTGCAGTGAGCGTCCCGATATATAGGAAAAAATGGACGGATATGCTCGCAGCCTAACTGGATTTCCAAGAGAGCCGACCACATTACATTCCCACCGACAACAGGAGCTGCTTGTTTCTGCACGGCCTCGACAACTCAATGTGTCCTCTAGGCAGGTTTTCCTTATTGTGACTCAGGCTGAACGATGTGAAAGTTATTTATGTTTAACCGTTCATGACCTTCGCTCATCTTTCTACCATTGATCTTTTTTTGATTTATTCAAAAATTTTTTAAAGATTTTATTTACTTATTTTTAGAGAGAGGGGAAGGGAGGAAGAAAGAGGAGAGGAACATGCCCCATCTGGTCTCTTGCATGCGCCCCAGCCAGGGACAGAACCTGCAGCCCAGGCACACACCCAGTGCAGTGACCTTCTGCTTTGTCAGACGACGCCCAACCAACTGAGCGCGCTGGTCAGGGCTTTTTCTTATTTATTACAAAAACTCCACATAATTAAGGAGATTGGCTCTAAGTCTCAGGTGTCACCATATTTTTTTCCTATTTTTTTTCTAACTTTCTTTATAGTATGTCTCACTAAAATCTACGTATCTTTACTAAAGCATACAATGTCAACCATTTCTAACAACTTGGCAGTTAAATTGATGAGTTTTGATAAAATACTGTTTTCAGTTCAGCTGTGATGACTCTGGCCACAAGTAACGGAAAATCCAATGCAAAGCAGCTTACAAACCAGAGACCTGCACTGACGTGGGGCCGGGGTAGGCGTCGGGGCTCCCCAGCTTCTCACTGCGCTGGCCCCCTGCGCGTGGGTGCCCCCCAGCTGAGCGCAGCAGGGGCTCGGCAGCCTGTCCAAGCGCAGCATCATCCTGAGGAGGAAGGCTTTCTCCGGAACTTCCCCGTAAGCTCCCTCACGTCCACGGGCCCCAGCGGAGTCACATGTCCACTCCTGAGCCTGGCTGAGGACCGGCTTCTCCACAGCAGAGCCTTGGTGTGCGGAGGGACGGGGGACATCCCGGATGACCCCGGGTGCGGCGTGGTGCCAGCGCTAAGGAGGAGGGGCCCAGGTGAATCCGGCCCCCCGCACAAGGGCGCGACTGTGCCCTGACAGCCCCAGAGATATCCGAAGGAAACCATTTCAGGGGAAAACCTTTACACTTTTGCTTCAAATCTGAACCCATGATTACAGTTGTAAACGTGGCGATTAACCGGAATGTGACCGAACGGAGGAGACACATGCCTTCAGTAATGCTGTATCTGGAATGGGACCTATCTCAATACTTCATCTTTCAGAGATTCCGACTAACAGCTTCGTGATGCTGCGAACGCCTCATGGTATGCATTCAGTTCCTTTTCTCTGGCATCCAGTGGCAAGCCAGCCTCAGGGACTGACACAGACCACCGAGAGAGGACCTTCTGGGACCCAGGCGCCACGCACCCGTTTGCAGAGGTGTAACTGAAGGACACGGAGCTCATTTTCTACAGCTTGCTCCAGTGAGTGGGCACAGGCCATGCTTCCTGGTCTTCCAAACCCGAAGGTTGTTTTCTCATGAAACGCTTTGCCACTAACATTTTTCTCTGTATCTCCCCTCGTGAACGAGCATTTTTTGAGTTTCAGTCTATCATCCCAGAATGCCACGAACTCGCTCTGACACCCACCACATCAGCTATGCCTCCCCGGTTTCATATCCACCTGCGATGCGGAAGTGCGCCTCCTACACCCGAGTTCAAGCTGCGATAAAACAGGGCGGTGCGTCGGACAGCGGCCTGCCCTGCCTTTGGCTGAGGCGCTTCACTTGGTCACCTATATCTTTATGAGTCACCAGAGCACTCAGCTCATCCTATGGACCAGAGCAATCGACAGGGGGGGTTTCCAACATTCTCAGCTAAGTGGCTATCTACAGAAAACGGTAACATGTAGAAAAATTATCACTAAGGATAGATGTAACTCTTGCAACTCATTAGTGAAAGGGCAAATAACTCAATTTAAAATTGGGCAAAGGATCTAAACACACATTTCTCCAAAAACTGGCAACAAACGGCCAATCAGCACATGAAAAGATGCTCAGTCTCATCAGTCATCAAGGAAATGCACATCAAAACAACCGTGAGACAGGCATCTCCCCTCCACGAGGAGGAGTCAGGTGACGAGTGTTGTTGAGGAGGCAGAGAAACTGGAGCCCTTACAAACTGGGGTGGGAAAGCACAATGGCGCAGCTGCTTGGAGAACACTCTCGCAGTTCCTCAGAAGGCTAGACAGAGTTATCGTAGCAATCCCGCCCCTCGGGACTCATCCAAGAGAAATGAAAACACGTGTCTATACAAAGACATGCCGGTAAATGTCCACGGCGGCATTATCTGTAATAGCCAGAAAGTGGGAACCACCCCAATGTCCACCTGCTGAGGAAGGAGTAAGTGAAACAGCATCTAGCCATTCCACAGAATATTATTCAGCCACAAACGGGAATGAGGTACCGACACACACTACCACATGGATAACCCTTGAAACCATTATGCTGAGGTAAGGAGCCAGGCCCAAAGGTCCAGCACAGGCAAATCTGCAGAGAAAGAAAGTCGCTTGGTGGCCGCCCAGGGCTGGGGAGATGTGACGAGCGACTCGGCACGGGTTCCTTCCTGGGTGATAAAAATGGTCTAAAAAACAGACTGCAGCGATGGTTGCACAACCCTGTGAATAGACCAGAAATCACTGAACTGCACGCTTTAAACGGGCGAACTGTATGCTGTGTGAATCACAGGTCGAGAAAGCTTCACATACACTGGGTGTCACACAGAAAAGGCTGCTCCTCTCACCTCTCATGCTGACGCCCACGATGGCCACCATGGCACATATGATAATGGCCAGCAGGACGATGAGGACGATCAGGTAGCTTCGGAGCGGGGCCCCGCCCGTACAGTCCAGCTCCCCCCGGCGCCGGACGTACAAGGTCACGATGCCGATCCACCTGTTGAGAAAGGGGAGGGTCAGGAACGCAACCCGAGGAGCTGCCTCGTACAACATGACAGAGAGAAAAGGGGTCAGTATCTTCCAAAATGAGCTGAGGTTTGCTCTGAAATATACTTTTCATCGATAAGCGAGTTTTATGCTTCCCACGTTACATAACTGTTCTGACCCTGTACCTGCTGAAGGGCGTTTACAGCCCTAAGAAAGCAGACGCAGTTCGGGCTGCTGCACGCGGCCCGGGTGACGCAGAAGTACACAACTGCTAAAGCAACACGCTGGATCCTTGCTAAATTATTCTCGACTTTTACTTCTGTGGATTAACAAAAAAGGACAGACACGCATTGTAATCTCCCGAGTAGATGGGAAGCAAGTTATGCGACGATGTTTTATTGCGCACACTGAGAAACTTGAAAGGACGGCTACTGTCCATTCATAAATATGTTTTGTAACTCAGTGCATAATGATGAAAGGCAGTGCCAAATAACGCCAAAGCAGTGGGCCTGCCGCTGGCGTATTTCAGCAGACGGCTCAGCCGCCCAGCAAGCACGCGGTATTAAGGATTCAAGTACAGGCCAAGGATTCCAGTCCAAGTGGAAAGGGACTCCGTAACTTTTTATGCTTTTGTCAGTTCTGCGAGAGCACGACCGTGTATCTAGAAATAATGGGAAGTGACCTGCAAAGACTTAGCTCCAAAAACTATGAAACCACTGTGCAGCAGCTCCTAACATTTCGTGTTTTTCTTTCTTTCCCGTGGAGAATCGACTGTAACAACAGCATTATTGCTCCTTGTTCAGGCCCTCTGATAACAGACCCCGGGGCCCCAATTCCTACAATTTCACACTTTGAAAAATAAGAGCGTATACGCCAAGCCTGTCTGCTTCTCGAGGAATTCAGAGGCACACCCGGCTGAAAAACGGCTCTGAAAGGCGCCATTCCCCATCTTTCTTTTCGCAGGTGAGAGATGCTGGTTGTCCCCGCGCAGGGCGCAGGAAGGGTGCAGGTGCTTGCTCCTGGGTGGAGGAAGCAGATCCGCACGCCCTGGCTTTCAGGATGCAAGGAAGTCCCGGCGACTCCCAGGGCTAAGACTGCCCGCACGCGGGCACCTGGGAGGGCTGCTCGTGCCCCGCAGCGCGTGCGTCCCAGCCGCGGGCCCACCTGCTCTGGACCTCAGTTTTGCAGGCTGTAAAATGGGAAGAGTAACCGCATTGCCACCTGCCTCCTCGGGAGGTGGCGAGAACTAGATAAGAGAACGCAAGGCAAACTCTGGACACTGCATTCACCTGACGACTGTCATTGCTCTCGGGAAGCTCGCCACCATGTCCCCCACCGCCTGCCCCCTCCTCGGCCCGGGACGCCCGATTGCACTTAAAGCCCGATGTGCTCACCAAAGCACACGCAGGAATAGCTCGAACAACCCCGGGAAGACCAAGTCGTCGCTGGCGATGGCCCAGCGCCGGCCGAAGAGCACCATCCCCGGCATGGTGAAGGCCCCACCGCCCGGCTTCGGGACAGCCTCTGCGCGCGATCACCGCCTCCGCCGCCGCCGCCGCCACTGAGCGTCTGGGGCCGTCCCGGCTCCAGGAGCAAACTGCCTGCGGCTCGGCGCATGCGCACGCGAGCAGGGAGCCAGGCGCACGCGCACGCCGACGCCAGGCCGGGCGCGCGCTGCGGGACCCTCTGCGCCTGTGCAGGTGCGCTGACCCGGAAGGCTCTGGCCGCTTTCCTCGCAGTTGTGCTGGGGCGTGAAGTCCGTTCTGCTTGTGGTACGTTTTCTAGATGGAGACTCATCTGGCCCGGAGGGACTAGTCAGCCAAGAGTCACACGGCTGTTAATGCGGACCTGGGGCGCATCCCAGTTGCGTCCTCTGTGCATCCCACGGTCCGGAGAAAGGAACGGGGGACCCTTCTGGAGTTCAGGGCCTGAAATCACTGGGCACGTTGGGGCTACGGGGTGGGGAATAGCCTGCTCTGCTCGCCTCCCTCCCGAGCAGGCCGTCGCTCAGTGCCTTAGGTCCTGCCCACGTTTCGGCGCCTCCACTCTCCTACCTGGCCCGAGCCCCCTTCGTCTCGTGCCCGGCCTCATCTCCCACTGCTCCGTTTCCTTCTGCTGTGCCTTTCCCCTCCAGCAGCCCGGGTGACTTCGTTGCACCGTCAGACCAAGCCCATCCTCCGCTTGGATCTTTGCACTTTGTGTGTAAAATACTAGACTCCAATCCCCCCGCAAAGGCCTTCCCAGGTCGTCACACGTCGCAAGTCCGTAAAGGAGTGTTTATCCATCTCCCCGAGTTAGGGTTAGTACTCTCTCCTTCCGTCACCCCACTGCCTGCCGCCTTCTGTTCCTCCCTAAAACTCATTCTCGCCCTGGGCCTTTACATTTTCTGTTTCCTCTGCCAGAGATGCTCCTGCCTGCTGTATTTCGCTGTGTCTCACTTCATTCAGGCCTCAGCTCAAGTGTCACTGCCTCTTAACAGGCCTCCCCTGGCCACCTTATCTAAAACGGCACACCCATCGGTTCCCATTCCCTTTCCCCACTTCAGATTTCTTCATAGCACTTAACCTCTCCCTGGCAGTTATCGCGCCTATTATCTCTCCCCTCCCACCTTCCCGTGTAAGTGGGAGCTAGGCACCCTGCCCATCTTGTTCACTGCTGCGCAAGCAATGGAATACATTAAATAGTTGATGAATGAACAAAATTCATGAAATGTCAAGATTTTCCAAGTCTGAAGTTCGTTCAGGGGTCTTCTAAAGGGCAAAATTTCAGGGTTAAAAATAATAATATTGAAATTGTATTGATGGTTGTCGAAATGATACAAGGAATTGTAAATAGCGAAGTTAGATTTTTATAGGATGGAGCCACTCATCCATTCATAAAATTAGTATTTGCCCTGGCTGGTGTGACTCAGTGGATTGAGTGCCAGCCTGCAAAGCAAGGGGTCGCTGGTTCAATTCCCAGTCAGGGTATATGGCTGGATTGCAGGCCAGGTCCCCAGTAGGGGGCGCTGGAGAGGCAACCAAACGTTAATGTTTCTCTTCTCTAAAAATACATAAATAAATAAATCTTTTTAAAAAATAAAATTTATAAAATTAATACTTACTAGGCACTTGACTAGGTAATGAGAGGTCAGGGAAGATATCCCTGAAGATACTAAAATGAGTCCTGGAGGAAAGAAGGAATTAAGGTGAGGGGGTGATTCAGAAGTTAGAGTAGGCCTGTGGTCGCACATAATCTTAAATGTAATCATTCCCTTTTGAAAACAGATTTGTAAGGTTAAATAGTAAGATAACTTTTCAATATAAACTTTTGTTGGTACGGTAGGTAGTGTGAAAATATTATATCGTGACCACCCACAGAACTATATTTGAGGTGGTATCCATGTTTAAAAAATAATATATTTTGTATAGATCTAATCAGTGCAAGTGTATTCTGCCCCTTCCATGTAATATCAATCCATTAGTTGAATTAGGCCCATTTTAAAACACTTCATCATGCGGGTATCTCATACAAAGCATGTGATTCCCTTAAACACCGGATTTCAATTTCCTGCTATCAAAAATGGCTATTTTAAAATAGATGTATACAAAAGATCTATTTTTAAAATATTTTTTTTTTCCAAAATGAAAATCCAAGTCAAAGCGTAGCTCTTGAAAAGGTGAACCACTTGCCATGACTTTCTTTAATGATAAAAATTTTCAGAGACGTGGGACACCTGAGGCCCCGCCATCCAGGTTTAACAAGACATAACATCCTGCCGTGTTTGCTCCGTCTTATTTTTTTTTTTTTAGGTGGGGGAGTCTTAGGTATCCTTCTCTGCTGTTGTTTTGGGTTAATATCGCTATTTATTTGCAAATGCTAGTAAGTATTCTTCAGGGACCTTTCTGGCATTTCACCTTCATATTCACTTGGAAAAACTGACCTTTACTATTTCATTTTTCCAAATCGCTTGATTCATCTCCTTCTCTATGTCTCCCTTTAGGACTTGATTTTCTTTGAGTAAATTTCTGTGCCCCGGTACAGGGAATACCCTTGCACTTGAGGTTTCTGCTATGGTTTGTTCAGGCCAGTCAGAGGTGGGCAGTTCTAGCTAGGCGTGGGATCGCTGCGTTCCTAAGCATTCTTCATCTTTACAGTCCTGAGATCTTCAGTTTTCAGAACTTTAACAAGTTGCTCTCTTGGTTTCAGGGCACACCAGTTTCCCTGTTACAGAACAATTAATTTTCCTAGAAACTTTGTAAGTAGTAAACACCGGTAGTTCTGTATTTCCATTGTTTCGGCAGTGGAGTAAAGCGTAGTGTAGTGTTCACCTATGAAGTGCCCAAAGTGAAGCCAGGAGTAGAGATCTGGAGTATTCTAGTATAATAAAAAAAAAAGTACCCTGGTCATTGTTGAAAAGTAGTGCCATGTTATGCTTCAGTGTACTTTAAAATGGAAGGGATAAGAGGGGATTGTTTCAGAGATGCAGGAGAAACACCCACAGCATCTTCTAAGACCACAGAGACTGTGCTGCAAAGGCTAACCCAGGTCAGTTTTGGGGGGCGGCGGGGGTTGAGGCAAGGACGGAACTGAGCAGAGCGCGAGTTCCTTGGAAATTCCATGCTTAGCCACTAGAGGGCGAGGCACACTGACAAACCCCACCTGGAGCCCGTGCAATCGGCCCTCCTCAGACTTCATCGGGATGGGTTGTTTGGGAAGGCACCTGATGCATTTCTATAGGGTATTGCTCTCCCAACAAGAGCAAAGCTGACCCGTGCCATCAGACCGGCCAGAATTGGTCCCCACCAGCCTCTGAGGCAGCTGTCCCAAACTAAGCGCAGTAGGAGGGGAAGTGGAGGTCCCCTTGGTGCTGAGCACTTCACGGGCCCCAAGCCGGGTCCCAGGCGTCAGGCACACGGGCTCATTTACACCTCACAGGATCCCGGGGGCAGGAGCCTCTGCATCTAATGGGGGATGGGGCACACAGCAAGCCCGGGGTCACCGAGCCGGAGTGTGGGGGGGCCACAGCTCTCCACGCAAGGCTGACCCCCAAGCTGGTGCTTCTACTCAGGGCTCCACAAATCACTTTCTGCTGAAACGAAACCATTGCTTGGCCTCTTCCAGGCAGCTGTCCAACCTGGCGGGGGCGTTGGAAAGGCTGATCTTCTTGCAAGGCCTTCCACCTGCACTTCCCCACCCCCCACCTCCTCTTTCTCCTCTTTCTCCTCTTTCGACCTGACTGTAAAAAAGCAGGAAATGCCATTCTAAGCTGGGCAGGGAACCGGCCAGTGTTTGTCAGCAGCCACAGCGAGTGGCGTTTCAGGTGTCACTAGCAGGCAATGTGTTAACTTTGCTTTATTTCCCTTTGTGCTTACATTTTAAAAAATCCACACAAATAAAACAGCTCAATAAAAGATATGAATTACCTGACCACCTTTATTCAGGGAGCAAGCGTTCCTCTGAAACGGGGCTTCGTTGCTAGGCGCGCGTGCCAGGCCTTTGTTTCCGACGCGGGCGAGGGCGCAGCCAAGTCCTGCACTCTGGCCGGGCAGCCTATTACAATGTCACCCTGGCTGGCACGGCGTGGCGGTGACATCTCAGCCAGTTTTATTTTCACTTGGGCAGAAGGCCCCGCGAAGGCAGACACTTCCGAAACCAGGCGGCGTGCCGGGGTCCCGGGTCCGAGTTCCCCGCGCCGTGCTGTCCCGTGAACGAACCCTGCTGCCGCCCGAACCACAAGCACAAAAACCCGCGAGAGCCCCCGCCCCAGCCCCGGGGTGGGCAGCGGGCGGTCTGGGCCTCTTATGAGGGGCTTTCCTCCCTTCCTCCAGGCTCTCAGAATCTTCCAGGAGGAGGGAAGCAGAAACTACACCAAGACGAGGATGCTGGAAAGAGATACTGATACACAAAAGGGAAACCCTGAGGCGAGGGGGAAGCAGAACCAGAGAGGAAAGCCAGGAGGTTAACCCGTGCAGCCGCGAAGCCAGCTTGTTCAGAGACCCGCTGGAGAAAGCGAAAGCCCACCCAGCTGCCTACTGTAATGCGGCAGGTAAGCCTGCTACCCCCTCTGGCGGTGAGCACTGCTAGCATTCACCACTTCAACAGTTCTGGTGCATTCGTGTGCTTTTGCATAAATCAAAAAATGTAGCAAATCAACCTAATGGCAAAATTGGAAGGAAAAATACCAACTTTTCCACAAAATACAGGAAGCTTTAGATATTAAGTGGACAATAATTGTTTTCAGCCCCTTATAGAGCTTTGGTTGCCAAATGAAAAACAAAACAAAAAAAATCATCCTGACACAGGATGTTCCAAAAGCCTAATTCATGAAAAAGAGACAATTTATTCTATGTTTAATAAAACGTTTATTAAGGTGGTAACACAAGATAAATCATGCAAGAGCTCAGGAAAAAAAAAAGTAAGAATATAAGGAATGGTGATTGGTGCTGCCAATTTAAAAATATGTAAATCATTTTCCTACCCGAGAGTGACTTCAAAAACCGGTTGGATCTGAGCCCGGACGTGGCTGCGGTCATCGAGCAGAGCTGTGAACTACGTGATGGGGCCACTGTGTCCAGTCCTCGGAGGAGCAGAGTCCCGGATCCAAAACAGCCATTAACGCCCCCTGCGTCCCACGTGACGCGGCAATAGCCAGGGCCGCGGCCCACCGGCCGGGCCAGTGCTTCGATCCCTGGGGCAGTCCCCGCGGGATGCTTGGTAGCAGGGCAGGAGGACGGGCAGGCAGGCACCTTTGGCGACTCCCAAACGAGACTTTGTCTACATTCAGAATCTTAAAATTTTTGGTAATGAAAACCATAAGACTTGCATGTTTTCCTCACCAGCCTTAAATGTAGTGTTGTGATGTCCAAGGGAAGGATTTCCACATTTGGCAGGAAGAAATTTGAACAGGTATACCAAATTCACCGTAGTGTTTCAGATTTCAAACAAATATGACTCCTCTTTTGGCAAAGGAAAATAAATATAGTGGAATGCAAGTTTGATAGATGGAAGAATATATAATCTACCAACTGTCAAGGAGTACAATTTCATTGCAGACATTTCGACAATTTCAAAGAATTTAAAAAAAAAGAAGTTTGCACAATTCTCACAAAACTGTCACTTTTAGAACTACCCCAATTGAAGCTACACACTGAATTTATTAATACAGCATTAAGTTTCTTTGTGTAAAAAAATCTTTGTACATAGTAATAAAAAAAGATAAGGCAAGATGCATTAAACAGAAACCTTCTGGTTCTTTTCCTCTGGGTTCTTACAGAGCCCCTGATGACTATCTGCAACAAAAGAGTTAAGTTTCTGATTTTCCGTGTCAAGCATCTCGTGCCTTTGCTGCGGTAAGAAGTCTGTCCGAGCACCCGGAAGGACGGACGCCGGGGACGGTCTTTGGCACTTACGCTGGCAGGCTGAGCTTCTTCCCCTTGAGCACTAGAATGTGAGAGAGAGGAGGCGGAAACAAGTGATCAGCGCATGGACAAGCGCACGGCCCCCCTCTTCCCGCCCGCAGAGGTCTGCCACACCCGGCACCCCGCAGGGGGAGGGGCAAGGAAAGACCCTGTTGGCAACCAAAGGGATTGCGTTTGGCTGTCGGTAAACCAAGCCCCCCCCCCAGCTACGGAACTGTCAGGCACACATATACTGGAACTTTCCTCGTGTACCTGGATGCCATAGCAATTGTAGTTAAGAAATGCAACTTGACTGAAACTGTTGCTAAGTTCGTGGCAGCTTTCTGTTATCATGACTTTCTTCCCTAATCAATACATATTAAAATGTAACTCACTATACACAGAGGTCTATAAAATTTGCATATTAAAAAAGAGGTAAAATACTTATGCCCTGCTACCAGCAAGTCCACCATTAGGAATTTTACTGCAATAACAATGGTTCTTAGCCCGGGGTCTATAGTTGGGTTTCAGGGGCTCCTGAATCCCGTAAAACTATAAGCATAAATTTGAGTGCATATGCATAAAGATGCATTCTTTCCTGAGCAAGGACTGTAGCTTTCACCAGAGTTTTGTGAAGTTCACATGTCCTACATTCACATAAATGCAAAAATGTATGTATACAAGAACAATGACAGAGGCACTGCATCTTAATTGCAGCAGAACAGCAGAACAGCAGTAACAGCCTGAATATCCATGAATAAGGGCTCAGTTCATGTACTATGGTGATACATGCAATGAAATACTATGGCTATTGAAAATCATGGAGATTTCTATTGACTGACATGAAAAACTATAGTGGGGGAAAAAACAGATTACAAGTAGTTTAATCATGTATCTGTTTATATGCTTAGAGATCTGGAATTACATGTACTGAAACATTAACAATGATCTCTGAGTGGTAGGATTTCAGGTGATTGTTTTCAGAATTATTAGTTCTAACTGGATTTTTTACAATGAAAGCAATGCCATTGCAAAAAACTATACAGCTACAGCAAAAGACAAGACAAGAACCTGACCCGGAACGGAATGTGACAGTCGCTGACATGCTTTTCCGCAGCCAGTGCTGCTCCATGAAGCGGGAGCCGGAGCAGGCACGCGGGCCTCGGGGCGCCTGAAAGCGTGCGGCCTGCGGGAACAACGCAGGTGGCCACGTACCTTTTGTGATGTACAAGTAGAAGAAGTCGCAGTAGAGGATGGTCTGGACCACGCCGGCCACCACAGCAATGAGGTCAAAGAAGCCCTCAAAGTAGAAGCGCCAGACCCAGTTGACGAGGTAGAGCGCGCGGTAGAGGCCCAGGAAAAACAGGTAGTGCGTGGTGATGGTCTCCGCCTCCCCGGTCTTGCTGATCAGGAAGAGCTGCGGCAGGATGGCCACCGACTCCAGGTAGATGGAGAAGGTCCACAGAATCTGGGGGGGCAGCATGGGCTTTGCTCAGCACCCGGGGCCCACGTGGGCCACAGGGAACATGCTTGCCTCACCATCGGGCAGCACAGGGGGTGGGCGGCCGGGCAGCTGAGCAACCTCACGAGTCACGGAGGCCGAGGCTGCGTCTCAGAGGCACGGACACTCCCACCGACGAGCAGGGTCACCTGGGCCCTTCTGCCCCTTCGAAAGCTCACTGCCTGTCTCCCCACCCCGGCACCCTCTCCGTGTGACTCTGGGCACCTTCATGGGTGATGCTGCCCGGGAAGGCGTGCCCCAGCCTGGATCCAGGGTCCCGAGTCAGCCCTGCTTTCTGCCACACACAACCAGGCTCCGTCCACTCCCTCCCTGCTAACTTTCCTCACCAGTGGCTCCTCTTGCCAGACTGTCCAAATAGCCAATTTTTCTTATTCTTTAAGCTTGATGGGGTTAAATCAAAGGAGTAAGAGATCAGAGTTGTAATTACACAAACTGTGTCCAATATGGTACTTGGTGCACGCTGACGACAGAAGGACCCGCGCGTAGCCCTGGGAGCGCTTTAAAAGCCCGGCACTCACCGCACCCACCAGGGGACGAGGGCAGCGCAGGAGCCGAACCCCAGTGTGCGGGGGGAAGGGCCCGCACCGAGGGGCAGCAGTGCCCTGCCCAGTGCCAGGGCGCCACGCAAACCGCATTTCCTAAAGGTGAGACGCACAGCAGCAGCGCTGCTCAGGGGACCACAGATGCAGTGTCAATGTGCGACGCCCGTCGCGAAGGGGAAACAGAGCTGGGATAGAGGGGAGAGAACATGCTCATCAAACCCTCATACAGGCAGGGCGCCCTGTTTGGTTCCACAGAAGCCAGGTTTATATTCCAGAGGAGTCAGGCAATAACCTGTCGGGTGGACACCCAAACACCTAAGGACATAATTTTGGTCCACGACGGATTTATACCAAACGGTCTGTGTTGCACCAGAAGCTTGCCAAACTGAACAAACAAAAAAACACACCAACCCCACATTATCTGCAAACTGGTCTGTTTCCCTAGGGAACTGGACGTGTCCACTAAATAACCACTTTACTAACCTCGAGAGGAGAGAAGTCGTGATTGACCAGGAACGAGAGGCCTCCCACAGGGACTACCAGAAACTCCACTCGGAAGGTGTCGTGGTTGCCGTCGTACGTCGCCTTGAACTTCATGTAGATCAGGTACACTGTGGCGTAGGAGCAGGCGATGTAGATAAGCTACGAGCAAGAGACAGCCACCAGGTCACCAACACCTTACAATGCTTCCCACTCCCTTGGCTTTCTACAGCATCCATACGTGTGCTTTTTAATTTTAAAGTTTAAGTACGGTAAATTCACTTTTGGGAGGGCCTGTCGCTGTGTGGGCCATGCAGCCACCACCGCAATCAAGAGCCAGGTCACCCTCCGCCCCAGAAAGAGCTCCCTCCTGCTACCCCTCTGTGGTCAGGCCGTGCCCCCTGGCCCAGCCTCTGGCCAGCCTGACCTGTCCTTGGCTTCTGTAGTTTTGACTTTTCTAGAATGCTGCCTAAATGGAATCATTCAACAGGCCGACTTTAAGACCAGCTTCTTTCAGTTAGTGTCATGCATCTGAGCTCCAACCACATGGCTGGTGTACGACTGCAACCAGCGGCCGCTTTTCCGTGCGAGCAGTGCATCCAGCGGCGGTGCAGGCTGCCCGTCCACTCGTCTGCTCACCAGGTAAGGACGGGGCTGTTTCCAGCTTGGAGGACAGGTGCTGCTACAAACATCTGGGTACAGGCTTTTGTGTGATTTTTCATTTCTCTGGGGTAAATACCTAGGGGTGGGATTCCTGGATATCTTAAATGTACTTGTATTTTGATAAGAAACTGTCAAAGGATGGATTTTTAATCCCATTTTAAATGATCAGAATGTAGCTTAAGGGGAAAAAAAATGAATACAAAGCTCAATGCAGTTCAAAACCTAGGTACTCACTCCCGGCATCATGATGTTTTTTAGACCTTTTTAAGATAAAATAATGTAATTCCTGTTAACCCTCCCCGCGATGGTTTTCACAACGATCACGTTGCTTTACCACTGCACATGCAGACAGCGGCCGGGAGCTCCTGCGCAGGAACTCAGCAAGAGCGAACCCGAAAGCGCACGGCCGCCCGTGCACCGCGGCCGCCCTCGGCAGGGGCCGCTCCGGCTGCACAGCAGCGTAGCCGCCAGGGCCTTGAAATGGCCCCGTGTGCCCGTGCCCATCCAAGAGGCCACACGCCATAGATTCATCTGGCCCCAAGGAGGAGTCTGACTGCTGAAATTACACTAATTTTCAGACTGTAGAATTTTCGGCCCAGGAACCCAAGAGCAAGTTCAGCCCGTGAATACAGACGACTGGGATGCCAGCTGCCCTGCTCATACGGCTTCTTGGGAAAAGCGCCCCGCAACACTTAGCTGGCAGCGCATGGGCCAACGACCCAGGACAATGAAAGCGATCGCCAAGCCTTCACACGCTTCAAAACAAACAAGAGACACCAAACTGTCCCTGGCACCTTATGAGTTATATTTGCAATAATCAATAAGGTATTAAAACTGTTGGTCATACCCATGCATATGCCAAAGAAGTACCAAAAAAAAAATCAAGATTACTATCTCATACTGTTAGAGTTCTCTCCACACACAAATATATGTATACATGCACATGAATAAAATAAGATACGAAATCAGCCCTGGCTGCTGTGGCTCAGTGAACTGAGCACTGGCCTGCAAACCAAAGGGTCGCTGGTTCAATTCTCAGTCAGGGCACAGGCCTGGGTTGTGGGCCAGATCCCCAGTTGGGGGCAGTCGAGAGGCAACCACACATTGATGTTTCTTTCCCTTTCTCTGTCCCTTTCTTGACAAATAAATATTTTAAAAATACATAAAATAACATACAAAATCAATGCACACAGACCCCCCACGGTGGCTGAGGCGCACGGCAGCCAGGGTTGCCTCCTTGGCACGCAGCCCGTGGCCCGCCCATGTGACGTCCACGAAACTGAAGCAGCACTGGTGACAGAAGCCCCTTTCCTCGCCCCAGGACTTGGCGTTCAAAGTAAAAAGCTATGAGCACATAAAACCTGACTTGCATGCCTCCGATTTCTAGCGTGTGCTTGGAAACCAGAACCCAGCAGAAGGCACAGTCTGAAAGCTGCTACCTTGGGGGCAGGGGCGGCGGCAGGGGGAGGGGGTCTCTCGCTCACACACGTCCAGCTCCTGCAGGCTGAACCTGCCTGGACAAGCAGGGGCGCGGGCATTGGGAAGTAAGCTGACTTCCTGATGACGAGGCTCCCATCACTTAGTACTGAAGAATGTGATGATTACAAGCATCTCCAATCTGCTTTTTGGTGAAGTCAGCAGACTCAAGGATCGCTCTGTCCACTTCGACCTGCGCTGACGAAAATGCTTTGGGCACTAAGTGCTGGAGAGTAGTTTTAAATAACACACCAATAGGCCGCAGCTTCCACGTTTCTTCCTCGGTTGTGCCAATAACCGCAGGCCCACGACGGTGCCCGGCGCAGGTGCCCACTAAGCATGTGAAGAATGACCGGATGAGGACCGGGCTCCCGGGTGCACCCTGAGAGCCGCCACTCTCCGTCACAGCTCCTACCACGAGCCGCAGCCGCTCCTGCAGCAGCGGGGCAGCTGCTGCCCCCCACCAGCCCCGGCCCTCTGCTCGCTGCCCACCCGCCTGGGCGCTGGGAGGTGCCCGCCCCCGCGGGTGTTCCATTCCATGTGACAGAGCTGAGGCTTCTCCAGGTGCGGAGTGTGCGCCGCCAAGTGCTACACAGGGTGGCAGGTGTATGCGGACACCCTGTATTTTAACAGTTACATGCTGGTCTGAACGTGGGTTAGGAAAAACAGATGAACACCAAAGGTGCCAGGGATACCAACGCCGAGGACAAATTAAAAGGTTGAAAACACATATTCAGTAGGTTATGGCACAGATGTTATTTAAGCTTGGCAAAGCAATAAAGATGGCACGCAGAGCAGAAGCTTAAGAAACGAGGACTTAGTGCAAAGAGAAGAAAAGCGGCGGGCGCCCCACACCGCCCCGCAGCACGCAACGAGGTGCGGGGCAAGGAGCCTGGCCTCTGCCGCTCATTCCGAGCTGGGAGGCCACCGCCCCCACCGCCTGAAAACTTAGCAGTTACCCCGCCTTCTCATAGAGTTGTCAAGAGCGTTAGAAGTTTATCATACACAAGAAGCTTAAGATGAAAACATTTCTAAGTGCAAAGCATTTAATTAAACAGGCATTGCTCTTCAATGGAAAAAATATGCTCAATGATAAGTTCCACAGGTCTGTGACTTACGCATGAGATACATTCCGCTGGACGCCATACCCACCTTCATAGACGTGTTATATAATGAAATAAATGAAGTAAAAAGATCCAGGTAACGAGTTGTGAACACCAGTGCAAACAGAAGCTGGCTTTTCCCGGAAATACCTAAAGAAACAAAAGGAAAGCATTAGAAAGGCCAGGCAGAGCTCTGACCCCCGCAGACAACACTGCGCCGGCAGCAGGTGTGGAAGGGGGGCCCAGGGTCAATGGCGGCCGCCCGGGATGACTCTGCACATGCGCTTCAGTTTTCTTTCCCTTAACATTCTTGCACATGCTCCTCGAGGGAGGTCCTAACAACTTTTGTCTTAACATGATGGGGTGACCGCAGGGGCGACTTAATTATGCCAGAGCCAACATACCAGGATGCACATTGTTCAAAAAAACACCTACTTCTCAAATATGTCACTTTAGGTAAAAAATTCTGCCATTATTTAGTGTTGTAACCTGTCACCTCTAGCGCCTCTCTTTCCACTAGGAAACAGCAGCTCCCGGCGACAGGGCTCCCGTGGGTGGAGCGGGACTCAAACGCTGAGGGAGGAAGACGCTGCTTCAGGGAGGGTCCAGGCGCCAGCCCCCTGGTGTGGCCTCCAAACTGGCAGCTTTTGCAACGGGAACATTGACTTGGACACGTGAAGACACTGAAAAATTCCACCTCTTAAGATTCATCACAAAACCGACCTCATCCTCACACAGCCAGTTTCCAAAAGCAGCCATCTTTTTTTTTAATCGCCCTGAAACTGCTCCCACTGCCAACCAGCAGCCCAGCCCCAGAGCCCCGCTGCGGCACGGCTGGGCTCACTGGGGCGGCGGGGCTGCGCAGCGCGCCCTGGGCCCCTCCGAGCTCTGTACCTGGCCGAACAGTTGTGACGAAGGACGAGCGCTAAGGGGTCAGGCGCTGGAGACTGAGTGACCGACCAAGGAAACCGAGCCTCGTCAGGGGTCGGAACCTGCCCAGCCTCGCCTGCGCTGCGAACCTCGCACTGTTGGGCTTATTTAAGCGCGGATTTAGCAGCTATGTCACTGCCCCCAAATTATTAGCAGCACATCTACAGAATGTAAAACCCACATTAAAAAAAATATATTTTACAGAACAATTTTGCAGCTTGTTGAAACTAAATGCCTGGATCTAAGGATGTTACTTTCCATGCCTGAATACTTGCAGTTCTAGTCTATTCACAAAACACTTAAGTAGAAACCGAATCCGGATCCATCAGCATAACCGACCTCGAGGGCTAAGGGGGGAGATGCAGACAGGGCGCTGCTCTTTTGCTTTTTCTCCCAGCATGAAGGACTGTACCTTCCTACAAAGGAACCCTGTTACAAAGGGGAACCAATGAGGCTGAGGCTGACACAGAAAACACGAGAAAGAAGACAGGATGGGGAGGGGGGAGAACAGGGAGCAAGTGGTTCACATTTGATGTTTGTCGGAGCCTTGAGAATTTTCAGTTAACTTCCTATTTGGTTCTTTCCAATGCTTTAACTAAAAAATAAATAAATAAATAAATAAATCATAGGATACATATGGGCAAACTTTGTGCAAAGGGTTTATTCCAATGGAACTTTGAAAGCCAGGGAGATCTGACATCTTGTCCTCATTTCCTGCATTCCTATACTAAAGATCAGGAACTATCAGGTCGCGTTTGCCACTCCCCTTTGCTTGCCACTCCCCTTGGCGACCCGACTCACACATCACTTCCTCGGAGTCAGCTATGAAGACCCGCCCCTCAGTGCTGTTTATTCCTAGCGGGGGCTGCTTCCTGCCAGCTGCTGCCCAGCTCCTAGGACAGCACTTACGGCCGAGCTGCTGCCTCCCCTCCCCCACTAGACACGGAGCTCTCCAAAGGCCGGCGTGCGCCTATTCCATTTGGTGTTATCTGTGCCGAGCGCCTATTCCATTTGGTGTTATCTGTGCCGAGCGCTGGGCCTGACACACAGCAGGGTGAAGGAAATATCTGCTGAATGAACAAATGGACAAAAGAAAATGGAATTCATTTTATTTTCATGTCATGGAGTAAATAAATACTCCTCTTGTGGTATTTTGGGATAATACTTCCAAAGAGTTTCTAAGCCATTCTGTGTCTCTGTGACTGTCACTAGGTAACGGGCTCTGGGCTCTGCCCTAATTTGCTGCCCGCCGAGGGCAGGAGAGCCCCCGAGCACAGCGTGGGGCAGGGGACAGGCAGCGTGTGGCCTGGAGCTTGTCCCATGGGCAGGACCCCTGCAGGAACTGCCACGCCGGCATCTGAGGGCGCTTAACAGGGCCACCTTGTTCTTTCCGGCCCGGGATCCTGGTTAGCAAGTAGCAGCTTTTCCCTTTAAAACAGAAAAACTGTCTTGTCTTCATGGAAGGCAGGGATCCCAGCTGAAGACAGAAGGGTAGGAGCAGGAAAGACTAAAGCATGCTAAGGCTACCAGCTCTCAAGAACACTCACTCTAGAGTATTCCATGCTATTTTATTAAAAACTCCAACTGGGCTAAAATATATGGAACAACAGGCAAACAGACCTCCAACACTCTCCCACCTGTATATAAGTGCAGCCTTCCTAGGCCGTCGGAAGCCCCTTTCCTGGCTCATCCTTTCCAAGGGCTGCGTGGTGCTCCAGAGTGTGGCCGCACAGACTGTGGAGTGACTCCTCCAGGGATGGACACAGGGGTTGCTCGCCTTGTGTTCTTAACACTGTACGAACATCTCCGCATCCATAAACAGTGTTTTGTACTTATTAGGTACAACAGGCATCTTTATAACTCTGTGTGGTCTGTTCATACCCATCACAGTGTCTGCTGTTCAGACCCCCTGGACTGCTGGGACACGATGTATGTAACTTTAAGTGCGGCGCACTGTCAAACCTCCCCTGGACAGGCGGTGCCACTCTCTTAGGCACCGACACCAGACGGCACACTCTCCGTTTCACGCCCCGCTGACACGGGACGCTGCCAGCAGCGCCGCCCCACGCAGCACCCCGCCGCTTCACCGTCCAGGGGCCTGGCCGCCAGCGAGGCCAGCGCCCTTTCACGCTCCACGGGCCTTCGTCATCCTTCCGTGAAATGCCAACCTTGTCCATTTTTCCAGTAGGCTTTTTATTTTACATCTGTAGGAGTATCTTTTGGGTACAAACACTTTGTCACTTAGCTGTACTGCAGATTACGTCTCAGCCTGCGCTTTAGCTTTGACGACGTTCCGCGTAAGTGAACGTGGGGGGCGTGCCACCTTGGCTCCCTCCCCTGCCCACGGGGCCCATCCAGGACCCGGGCGTGAACGCACACTCAGGCCAGCGTCTGTGTCCAGCCGCGAGGTCGTAAACCTCCTTCGCAAAGGCCTCGCACACGGCCGATGGGGGCGTCAGGGAGCCTGTCCACGGGGCTCTCTGCCACTTCACGGTCACAGGGTTGACTGCTTCCATGGTTTAATACCCTGTTTTTGATCTTTGCATATATAGCTTACTATTTCAACTAAACTGCAGCCTTCTTGAGAGCAGAAACTTTGACACCTACAAGCCCCTGCTCTGTATTGTGCCCCCAGTGCCTTGCACATAGTGGGAGGTCAAAGGGTGTCTGAGAGCACTGAATACTTAAGAGGCTGGCACTCAAAATCCAGAGGTGACAACTGCCACAAAGAGGGAGGCTGGGAATGTGACGCAAAAGCTACCTGAAATACTCAATGACAACAAACGACTAGGTGTTTTCCATTTACTTCAAAAACAGAATGTACAATTATGAGGAATTCAGGGACACAGTACCATCTTGGCTTGTGTGGTAGGATGAAAAGTCTACAATCTACATAACAGCAATCTAAGCAATTACAGAGGGCCGGGGCCGGGGGGGTGGGGGTGGCGGGGGGGGGGCATGGACTAGGAGAGGGCGGGTTCCACTAGGAATTTCAGTATAACAGACACAGCACTATTACTATCAGCCTACAGAAAACGTAGCTAGAAGCTCTTCATCTACAAACCCAGCCCCGCTCCTCCGAGGCCCGCAGCGCGGTGTCTAGGGAAGGGACAGTGACAGCTGGAGCTCACTGCGGATCCCGTTGCAAAGACCGTTCAGGAATATGGGAACTCACGTTTCATTCGGGCGCCCTTCTGCAATGACAATGGCAGACACAGACACAGGACAATGCCAACCAAGATCGCCTCCTCTCCCCCACGTTAAAACTGGTCTCGCAACGCAGCTGTGCTCACTCGGACGTCAGGGAAGCGACCCCCAGCCTCCTCACCCGCCTGCCTCACCCCTGACCCTGCAAGACGAAAGCCCTGCGGTTCTGCAGCTGCAGGCGTGTTCAAAACGGGTGCCAAATTCCTAAAGTGAACCCCAATACCAGCACTTTCAAAGTGAGAAACACAACCTGGATGTACATGTCTCCTGTTCCAGTTATTTGAGAAACTCATATCAAATTCTTACTCTCTGAAAAGTCTCTAAACAACTTTTATAATTTAGGATGGAAAAACAAAACAGCTAGTCAAATTTAGCATTTAATTCTGAATAAATAATCTTGGTGATTTTGATTTTTAAAAGGCCAGGAAACCTCAAGCATAAGAACTAAAATGCCCTTAGGTCTGACTATGAAAAGAGTTTTAACAAAGCCCTACAACTGCGGGCTAACTCTAGGAATACCTGACAAACCCACACAAATGTAACTCACCTGTTTATCTTCCCAATTACTTTGGTTGAAGTATTTTATATTTTCCTAAATGCTCCTAAATCTCCTAAATGAAAACAGTATTAAAAACGAACAAAAAGGAAAAAGAACTCAGACATGGACAACACCGTAGTGATTGCAGGAGGGGGTATAAGGGGACTAAATAGTAATGAGGGAAAAATACAACAAAGATTTTTAAAAAAAAATTTTTTTCTTTAGGTATTTTCGATCTGGGGCTGCACTAACTTCTCCCCAAGACCTTAGTTCAGATACACATTTAGGAGACATCATGCTTCATCTTCATGACTTGACAGAGGCAGGGGTCCTGAGAAACACATGAAAGAAGATGAAGAAACTCATCCAAAAATTTTGAAGCAAAAATAAAGGCTAAAAGTAACACTTCCTGTGGGGGAGGGGTGTGTGGGCAAAATGGGCGACGTTGTTCTAAAGGCACACATTTCCAGTTGTAAGATAAGTAAGCCCCAGGGGTGTCCTCTACAGCATGGTGACAGCACTTAAGGACATTGTACTGCATGTTTGAAAGTTGCTAACACAGCAGATCTTAAAAGTTCTCATCACAAGGAGAAAAATTTACCTACCTGTGGTGATGGCAGATGGTAACTAAACTTATTGAGATAATTATTTTGCAAAATACACATATACCAAACCGTTAGGTTGTATACATAAAACTACTACAATGTTATGTCTCAATTATATCTCAATAAAGCTGGGGGAAAAACATTTTCTGAGTACAGCAAAAATGACCTAAACAACTGGTCTGGCATCAAACGTTTAAGCTGAAATTACTTAGGACAAAATAGACATTTCTTCAAAATCCTTAACTGCAAGTTTCCGATTGCCCCGTTCCAGTCCTGGCTGCACGCTAGTGTCCTCACCTGCCTTAGCCTCAGTCCCCTCCTCCGCAGAATGGGAACAATGGCGCCCTCCTCATAAGGCTATTTTAAGGACTACATGGAATAAGCCAAGGAAGACACTTAGCTCACTACCTAGTATACCGCAGGCGCTTAGTGTCAGCTCTCACAACCGCTGCAATTACTCTGCTGTCACTGGAAATCATACAACTCAACGGCTCTTCACTATGTATAAATTGAGAGATCACCTTCCAGGCCGAGCCACCGTTCAGTCCCTGGACTTTGTAACATCCATTTGGATTGCTCAAAGGTCTTTTTTGTTTTTGCTTGCTTCCTGGACCTCGGCTATGTTCCGGGGAGAGAGGTGAGGCCTGAGGACGGCGATCAAAGACGTGGTCCGACTTTAGATGTGGGAAATTTTAGAAATCAATCAGGTAAATGGACTCTCTGCCACCCAGGTCCTTTAGGACTCCATCTTTTACGGCCTCGGCAACAACTAAGTTCTTGAATTCACCACAAGTTATTGCACTGCAGCCATGGCACCAAACACAAGTTTAAGAAAGCATTTTTTTATAAGTTTCAGGAAGTCGCCATTCTGAAAATTACAGGGTTAATAAAATGTAAAACTCCACAGCAACAAGGCTCGTCTCCCTGCCTCCCAGCACTGCGGGCATGAAACGTGTACTCCCGGCGAGGGAGTCGCCAACTCACTGGTGACGTGGAGTGAGGGATTACAGGAGACCACAGGAGCCCTCCGCGGGGTCCTGCGGCCGCCGCAGGCTTCAGAAAACCCGTCATTAGATGGAGGCGCTCGGGGCTTGACAAACTACTGCGTTTCTCAAAGCAGCATTAACTGTCCCCAAGAAGTTCGTGAGAGACCTCCCCACACTCCCTCCCGCGGCAGGCGTGATCCTGGACTCGAGAGCTGGGAGTGAAGCCCGCAGAACTCTAAGGCCTGGCCTGACCCGACACGCTAACCTAAAGGCCAGTCTTCGAACCGGCAGGGTTCGGAGCGAGGTGACCTCTCCCCATGCCCGCCCCACCTACCGCACTGGCCTGGCTGCCACGTCAGGACGAGCCTGCCGCGGTCCGTCGCACCCTCCTCCCGCCCGTCCCATTGATTCGCAGGGTCCCCGCACCTCCGGACCCTCGCCCAGGCCCCCACCGAGACGCTCATGAAAGCCAGGGGCGGCTGGCGTGCGTGCCTGAGCCCCAATCCTGCCCCACCATCCAAACTTTTCAGGCAAAACAGAGCTCCCAGCTGTCGGGTTGGCGCCTCCTGCACCCCGACGACTCAAGCTGGGGAGCAGACCAAGTGTGGAGCAGGGCCCAGGGCCGCGACACCTCGCCCCGGCCTGAGAGCCCACCCAGAGGGGTCGCAGGCCCCCTGGGTCCCGCCGCCCGCCACGCCGCCGAGGGGGCGTGTCGGCCAGCGCAGGCCTGAGGGCCGTGGAGCGGCCGAGGTCGGCAGGTCCTCCAGACAACCCGGCCCCGCGCCCGAGCCTTTCCGGGCCGTCGCCCGCCGCTCACCGGCGCAGGAGCGCGTCTTCCAGATCTTCAGCAGCAGGATGACGATGGCCGCCAGGTGGGACAGGTCCCCGGTCAGCCGGAAGATGTTCATGGCGGCGGCGGCGGTCGGCGCGGCTGCCCCGGGGCTCGGCGGCTTAGGCGAAGGCGGCGGCCACTAAGAGGAAGCGACGAAGATGGCGAGAGCGGGCGCGACGTGGCCAGGGACGTGGCCAAACTGCCGGCGCGCGCGCGGGGCAGCCTGGGAAAGCTGGCCGCCGCTTGTCCCCGCCCCGGCCCCGCCCCTTAAAGGAGGCGCGCCCAAACGGCGGCCGAGCGAGGAGCTCCCGCTCCCGGGCTCCCTCCGAGGACCCCGACTCCCCTCCAACTTCCCCCTGCCGAGTTTCCGGCTTCTCCTCGGGTGCCAGCGATTTCCTTTAATTTTTGAAATGACTCTCCCTTGTGAGCGATTTTTTCCCTCCCACTAATCTTAAGAGCTCTACAGGCTTACTGTGTGGGAAAACGTAAGAGACAAATAAAAATTAATCTGTGATGGCAGCTTTCAAGATAAGGTCGGTATTGGGGGTCTCCGGAAGGATGCGTCTTATGAGGGGGTCTGAAGATTTTATCATTCTGGGGACTTCCTTTGGGAAAGAGTGCAAAATTAGGTAGAGGAGTGAACAGTTTTGTGGGATGAGAGAAGAAATCACAGAGAGGAGTTACCAACGGTATGAAGCTGACAAACAGAACCCTGAACCCCTCGGTCTGCGGAATAGCACTTGTTTCAGGGTGACTTCACAGGTTCCCCCAAGAACACTGGGTGTCTCCTGCCTTCCTGAAAGGGCTCCTTCGGGGTGGATTTCCTAAAACGAAGGACATCTTCAAAATAGGGTCATCGGCACCCTTCCCTCCAGAACTGCCAACAGCCGAGCACAGCTCCCTTGCTAACGCTGGAAACGCATCAAGTTCCTTTTTGGGGGGTCCCCCACACCCCCGTTTAGGGTAGAATGAATGCATCAAATGACGCAGATGTTTTATTTCAGGGGTTGCAAACTCAAGCTGGGCTCCACGTGGCTCACAGCAATGTTTTCTCTGGTTCAGAATTGGTCATCTCTTTTTAAGTTTTGAATTGGTTGCCAACATTTCATCAGGACATTTAAAATAAAAATCTGGCCCTGGCTGGTGTGGCTCAATGGGATGGGCACTGTCCAGCACACTGAAAGGTCACCAGTTTGATTCTTGGTCAGGACACCTGCCTGGGTTGCTGACTGAGTACCACCCTCCCCCCCCCCCCCCGCCGACCCCCCACGTTGGGGATGTGCTAGAGCGACCAATGAATGTTTCTCTGGCACTTGGATGTTTCTCTCCCTCTTTCTCCCTCCCTTCCCCTCTCTCTAAAAATAAATACAACTCCGGGTGTCTGGCTTCCTTTGAGAAGTTCTGAGGATCAGGCTTTGCAGGGAGTGCCCTCCCATGTGGAAGTCCATGGCCTGACGGGTGGGAGGGTCCCCCTGCAGATGGCATCCACCCTCCCGCTCCCCCATGCCCAGCCCTCCCTATTGTCTCTTCCCTGTCTTCGAGTGTCAGTCACCTGACATCCTTGTCCTTGTGTCACTGTTTCCTCACCCCCACCCACAGCATATGTTTGCATTGCCCATCTGGCCTCTGTCGACTTTTACTTTGCAACCCTGGTTTCAAGGGCCTGGACACAGGTGGCCAAACTGTTTTGTAGAAAGGAGGCAGTAATTCTCTCGGGCAACTCGGTAGCCGCCTACCTTGATGTTATTTGGCTTGGTGTAATGGGCCACTGTTGAGCGCGTGCGGCGTGTGAGGTCTAGAAACAGCGGGGCCGGTGGGAAATCAAGGTAATGGCTGACAGGGTTATCGCTGAGCAGGCACCTGGTGACTAAAGCCTGGGTGTGTGAGAATTTGCCAAGGGAGGGTAAACAGTGCCCAGCACCACTCTAAGAAAGGTCAGTTAAGATAAGGACGACAGGCCCTCCTTGTAGCTTCCTGTGAGAGGCAATAGCAGGTTCCAGGGCACGACGGGAGAGAAAGCCAGGCTGCCATATGCTGAGAGGGGGATTGGACGGTGAGGACACAGAGGCAGCCGGTGTAGACAAGAGCCTGAGAAATGGGGCCCTCAAGAGCACCAGCCACTAGGGTCTTCACTGCTCTCAGAGGGCTGCGCTGGCAGGGGAATGTTTGCAGGGGACGGGGGAGCCTTGGAGAGTGCGCTGTGGTCGCCGGCATGGAGGTGCCTGGGAGCGGGGGGAGGCAGGAATGCTCTGACCTGGAGCGGAGGGCAAGGCCCGGCCCTCGGGGGATGAGCAGGAGGGCGGGGGCACCGACATTTGCAGATGGAGAAGGTGAGAAAATCCTGCTGGACAGGATCCCTTCTCTTGGAAGCCTCAGCTCAATCTAGTGACCTTCGCAGCCTCCTTGAAACCAGGACTATTGTGCCCTTGGCACCTGATAAGGAAGCATAGGCCGAATTGCGTGCCCCCCCCTCAATTCATATGTTGAAATCCTAACTGCCCATATCTCAGAATGTGACCTATTTGGAGGCCAGGTCTTTCAGGTGGTAATTAAGGTTAGGCAAGGTCCTATGGGTGAGGCCCTAATCCAATAGGATGGGTGTCCTCAGTAGAAGAGACACAGGGACGCGCACACGCACAGAGGAAAGGCCATGTTAGTGCCCAGCCTGAAGGTGGCGCTCTGCACGCCGTGGAGCAGCCTCGGAAAAGCCAGGCCGGCCCCTGCGTCGACCTGGGACTTCCAGCCTCCAGAACAAGGAGAACATAGATCCCTGTTTTCTAAGCCACTCAGCCTGTGGCATTTTGTTCTTGTAGTCTGAGCAGGAACGGGAAGTGGTAGGAAAAGAGCGGAGGGCTTTATGTTGAAGTCGCCAGCATCTGCGGCCCTTGGAATAGTAAGATTAAAATTTTAAAACGCGTGAAAAAGATGTCCAGCCAAACGAAAAGAAGGTATTTCCAGTCAGAGGATGGGCTTTGGATCTAGACAGACCCCAGTTTTCGTTCCAGCAAGTCACATAACCTTCCTGAGCTTCAGACTTTTTATTTGTAAAAAGGAAATAACAAAACCCACCTGGGGGGTCGTTGTGGAAGTAAAATGAAATGAAATGTGTACAAACATTGAGCACACTACTTAGTAACCATTGATGGATGTTATTAGGAAAGGCAGTGTGTCATAGGCTATGGAATTTTGTCAGCATTACTGAGAGATAAATAGGAGTTGGGGAGGGGGCGGATATGGTGCACATATGGGCTCACATATAGGGCTTTGTACTGACTCAACTATAAAACCCATGAAATGCAACTTCCTAGGAAACCAAACTCAGAGAGGCTGACCCATTAGCTGTTTGCACCCGGCACTATTCCTGGCACATAGGAGGCAGTCAAAAGGTATTGGCGAATGCATTTATGAATGAAGAGAGTTTGCTGAGAATGTTATAAGACGGAACATCTACAACCATCTCTTGGTGGGTGTATTACTCAGCCTCTTAGCATTGCAAGGGGCAGAAACCCATTCAAACCAGCCTAAACCAAAAACAATAGTAACAATAAATTTTAAAAATTGACTTGGAAACTGACAAGCCCAGATACCTGCCTCAGGCATGACTGGACCCGGGATAAAGGGCTGTACAGCGCGATCTCTGTTCTGCCCTCCTGTGTTGGCTTCACACCCAGGCAGGCGCACTCCAGGGGGCGGGCGGGGCAGCTCCCGCCAGTCTTCCACCTTCTGTACACCCAGCAATTCATCCAAAAGAGAGGACACCTCCTTTTCCAAATCGTTCTAGCTTGAGTCTTAAAATGACCCTGAGCCCCCCAGCCAGGATCACAAGACCATCCTTACCCAGTCGGTACCGCTCCAGGGCGTGGAAGTAGGGGAGAGATCATGTCCCCGAGGAAGAACAGGGAGCTTCCCCCAGAAGAAGGGACATTGGTTTCCTGGCAGGATAGACCACTGCTCCCCACTGGACTGAGTGTATCTGGAGAGGAGTCAGCTTGCTCTGGGTGACCAAGTGAGGGAGAGCGAGAAGTGTGTAACCTGGAGGACACGTGGGGACAGGCAGCCAGAGCCGGGCTGGGTCCAGGCAGGACTGGGACACTGAGGAGTTTACGGAGACTGGGACTTGCACAAGGTGCCTGGCCAAGGGGGCCTCTGGTGTATTGATTGGAAAAACGGCCCTGATTCTCACCCACCCCTGAATTCTCTGCATCGTAACTTCACAGCATCTCTCATCAAGAATGGAGTGTATTTCCCTTCCCGTGGATCCCAGGCTGGTTTTGTCACTTGCTCTGACAGCAGACCTGGGTGGAAGGGATCGCGTGCCCGTTCTGCGCGTAGGCCACAAGGGGCATTCTGTGCTTTTGCTGTGAACCATCTTGGCAATTGGGCTGGAGGAGGGGAGGCCACGTGGAACCAGCCCAGCTGCGTAAGCCAAGACCCCAGATGTGGGAGAGAGCTCGGCAGGGTTAGCACAGCAGCCTAGGACTCACTGGTGACCGTAGAAGCTTGAGTGAGTCCACTGCATCCAGCTCAGGGCAGAACTGCCCAGGGGACCCACAGGCTCATGAGTAGAAAGTGGCTGCCGTTTTAAGCAACTGGCTTTTGGGACAGTTTGTTACATGGCACTGGCAGAAAATAGATAAACCAATATAAGGCATGTTAGGGAGAAAATCCAGCTAGTGCACGGCTTGCCCGCCCGTGCTCCCTGGCACAGGGCTGGATCTCCCATGTGTTTCTAACTTGCAGGGAAACGCCATACAGGCTCCCTGGGCTGCGGGATCACACCCGTTCACAGCCTGGTGGAGCCGGTAATCTCTACAGGTCGCATGATCCTCAGAGACACGGCTTTGGAAATGTATAGAAATTGTCCAGCTTGAGCCGCTGGGGAGAAATGTACACCACTAGCCACGTCTGGGTATGTCCTTCCCCACCCTTGGATTATATATTTTGGTTTAGACATTTCTAGATGGTGGCCATGAGTGGGGAACCAAAAACAAAAAAAAACAAAAAAAACAACCAAAAACAAAACACGTGGCCTCAAAGAGGGGCTCGTAGGAAACTGGCAAGAACAGGAGCCACATGGGTCATTTGAACCCAGTGGGAGGAAAAGAATCCAAAGGACAGGTTTAGCACCCAGTGCAGGCTGCCCTGGGAAGAAAGTTAAGGAAAGAGGTAACAAGGTAACCAGAAACTGCCTGATGCCCGGGCTGGTGACTGGAGCCTGGGAAGGACGGAAGAAGTCAACGCGCCCTCCCTGCCCACAGCACCTCCTGTTCCCGGCGTCCAGCTTGCTCCCTCCTCTGTCCCCTGCCCTCACCGGGGCTCCAGGTGCACATGTGAAACCGCCTCTGGGATTTCCAAATATGTCCGAGATTGTGTCTTTTGCCTCTAAGCTTTACTCAGCGGGACCTATTCCAGGGACTATCACGCCACCCGTCCCGTCAGCCGCCAACTCCTGTTCATTCACCACCTAACACTGCTCTGTTCTCCCTGCCCTATCCTGATGACCCCCGCCCCACTCCCAGGCCTCCCGCTCCAAAGTGACCACTTCTAAACTGGATTGACGTTAGTCCACTGGATAGAAACCTCAATTCTGCAGCCTAACATGAGGGTCGTGCTCACCCGGTCCTCTGCTACTTCGCTTCCCCGCCTCCCCCACCCACACCCCACCTGCCGCCTTCTGGGCAGCAGCCAATTGCAGTTTCTTCAGCTTCCAAGACCCAGGCCAGGCGCAGCCTGCGGCCCTCCTTCCTTTGTGCCGGCCTTCCTCCGATTGGCCCGGGAGGCCCCGGCCAGGTGAGGGACCTCCAGGCCTTGTAATGCACCATGGGGTGGCTGGCCTGTCCGAGGCCTCTGCCTCTTTCTCCAGGGTGTAGGATCCTCGATGTCTCTGCTCTACGATCATGTCCCCTGGGGCCTGCTCTGAGCGGGCCAAGAAAGGAGGTTTGGATGTCCTTCCTCAGAACCTGGTGTGCTCTGGCCACGCCATAAAGCATCAGACAGCAGACGCCACCCCAGGGCCGTGGCCACGTCTCAATTCACCTGCTGGTCGCCGCCCCTCCCCCTCCCTAAGTCCCCTATGTCCTGAGGGCTGGCTGCCCTCGCTGGCATGCCTGGGAGCCAGGCAGGGCAACAAGCACGAAGTCAGGGCAATGTGGGGTGCAGCCGGGTGGGAGCCGTAGACAGTTCCCCCGGGGTGAACACACCAGTGCCCACGGGCAGACGCGGTTCACATTCCCTGGGAGTTGACGTCCTCTCCTGCCCCGCGCCCGGGAGATGGGGGTCCTGCTGAACCCCGCACCTTCACAGTGGCCGAAGTTCAAAAGCTGAGGTAGCTGGAGACACGGGCTCAGTGGCCACAACGGCCCGAGGTCCCAGGTAGGGGGTGTGGGAGGGGCAGGCACGGCCCAAACCTTGGTGGCAGCAGGCCGCCCACTTGGGCACAGCCCCTGGCGTTCCTCTCCGTGCCTGGGCTGCAGGGGTCGTGGGGCGGCCTCCATCACCAGGCCAGGGGCGAAGCCATCCCAGAGCTGCGCGCACCCTCCCCGGCCTGCAGGTCGCTGAGCGCCCGCTGGGGAGGGAGGAGCAGGTGGGAAGGGTTTGGTCGGTGGTTCCAGGAGCCCTCCCACCAACACCTGCCCTGCCTCACCTCGCCACCCAGAGCCGGGGCACCCCCCACCGTGGGGGGCTGTGCCACTCACTGGGGGTGCTTTCCCACCCCCCACTTTACAGAAGACCCCCCTCTTCTGGCCTCCCCTGAGGTGCCCTCCCAGCCTTCTGCCGTGGCTCACCTCGAACTTGCTCATGAACTCCGCGAAGATGCCGAAGAAGGCCTCAGAGGTGGTGGCTTTGGAGTCCTCCCCGAAGAAGGCCAGCGCCTTGCCCAGCTCCTCCATGGCCTCTCGTTGCAGCCCGTCCAGCGCCCGCAGCACGGGCTGCGCCATGTCCAGGAATGACTGATGGGCCTCTGCTCAGGAAACTGCAGACCTGCTGGGTGTCCCGGGTTCCCAGCCAGTGACCCCAGACAGCAGCCAAGCTGCGCAGACGCAGTGCTCAGCTGGGAACCACGCCCTGTTCAGAGGCTCCTGCTGAGACCTGCCGCAAGCAGTCCAGCCGCGGGTGTCTCCCTTGCTCCTCTCTGCAGGGCAACTGTCTGCGCCTCCAGGCTCTGCTCAGGTGCCACCTCCCCTCACCCCCAACCATGCACTTGGAGTAGTGCCTTGTCCCTCTCCAGGCCTGACACTCTCTCTCCTTCTCTATGGCACTCGTCCCTGCCTGCGCTTAGTGGGAATGTTCCTCTCTCCCGACCGTTTCTGGAGGGCCAGGGCCTGACAAGCCGCTTATTGTATCTTGTGACTTTAGTCCGGGCTCTCCTGGGAACCAGGATGATGGGACAAGGCAGTGGCTCTAGGACAGTCGAAGAACTCCCTCCAGTTACACACGGACCGGGCATAAGTGCTTGGATTCTAAATGACGCAGGACGGACCTGCTTCCAGCACCGCTGAACTCACAGCAGCCTCTGCCCAGGACCCCTGCTGGAGACAGGGTCTGCAGTGGTCCCTGGAGCCATAGCCAGCTCTACTTGACCACCCCAGGGTCCCCCGTGGCACAGGGACAGGCAGCTCAGAGGATACCGTCATGACCACGGCAAACTTGTCCTCGCTGGAGGGGGACATGCTCTGGCAGGCAGCCTGTATCTCACTGATGGTGCCGTGGAGGTCATCCAGGTCACTGGTCAGGGCCCGTTGGTTCACTGCAGGGAAGGGGGCAGAGCCTCATGGGGCCACGCTCCCAGCCCAGGACGGCAATGCCTCTGCCCGCCCGCCCACCCACCCAGCCTACCTTTGGCAGCCAGGGGCACCGTAGGCAGGTCCTGAGCAAAGCCCAGGAGCTCAGGGAAGTGCTGGCTCAGCGATTTGGCAAGGATGTGCAGGAAGGTGGACTTCCCATCCACCGTCTTGGTGGAGTTCAGCTGCAAATGATCCCCAACATACCTACGCCTCACGGACCCCATCAGACTCCTGGCCACACAGCACCAGGGACCCTCAGCCCTGCTTCTCCCAGGCTGCGGCTTCAACTCCCACCCTCGACGCTCACTAACTCCAAAGCCCATAAACCGATTGCTAGTGCTTCCTCCTCGGAGGCCTGGCCTGCGGGGACGCCACAGGCCTCTCTAGGAGTTTGGAGGTTCACTGGCCCAAATCTTGGAGACCCCCAGGAACTAGGCCTGCGGCACCCAGCCAGAGGGGTCCTAGGTTTTTCTGTCCACGTCGGCCAATATAACCCAAGATTTCCTGACTCCGACAAGATGGGGAGCATCACTCACAGATCTTCCCTCTTGTGGTTTTCTTGTGGAAGCGTCAGCGGCCCATCTGAGCCTCAGACATTCTAAACCATTTATATCTGCAAATGGAGTTTTTCTTCCTCTTGCAGACGGGGGGAAAGCCCAGGAAACGCTGGGGGAAGGTTGGGCCTTTGAGCAGTTCCTTTTGCTGACCCTGAGCTGACAGCGCGGGTGCTGCTGAGGGTACAGGACCTACCCCCAGGTGGGCTTTCCCTTTCCTCCTGGAGCTCTTCCTCCCTGCTCTCCACTACTCCCTAAGTCCAGGTCCCGAGGCTTGGCTTGGAGGAACACCTCCCCTCACGCCCACCAAACTATGCTGCAGGCCCTGTCCGACCTGCGGGCAGCCAGCTCTTCCCCCTGGAGAAGGGCCCTGCTTGGCCACGACGTGCCCGCCTCCGCTCTGCCATGATCTGGTGAGACCTGGCCTTCCCAGCCCCGCTGGCAGAGCAGGGCTAGCTCCTCACCTCCGTGAGGAAGTTGATCTTGAAGCCTGTGGTCTTGTTGGTTTTGGGCTGTCCGTCGTTGAGATAGTTGCCCATGGCCAGCACAAACTGTGGAGAGGAAGGTGTGCAGGCAGCCGCTCGCCCCGCCCCTCGCCCCCGGTCCATCAGGTTGGAAGCCCCCAGGGAGCAGAGGGGCAGGTAGAGTGTCCAGGGATGGGGTGCGCCCTGACCTCCAGGATCTTGGCCAGCTTCCGGCTGTTCTTGAGCTCCACGGAGGCCTGGCGCAAGCACTCCAGGCTGCCCCGGATCTCTTCTGTCTTCTCCTGCAGGGTGGCCTGGAAGTGGAGGCTGCGCAGGCGGGTTTTGTATTCGGGGACGGATAGCATCTGCCAGGAAGGCAGGGCCAGGATTCACCCATCCGGTCAGGACAGCCCAGAGACCCACTGCCCCATCCAGCCTGGGATGGGGGTCAGCGGGCTGCCTGGGCCTGGGAGACCCTTAGGAAAAACAATCACAACCTCTAGGGGGCGCCTTCACCCCATCTGTTGTGCTTTGGACCCCTAGTGGGACTTGGTCCGTAAACGTGTCAACTGGGACTCAAGAGGTGTGAGCACGGGGCCGCAGGTGGAGTGGGACCGACGCGGCCCCCGGACAGAGCGGGAGCCCGGATGGAGGCGGCCGAGGCCGCGGGGCAGCAGCCCCTGACTCTGGGCGGGGGTCCCGGCCGCCGCACCTGCAGGACGAACTGGTCGGGCTCGCTGAGGCGGCCGGGCGCCTCGCGGAAGGCCTGGTAGCGCAGCTCCTCGTCGGCGTCGGGCGCGAAGAGCAGCAGCTGCGCCAGGTGCGCGGGCTCCAGGCGCCCGGGCTCCATGCTCATGAGCACCTGACGCAGCTCCGCGGGGCTCAGCTTCAGGTGCGCCAGCAGGATGGCTGCGGGTGGGGCCGCCTAGGTGAGTCCGGGCGGGGCCCCGGTGGAAAGTGGGCGGGGTCTCTAGAGGCTTACTGGGTGGAGCCTAGAGGTTGGGGGCGGGACCTCGGCGGGGCAGAAGCCGGCCAAGAGACGCAGAGGGTCCTTTCTCCGGGGGACGGAGGACAGAGCGAGAGCGGGGTTCTCGGGGGGGGGGGGGGCACAGAGCTAGACCTGAATGGGGGGTCTGGGGCTGCGGGGCCAGAACGGGGGCCCCAACAGGGGCGAGGCCTACGGGGGTGTAGCCAAGGCCGGCACCTACCCGATGAAATCAGGCTGGATGCGGGAGCTGAGAGGGGGCCTTCGCCCGGCTGGGCGGTGGGTATGTGTGTGTTTGGGGGACCTTACAGCCTAATCTCTGTCATCCAAGGGGCGGATCCGCGGCTCTGCGACCCAGGGAGGGCCGCCGCCTGCCCCCCACAACCCCTGGGACTCCCTGGCCCCTCACAGGTGTTGTAGGCCTTCTTGTGGGACAGGATCTCCACCACCTCCTTCTTCCTGAAGGGCTCGGGCCCCGGCACTGGCTCTGGAAGGGACAGCGATGGTTTATTGAGGGGAGACTGGGCTGCGGCTGCGTGGGAGGGCGCCGCAGGGGTGTGGCCACCCGATAGCCCAGATGCCCCGTGACCATGGCCTTCATGGATCAGCTCCACGTGTCCACGGTCCCCACGCATGGATTCTCCCGCCCAGTCTAACACACACGGCATGCGTGCTGCGCGGCCCTCCCCCCATCCTCTATCCCCTGAGCCGGTGGGACTGAGCTGGCTGTGTTAGGGGAACCAGCCACCTCTGGTCCTGGCAGACACTTCCTGGAGGGACAAGGGCCTCTCTCTTCCATGCCAGGACCACTTAGCACACACAGTATCCCTGGATTCCTGGAGCCCCACCAACAACGATAGGGAGACGCCCAGAGGGCCACGGGGAGAGGACTGGAGGGGGTGTCTGTGGGTGCCCCTCGTCCACCCTACTCTGGCTGTGTGACCGAGCGGATCACCTAGCCTGTCTGCTTTCTCCTCGGAAGTCATCAGTGCCACAGGATTAGCTTTGAAAGCAGGGTGGAGGGTGCCTGGCATCTCGTAAGCGCGCAGTAAAGACCAGCTGTCGGCCTCCTGGTCTTGAGATGGGAAAACGGAGGCTGGGAGAAGCTAACTCAGGGACACAGTAAGCGAATTAAGTCAGTGCGGACCTGGGGGCTCTGAGTTTGGGCTGCCACAGCAGGCAGGGCACTGCTGCCACAGAGACCCTGGTGCGGGGGCCCCCGAGGCCTCAGGCCACTCACTAGCAGGTTTCTGGGTGCCGAAGTGGAGCTCCAGGTCGAGGTATTTCACCATGTCGCTCAGCTTGTCATAGTCAGAGTCTTCCCCGAGCTGCGGGGGGGCGGGCTCAGAGTGAGGGCAGCCCCGGCAGCTGGCCGGCCAGCCCCAGAGGGGGAGCCCCTTAAAGCGCTGGGGTGAACCCAGGGGCAGGAGGCTGCGGGAGAAGCTGAGCCACGCACGCTGTGCTGCCAGGCCACGAGCCGGCCGCTCTGGTGGTCGGTAACGCTCACACTTGGAGCACCATCTACGCAGAAGCCACAGCTGTGCTGGGGCTGGGGGCAGGGGGCTGCCAAGGGGCTGGAGCCACCAAGGGGGCTTCGAGGTGGCCGAGAGTCCGGCCCTGTTTGGAGATGTCCTTCGCGGGGAGTGAGCTCACCAGAGCTGGCCCAGCTTCCTGACGCCGGGGGAACTGAACCAGGGAAGTGCCAGGGAGGGGCTAGGAGCTGGACAGGGTCTTGTTCTCGGTGCTGCTGCCCAGGCCACCCTCCCCTGGTGCGGGGCTCCCTGGCCCCAGGTCACCTACCTGACCCCAGATGGTGCCTTCCGAGTTCTCCACCTGCTCCCAGCGCAGGCGCTTGACGCTCATGTGGCTGGTCTCGCTGCGGCGGTGACCCAGGCCCCGGGACAGCATGGGGGGCGCACAGGGCACAGGCGGTGGGGGGGGCGGCGGGGGCGGTGGAGGGACTGCGTGGCTCAGCTGGGTGAGGGGCTTGGCCAGTGTCTGAGCGGGGCCCCGGGGACCGTCAGTGGCGCGGGAGCTGGGCTTGGGGTCATGGAAGGGCAAGGGCGGCGGCGGCGGGGGGCTCAGTGGGGGCGGGGGGATGTGGTCAGAGATGGAGGAGTAGGTCAGGGAGCTGCCTTCCTCGCTGCTGCTGATGCACTCACTAGCGCTGCTCCGCTCATTGGTGACAAAGCTGCCCTGGTCGTCATCGTGGAAGCTCATCTGGTGGGAACAGAACAAGGTGAGGGGAGGACCAGGCTGGGCGCAGGGACAGTAGGGCAGGGGGCGAGGTGAGGGAAAGCGGAAAAGCCTGGACAAGGACAGGGTAGCCTGGTCTGTCAGCCCGAGGTTGTGGGGGGTGTGGCCTGACAGTATGGGGTACAGGGCGAGGAATGGGGTGACCTGAGACAGGGCGTACGGGGCAGCCTTGAGCGAGGGGTGTCAGAGCTCAAGTGAGAGGGTGCGACAGCTCCAGCCAGGGAGAGAGGTGGCCTGGGACAGGTCCCCAGGGCAGCAGGCCTCCGGCCGGAGCTCCGGGGCACAGCTCCCCGTCAAGACCCCCACACCGACTGCTCCCCGCCGCCCACAAGTGCCTGCTTGCTCACCTCCTCATAGTCATTCTCCGGGCTCAGGAAGTCATCCCCGATGGGGACCCGGGGGCGCAGCTGCTGGCTCAGGGCATCCAGGAAACGGTCGGTGTCGGCGTCCCGGCTTCGCACAGGCCGGGAGAAGGTGAAGAGCTTCCTGCGGCTGGGCTGGCGGGCGAGGTCCGGGCTGGGGGGGCTGTCGGAGTGGACGGGCCCGGGGCCTGGCTGTGGGGAGGGCGCCCTGCTGCTGTCCAGGCTGGCGTAGGGGTGGGATTCGGAGCTGCTGGGCGAGGCCGGGCCCCCCGGGCACAGTGGGTAGTAGCAGGGAGAGGGCAGGAGCCGCTCGCTGGGCCAGGAGATGCTGGACAGAGTCCTGGGCCCTGGGGCGAGGGAGCACAGGTGAGGACCCCGCTCCAGTCAGCACCTGGGTTCCAGGCGCAGGCTGGAGGGGAGGGGCCCGCGGTCGGTTGGCTCTGTGTCCTTGGGCCCCCTCTTTTCCCTCTCTGGACACAGTGCGGGGAAGACCTGGGTGACCCCACTCTCCCTACTCTTCCCCAAGGGTGGTCACAGATTAGGGGTGGGGGTGCCGCTCAGCCCAGGCTCCGGATCTTCTTGGAAGGAAACCAGGGGTCCTGCTTGGGATGCGCTGGGCACAACTCAAAGGGCCAAGGAGCCTTCTACAGGCCTCAGCGCCAGGGCACGAGGCTCCTCTCACACCCAGCAGGCCCTGGGCTCCCAGGAGCATCGCCCAGGGTCCTGCCTTCTGAGCCTGGCAGAGTCACCATGTGCATCCTGCGAGCAACAGCTTTCTGGCTGTGCCAGTCACAGAGCAAGGCACCATGCACTGCGGTTTATCCAACAGCCACGTACCAGCTTGGGGACACCTCTGCGGGCTGCCCTCTGCTTTTCTAGATCCACAGCAGGGGTGAGGGCCAGAGGGGACATGGAGGGACAAGGACAACCCTGACCTGGAGCGTCCCGCGCCATGAAGGCTGCTGGGATTCGCCAGGACTCATCCCCACGGCTGTGGAGCAAAGAGGGGACAGCACCCAGCCAGGCGCCCGGGGGGACGGAGGCTCGGGAGCAGGGCTGGCTGAGCCCCTACCTGCTGTGCCTGTGGGACTGGGTGTGGGCGGGGAGGCACGGGATCTGGACGTGGTCCCCATCTTCCCTTTGAAGCTGCTGCTCAGTCTAGACTCCAGCTCCGCGTAGACGGCTGACATCTGCAGGAAGAGGAAGGAGGCGGGAGTCCGGCCGCCCTCACCTTCCCTGTGCAGCCCTCGCGCGCCCCAGAGGCCAGGCCTGGCTGGCTTGGGCAGCAGGGATCCCCTGCAGCCCCCTGCTGACACCACCAGGAGGGCGGAGTGGTCTCACCATCTTGGGGTTGGGAGTTTCAGGGAGGGAAGTGCCATCGCCCGCCTGGCGCTCGCCCGGGATCAGAGGAAGGGGCATCTCGGGGCAGTCGCTGGGACCTGCAGGGGAATCAGGGAGGGCAGAGTCAGCTGCGAGGGGTCCGAGGACTGCTTCGTGCTCTGGCGCTCAGGCACCAGCCCAGAAGCGGCTGGGGGCCAGAGAGAAAGAACCTGCTAGCCCTGGAGCCCCGGGGGGCCGCCGCCCCACCTGTTTCTGGGCATTCTCGTTTTGCACATGGGAAAACTGAGCCCTGGTTGCACCCTTGCACCCTCTCCTGCCTTTCGGCCCGGGCCTCACCGCAGCTGAGGCTGGTCTCCAGGCCCTGGGACCGCAGGCTGCGGCGGCACATGGAGGAGGCCCTCAGGGAGCTCCGCCGCTGGAGCTCGGGCACTGGCTCCGGCTCCGGCTCCGGCTCCGGCTCCAGGTCCAATGATGGCTCCGGCTCTGCTGTGGGACACGCACAGGAGATGGGCCCTTGCCTGTCAGCCAGACAAGGAGCCACCGAACACAGGGAGGCGGAGGGCGGCGGCCAGCTGTGCCAACCTGTGACCCTGGCCTACTTGGCTCTAGGACAGCTGTCGAGGGCAGGCCCGGGGTGAGAAATGGGTGCCAGGAACAGGAGCACGCGGGTGGTGCGAGGCTGAGCATGGGGGCTGGGGGCGGTGGCCACTGCCCCCCCCACAGGGCCCCTCCGCATGACAGGAGGCTAGGGCCCCATGATCCACAGTTCGACACCCGGTCACAGCTTCCCGGAGGGACTTGCGGGGTGGAAAGGGAGGCTCCAGGTAGAGGCAGAGGTGTGAGATACCTGTACCCAGAATTTCTTGCTAAATCCCTGGACACTCCCCCTACTAACTGTGGGACTAGGAATAGTGGGCACACAAGGGCCCGCACGTGGATCTGCAAGGAGTGACCAGCAGGTGCAGAGCACCCAGAACAAGTCCACAGGGTTTCAACTTCTGTGACCTGAACAATGAAGCATGTGGTTCCATGGGCACAAGGCACTGTGACAGGTGGCAGCAACGAGAAGGCCTGGCAGGCCCTTGTGCTTGTCTGTCTAGCCAGGTGCGACCTGGCTACACACTCATGATCCAAGTCTGCAAACAGCAGCCACACGATCTTCTCAATCTGTGCCACACTTCCTGGGGTACAAAGCACAGCCACCGAGGTCCCCCTGTTTTCTGGGTGAGGAACCTGAGACCCCAGGCGGTTGGGGGGTGTCTAAGGTTATGCTGCATTTGCTCCTTAAAGCGGGGAAGGCGCCTCTGAGGGGCCAGGCGTGGGGCCGGCTGGCTGTGTTGGGCACGCATCTGCATGGCACATGCGCACTTCCGTGTGAGGGAGGGGCCAGGTCGGATATGGTACCCGGCGGGAGAGAACAGGCGGCTGGCCCTTCACCCGCGGGTAGGCCGGGCGCGGGGCCGCTCACCTGCCATGGCTGTGTAGCCCAGGAAGCAGGCGATTTTCTCCTGGCAGAGCTCCTGCTCCTCGTAAGTCAGCAGCTGGTAGACGAACTGCCAAAGCACCTGCTTGGCGGGCGTGTCCAGCACAGGGTAGACGTCGACGATGAGGGTGTCGATGTTCCTGGGGGAGGGGCAGGGGCAGAAGTCCTCTCAGGGGCGCGCCTTCGGGAGTGGAGTGGGGTGGGGATGGATATGGGGGGCACTTCCAGGTCACAGACGTCGGGCTCAGGCCCTGCCCCGCTTCCCACTGCCAAGACAGGGCGGGAGGGGGGCAGGAAGGCAGGCTCTGGGGACGGGCTGCCCAGACCCAAATCCCACCTCTGCCACTTACCAGCCAAGAGACCTTTCTCAAGCTACTTAACGTCTCTGTGCCTCATCTGTTTCCCCATCTGTAAGATGGGGATAAAAAGTGACATCTACCACACAGAGCTGTGGAGGAGACGGAAGCCGGCGGAGCGTGCTGGGAAGGCTGAGAGACTGTGTCAGTGATCAGCGGGACATGGCCCAGGGGCCAAAATCTGGCCTGCCACCTGCTTCGGTAAGGGCGGCATGCCTGTGTGTGTATATATTGTCTATGGCTGTTTTCAAGCGACGACAGCAGAGTTGAATAGTTTCAATAGAGATGGTATGGCCCCGAAAGCCTAAAGTGTCTACTATCCAGCCCTTCATAGAAATAGTTTGCTGACCTTTGCGTTGTATTAAAAAAAAAACAACAAAACCCAAAAACTGGATTCTCATATAATGCCATGCAGAAAGATGAACTCCGGTTGGATAAAAGACCAAGACGTGAAAGATAAAATTATAAACTTAATAGTAGAGAATGCAGAAAAGTATTTTTTGAGCTAGAGGCAGTGACAAACACAGAATACTTGGTAAAAATAAAATAAAATAAAATAAAAGGGCCAGGCATAGGATGCAGAATATAGCACAATGATGATGAAACATAAAAATATATCACACAGAACAGCAACGCCCACTTTCCAAGAACATCTTCAGACAAAGGGCACCCATTAGACTCCTCAGACTTGGCGGGGAGGGACTGGGACCAAAGGGAATGGAAGGTGGAAGCCCCCGAAGGTCCATCGACTGACGGCGGGACCGACCAAACATGTCCTGTCCTTACGGCGGAGCATTAGGCCATAAAGGAATGAAGGAGATGTCATGAATGGGATGAGAGCTGAAAGCATTCTAAGTGAAAGAAGTAGACACAAAAGTCCACAGAGTGTACAATTCTGTTCATGTGAAATGTCCAGAACCGGAAAAGTAGAGACAGACAGTGGATGGATGGTTCCTTAAGGTGGGGAAGAGCAGAAAAGAGGTGCGGGGGGCGGGGCCATGGCGAAGGGGTGCGGCGTTCTTTCGGAGGCGATGAAATATTCTAAAATGGAGTGTGGCGATAGCTGTGCACGTACTAAAAACCAGTGCATTGAATTCACATTCAAATGGACGAATCGTATGGCATATCAACTATGTCTCGATAAAATTCTTCCAACAAAAAAAGAAAAAGGGTGAACAAGCGAGGAGCTTGGCCTGCACCATGACAGTGACCCTCCAGCTGAAGAGTGTGACCAACGCAGGCTGCTGCCCCGGAGGTACAAAAAGAAAGACACCAAACCAAGCGGCAGGGCATGTGGCCGGTGGCGAGTGCCCGCAGGCGTGTGGCACCTCGGGGCCCTGCTGACACTGGAAGTACCGTCCCTGTGAGGGCCCCACTCTCACGGCTGCAGATGATCACTGTCTGCTTCACTTTACAGATAAGGCCTCGACCTGCCCAGGCCACGTGGCTGGGAGGTGTCAGAGGCAGGTGTGTTCTGGGGCAGCCCATCTGCCCCCGCCTGGGGGCCCCAGTACCAGCTGCTGCTTCCTTTGAGCCTCCCCCAGGAGAAGCAGGGGTGGGTGACAGGGCTCAGGCAGGGGGACCTGGGCGGTGAGTCTGGGCAGGGTTTGGGGCCCACGCGGGGCAGGCGCCCGCCCCCCTCTGGCCTGGCCACCTGTGCTGGAAGAAGCTCTCCAGGGCCCGGCAGACGCCGTAGCGCTCGGGAGGCGTGAGCAGGTGCTCCAGCTGCTGGCTGAAGGTCCTCCCCTGCACGCGGATGCTCGACGGCAGGATCTCCGCCACCCACTGCAGCGAGGTGAGCGCCGAGGACGGGTTGGGGGAATCCAGAGAATCAGAGTCTGCAGGGTCACAGGCAGGAGAGGCGCAGGTGACGCGGGGAGCCCAGGCCAGGAGCGGCGGCCGGGGGTCATCCTGAGCTGGGGTGCGGCCGCCTCTGCATTGGGAGGCTCCTCTGCAGCCGGAGCCCTGAGGCCTGGGAGGGGGAGGGGGATGGAGGGAGGCCAGGCGGGGCCCTGAGGTGTCCCGCTGGGTCCCACAGCGCCGCCTGGGGAGGGAGCTGCGGGCTTGGGGGAAGAGCGGAGGGGCCCCTTGCGGTCCCTGTGGCAGTGGGGGTCTCACCGCTGGCGAATGGGACGGGCCCCTCCTCTACCACCAGCGTGGGCATCGCGCCGCTGCCCTGCAGCATGGACACCACCTTGTCGTGGGAGCAGTTCCTGCTGAGCAGAGATGGCCCAGGAGGGCCTGGCAGGGATGAGCTCAGCCCAGGGCCACCCGCCGGACCTCCCGGTCCTGCCCACAGCAGCTGCACAGCAAGTCCCCAGCTGGGCCAGCGCCGGGGCAGGGCGCGGCCCCTCCCGCCCACTCATCTTCACAGGAGAAGCTCCACTGGACACCTCTGGGCACAGAAGGGCTTGCACCCATGTCACCCCCAGGCCGGGCTCCCCAGTGTCCCCTGTGTGGAGCTGGGGTGTTTTCTGGCTGAGAAGCCGAACTGACGTCCTGGCCAGGGTGGGAGAATAGACTCAAGAGTTCCCACAGGACGAGGGACAAACCCTGGGGACCAACTTCTCAGACATGGGGACCAAGGCCTAGAGGTCCCAGGAGGCAGCAGGCTTGGGGGACAGTTCACCACCAAGCTCTGGCGTCCCCAGTGGCCTCTGACCTCATATCCAGTCCATTGAGGAAGAGGATCCGGTCGCCGGACCTGAGGGAAGCACTGTCTGCCGGGCTCCCTGGGGGGCAAGAAGAGAGGGGCGCGGGTCAGCGGGGCGGGAAATGGGGCCGGGGACGATAGCACAGGAGAGCCAAAGTCAGGCCGGCGGGGCCCCAGGAGAACCAGCGCCTCTGCTCTCCGGGGCTCTGGCCAGGGGGTGGTCCCGAGCCAGGTCGGGGCGCGGGGGGCAGCCGGGCCGCTGGGCAGCCCGCGCTGTCGGAGAGGAGCTGAAACAAGAAGGTCCAGAGGGCAGTGTTTCTTAGGCTTTGACGCCTGGGGCCTTGCCGACACTGGGCGGACAGCCTGGCCCTCCCAGGGACAGAGCGAGGGACGGGTCTGCAGGGGGCCCTGGGCATGCAAGCCCTCCGATCCTGGCCCCACGCCCGCTGGCCGCCTTCTCGACGGGCTCTCACGCTCTGAGCCACGGAGCACTCGCCCTTGTCACCCGGGGCCGGGAACCAGACAACTAGGGACAACCCTGTGTCCCTGAGCCCCCGAAATTGTGCACACTCGCCAGCCCTAAGCCTGTTCACCTGGCCGTGCCCAGTTGTTCCCACGGAAACCACAGCAAAGGCCCTTGCCCACATTTCCCAGTGGCTCCCTCCGCCTCGGAGGGCATGGGGTTACCAGCCTGGGGGCTGGGCTGGGCAGACCGGGACACCTGGTTTTTAACATGGCCCTACACCAAGTGTCTCTGGCTACGTGCGTGGGAGAGGCAGGGAGGTGGCAGTGGTGGTGGTGGCATGGTTGGAAGAGACACATTCAAAGAGGAGAGATTAATAATTTCTGGAAGGAGCTCCCTCGAGAGCCGCCTTGGGCCTTTTCCAAACAATGGAATGTCAACAACTTAGTGGTACACAGATCCGAGGAGACCCAGAACACGTCACTCATCAGGGTTAGATCTGGGGATTGTCCAAGGGCTGGGACAGTGACGCGAAGGCACGGAGGCACTTTCCCGGGGAGCGGAAGGTGCCCGTCGCGCACATCGCGCCTGGAGGTGTGAGGCGCAGGGGTCCAAAGGACTCAGCCTCAGTCGGTACCCTGACAGGGACGTGTCACTAAGAGCACCATGCATAGGTGCGGGGGAGGGTGAATGGGTGCAGGACAGAGCAGGTGACCCAGCCCAGTGGGTGGTTACAGGGAGAGCTCAATCAGCGCCAGGAGATGTTTCTGGCCTCTGGGGACCTTCCACACTGGAATGAGCTGCCTCAGTGGGACAGGAGTTTCTTCTTCCCACCCCCACCCTGCGCCGGCTGGGGGGGCGCAGAGGAGGAGGAGTTTCTGCTCTGCCTTCTTCAGGGGGCCACCGTCCAGGGGTGAGAAGGAGCGGGCTGAGTGGGAGGGGGAGGGAGTCCAGACGGAGGGTCTGGGTCGCTGGCAGAGGCCCAGCAGCCCTGCCGCCTCCCTGGGTCGGGCCTACTTGGCAAATGCCCAGTCCACAGCGACTGTGGCGCTCCACGCAGGGCATCCTTTGGGGGTGCAGCCTGGGCGGACACCAGCGCGGTTCTCGTCGCCTGTCCCAGGAAGTGCCCCCGCCCTCCCTGTGGACACAGGGAAGGTCTGGATGGAGCGCTTGGTTCACCTGGCTCAGGGGTGGCCCTGAACTTGGATGGTGTTGGCCCAACTCCAGCAGATGGATGATTTGGACATGCTGCTCTGGGACGCTCAAAGGACACAGGCTACATGAGGTTTGGGGGGAGGTGCCGAGCAGCGGCCTCCGGGGGTCCTTCACCCCGTCCTGGACAACCCCCCCCGCCCCCCCGCCCCCCCCCCCCCCCCCCCGCCATGCCTCACCAGGCAGGACAGACTCGATCCAGACAGGCCCGTGGCCGCGCAGTGTGAAGCCAAAGCTCTTGTTGCCCTTGTAGATGCGGACTGTCCTGGGGAGAGAGAAGGCGCGGCATGGGGGGCGGGCAGTGTGCCCCTCCCTGGGGAGAAGGGGCTGGGAGGCGCGGGGAATGTTGACGTCCTCTTCCCCTTACCATCCCCACCAGCCACCCACCTCCACCCGTGCCCTTGCCTCGCCCCCGTGCCCTCTGTCCCGTCTCCATCCCAAGCCCATCCACGGATGAGGAGGCAGCCCGCAGCGCACGCCCCGGCTCCGGATACCTGCGCGCGCCCCCGGGGCCAGCGTGGCAGCCCAGAAGCGAAGGGGCCTTGTGCGGGGGTGGTTCGTCCGGGCGGCGCGGAGCGGCGCTGGCGCGCGTGGACACCAGGAGGCGCTCCGGCCGCTCCTCGCTGCGGCTCCGGCGCAGCCGCTGGGCGCTCTGCGCCCGCCGGGCGCGGCACAGCTTGCCCAGCAGACCCTGCGATACCACTTCGTCGAAGCGCGCCCGGTGCTTCTTGGGGATGAAGATCCTGCCGGGGAAGCCATCTGAGTCGGGGCGCGCCCTCAGACCCTGCCCCGATCACTGCAAACCGCGGCCCAAAGGCGCCTCCTGGCAGACGCGACCCTCGGCTCTTCCTCTCCTCCTCAGGGTGGCGGGAGACTCAGCGGCCGGCACCCCACTCCCCCCCCCCCCCCGCCCCGTGGCCGCGCCTGCTATCTGGCTGTGCGATCTGGGCCAGCCAGGCCTGGGCTTCACAGCTCAAGGCACTGGGGTTCGTTCCTGCTCTCAGAGAAACCTTCGGAGTTGGTGAGAAGCAGGGTGTCGCTCTCATTGTCGCCTGTGGGAGGGCCCACACTCCGGCATGGTCCCTTGGTGACCATGGGTCTCCTCTACGAGAGGGCTGGGCCTGTAGCTCAGCTTGGAGCCAGGGTGACCAGCCAGGCTCTGCCCCCGGGAGGGACTCAGTGGCTCAGTAAACAGGGGTCCACCGGTGGTCCGGCCACACAACTGAGTGATGGGAGCAGCTAACACCCAGGGGGACTCCTCGGTCCACAGCAGAGAATGCTGAGGGTCCGGAACTTTCCGGAGTTGGCACAGCTGTGGCAGAAGCCCGGCCTCTGGGCCTCAGCACCGCAGAGGGGCTCTGCCAAGGGCCCCCGAAGACCTGGCTGTTAGCAAGGCCTCCCTGGCTGCACCCCCGGTTCCCTTCCGTTGTTCTGTACCAGGAGCTGGTACCAAGGGAATGGGGGGGGGGAGGGTATCGGTGGCCTTGCAGCCGACTGATACACAGCCCCTCCGGGGTTGTCCCGTGGCCCCCACTCCGTTCCCTAGACCTCTGCAGATAGACTAGTAAGGCCAGGTAGGCAGAATAGCTGCCTGCTGGGCGGGAGGGGTGCACCAGGACCCCCCCGGACCCCCGCCACACACAGTGAGTGAGCTCTACTCCTGGATGTCCCAGGAGACCAGGGGCACAGGACAAACGGCCTGCTCGGCTCTGCCAGGAGCGTCCTTGCCTGGTCTGCTGCTCGCCCTTGCTCCTCGCCGCAACCCCCCAAAACCTGGAGCCTCAGCCTCCTTCCCCAGATGGTCACTCAAGGTCTCTGGAGCCTGACACCCCCATCTGCCTGGCCTGCGCATTCCCACGGCCCCCTGCACCCACCACATGCCTCGCGCTCAGACAAAGAAGAGAGGACAAGGAGGACACTGTCCACCGCACACCTCGGGCTCTGGCCCCCGACTCCAGCAGGCGTCCGCCCGGGTCCAGCCTGGGCAGGGGCCAGACGACAGGTCCCAGCTCTACGCTCCAGGGGCTACTAGGAAAGGCCCTGCCTGCCCCCAGGTGGGAACCAGGGTGAATCAGCAAGTGCATAGGTCGGGGGAGGCTGGGTGGCCCGTTCCCTGACTGGTGTCCTTGGGCTGAGCCACACCATGAGCGGTGCTCAGGGTCAGTTCTGTTCTATCTGTGGAGGTGGGGGGAGGGGTCCGGTCTAAATCCACCTCCGGGTTCCTCCCAGGCCTGCCCTAGGGTCCCCTCTCTCCACGACATTCCCTGACTTTGATCTCTGCCCAGTTTCCAGGACCAGCCCAGGCATAGGAAGGAAAGAGCTTTTCAATCCCAGCCGTTAGTTCCCTAGCCCCATCCCGACCCTTAGCGCCACGCAGCGCGGGGAACTCGCCTCCTTGTACCCTTCCCGTTTATGTCCACCCTCCCCAGCCCCCGGAACCCAGCCAGGCAAGGCGGGTGCCCATCGAGGGCAGAGAAGCCCTTCAGTGTCCCAGCCCCACCCCCTCTCAGCCCGGCGGGGTCGGGTCCTTGGAACCCAGAGCGCACGGTTCCTGGGGACGTGGGGCGGCGGCGGTGGGGGGGGGGGGGCGCAGTAGGGAAGCTACCGAAAGTGCCGGGAGAAGCCCTGGTCCTTCCCCATCTGGAGCGGGCGACAGCGGCGCAGCAGGTGCAGACGGCAGGGGGTAGGTAGCCCAGCCCGGGAGCTGAGCGAGGGCGCCGCGACTCCTTGCGCCTCTGCCGGGCCAGCGCACGGGGCCCCTCCCGGGGCAGCCCGGCCCTCGGCTGGGCGCCCGCCCCCTCTCCAGTAGCCCCGCCCCGCCCCGCCCCTCCGGGGGGACCCTTCAGCGAGCTGCCAGGGATCTGGGGCGGTTCGAGGCTGCCACGCCACCTCCTCTTGCCCCCCTTCATTAGTCCCTCCCGGGCGCCTCGCCTCCGATCTCAGGCCGGCCAGCGCCCGGTGGCCCGCACAGTGGTGTGTCCCCAACGCGCGCTGCAGGAGAATGAACCCGACAGTCCCGAGGAAGTCCCGACTGTCTCTCGCAGAGCACGGGAAGGCTTTCCGGAGGGGGTGGCCACTGCGCTGGTCCTCAAGGGCTCAGCAGGAGTTGAGGTCAGCGAGAGCAGGCCCTCTCTGCCTATCCAGGGCAAGCTGCCCCCGAGAAGAGGCTAGAGAGGGGGCCTTGAATGCCGGTGTCAGCCGCAGAGCCTGCACTCTGGCGCCAGTGGGAGCCGTGGGCGGGCCTAAGGGTTTCCGGGGGTGGGGTGGGGTTGGAGGGACCCCAGAGGTTTAGCCACAGCAGGGAAGGGGCAATGCTGGGAGGGGGGCAGGGAAGGGTATTGTGAGGGGACACATTTCTAGATTCTTAGAGCAGAGGAAGGAGACGGTATGAGACCTGGTGAGCAAGAGGAACTCGTGAGGAGGGGGCCGTCCCGCTGGCGTGGGTGGGGGGAGTGGAGGACCTCACTGAGCTGGGCCATCCTACTGGGAGAGCAGAGGCGAGGCGCGGTCCAGGGAGGAGAGAGAGGTGCCAGGAGAGGGCTCGGGGCCTGCCACTCCCTGGAAGTTAGAGCAGGAGGGGACCCCAGGGACCCCACTGCATTGTCCTTCCTCACTGGTCCGAGCCAAGTCGTGACTGCAGGCGAGAAAGCGCTGCTGGTTGCCGGGGAGCGGCCCAGGGCACCCCAGGGAGGGGCTCCTCAAGGACGCAGCGCCGGGCTGTCTCCTCACCTGGGGGCAGTCACCACCCGGGCAGGCTGGCACTGCAGAGGCAGGAAGCCCTGGGGGCGCCACCTCTGTCCCAGTCATTGGGGGGAACAGCTCACATGGCCCTGCCTGAGGGCGCCTGCAGCCATCCCAGGGAGGGCGCTGCACGCCTGACCGTCAGTCCCCGGGACTCGGTCCGGGCCCTGCTGCCCAACGCGCCTCAGCCCCACGCTCCTGACCCCCAAGGCCACCCCCTGCAGTGACCGCTCAGGCCGCATTTCTCCCTGGACAGGGACAGGAAGCCAGAGCTGTGTCCTCCCCAAGTCTTGTCCTCAGCCCTGCTGGGCAGAGACCTGTCCGAAACCCTCACCCTGGGCCCTGCTCCCTGACACCCACAGGGCCACCATCGTCCTCTCACGATGGAGCCATCCCTGCGTGATCTCTGAGAGCTGCAGTGGCCCAGCATCCAGAGCCAGGCCTGCCCGCGAGGTACGCACACTGTCCCCCTGCTGGGGGCTGAGGAGCGGCCAGCACGGAGCAAATGCCCCGCTCAAGTCCAGACACAGCCAGCCATGCGCACACTGCAAGGGGCCAGCAGCTGGCACGTCTGGGCAGACGACCCAAGGTGGCCGGGGGCGGCCAGGGGCCGGGCAACAGTGGGCCCTCCCTGCAGCGCCCACCCCAGCGAGAGTACGCCACCGGGAACGGAGGACTGTAGGGCAGTGGCTTGTACCCGGGGATGACTTTGCCCCCCAGGGGACATTTGGCACTGTCTGGAGACAGTTTTGGTTGCCACAAAATGACAAGGGGAAGGGGGTCTGTGCTGCTGGCATGTGTGGGTAGAGGCCAGCGATGCTGCTAAGCATCTCACCACCTACAGAACGGCCCCCACGACAGAGGACTGTCGGGCCCAAAAGCTCGGGACTGCCCTGCTTGAGAAAGCAGTTCCCGGAGAAAGAGGCCGTCCCGGGAAAGCCGCCCTAAGGGAGCCCTACGCGGCCCCGCTGCACAGCCCCGCAGACTTCTCACGGCAGCTTTGTCCCGCGGTGTCCCCGGCGCTCGCTACAGCACAGCGGGCGAAGGGAGCACCGGTGTCCCCTCACTGCCCCCCACCCCCCCGGTTCTCAACGAATCTCTTTTCTGCTTGGGTGGTAAACACACGATGCCCTATACCAGTGATTTTCAACCCTTTTCATCCACGGCACACACAAGCTAGAAACGGAAATCCTGTGGCACACCAAAAATATATATTTTTTGCCCATCTGACAAAAATAGGTATACATTTGATTCATCCTCACTGGATGGCTATTGTTGCACTGGCTGTTGCCTTTTTTCTTTTATTTGACAGTCTAAAGGCAAAGGGGTCAGGGGCCCTGACTAAATAGTCGGGTATTGCTTGTTTTAAAAATCCTTGCGGCACACGGGTTGAAAAATTGCTGCACTATACAGAAGATGCATCATAGAATTATGCACTTGGAACCTATATAGTTTGATGAACCAATATCATCCCAATAAAATTAACCATCTCTTTCCTGTTTGCAGGTGGCGGAGTCCGTTTACATGATCTCCTACCAGGAGCTCTTCTGGGGACGGGTAGGTGTCACCAGCCCCTCTTACAGATAAATCGTAGAGGTCAGTGAACTGCTCAAGGTCGCACAGCCAGTGGGTGGATGTGCGGTTCGGGCTAGGTCAGGGGGATTCCAAATCTTCCGCCACCTCCGCTGCGCCCCTCCCCCAAGCATGCCCCCCCCCCTTCTGTGTTTCCTGAAACGCCCGCAGACCCCAAAGCGGACTTAGCCTTCCTGTTCCCTGCCGACCACGCCACACTTTCCACACTGCCTGGCCTGTCCTAATTAGAAAGCCGTCACTTCATCAAACGGGGATCCCTTTGGGGACAGACCCAAATTAGGCTCTGAGCCATGGGACCCGCGCCGTGGTGAAGGAAGAGGAGACCCTGCACTGCCTGGCAGGGCTGCCGCTGACCCCAATGTCCCCTCAGGGCGGCCGCGCCGGCCCAGAGGACTCCGTGTGATCATGCACTCTGCCCTGTCTCTAGGTCACCACTAGCCACGGGTGGCTATTGAGCGCTTAAACTGTGGCTGGGGAGACTGGGAAGCCAAAGTTAAAATTGTATCTAATATTCATTACATTTAATTTAAAATAGTGACACGTGGCTTGTGGCTACTGTGCTGGGCCAGCCTGATGGTCCCACTCCCTCTCCCTTCTCCCCAGGCCTTCTGTTTTGGCGATGGGGACGGCCCTGTGGAGGGTCCCAGCCTCTGCTGAGCACCGATGCGCACGTGGGTACACGCAGTCCTGCACACACCTCCAGGACGGTCCTTTGCTGCTCAGCCTCTCGCTGATGGGGGAGGGGAGGTCCCCAAGGCCACCCCGCAGCGCCTCATGGCACTCCGCCAGGTAGGATGGTGCACAGGCAGGCTCTGTCAGCCGCCCTGTGTCGGTACCGGTCGGCCTGTAGGGCACTGCTCTTTGGCCCTCTGGAGGCTCCCCCCTGCGGCTAGATGCCTGGCCCTGGTGAACTGCCTTTCCACCTCCACAGGACATACTGCCAGACCCACCGGTCAGTGTCTGAGCCGCGGGCTGGCCCCAGCTGCCTCCTCGGAGGAGCCTGCCCTGGGCGCCCCTGAAGACCCAGCCCTGAGCTGCCTCCTCGGGCACTCATGCCCGGGAGTCACAGATAACGGTGACTCCCCCATGCGCCCCTGAGCTCCCTTGGGAACGCGCTGCGTGGCGATGGCCTGGGGGTGGGGGTGGGGATTGGGGGCTGAAGCCACGCTGCCAGGGTTGCCCAGCTGGGCGCCGCCCCCTCCTCCGGCAGCCTCCCCAATTTTCCTGCCGCACTTGACACGCGCTGACAACAGAGGCTGCTGTTTCATCCTCCCCAGCGGCGCCCCGGGGATGCTGCGGGGAACGGGCATCCCCACGTGCCCGGGGTTCCCCGCTTCCCGGGCTCTGAACTGCGAGCGCCCAGGGGGCGCCTCCCCCACCCCACCTTTTCCCGACGCGCGGCCGGTGGCCCGGGGGCGGCTGCGGGTGAGAAAGGCAGGCGTGAGGGCTGCCCCGGGCGGCAGACGGGCTGACCCGCCGGCGGAGGCGGAGGCGGCGGCAGGGACGGAAGCCGGGGCCGCACCGAGGGGAGGTGAGGCGGCGCGAGGGGGCCTCCGGCGGAGCGCGGCCGCTGGCGGTCCTGAGGCACGTGCCAACTTCCCGGGGGACAGCCCTCGCCCCTGGCCCAGCCCGCGTGGAGAGGGGCGGGGTGGGGGCGGCCCATCTGGCATCACCTTCCCGGGGGGCCCTCAGGCGCCAGCACCGCATCTCCACTGCAAATTCGGCTCCAGAAATAACTTTTTTTGTCTCCTTTCCGGATTTTCCCAGCCCCTCACTCACCCCAGGCAGCTCATGGTGGCCGCTCTCGGTGGCCTTGTGCGCTCCGCTGCAGAGCCGAGAGGCTGCACCCGCCCGGTGTTGGGGCGGGGGGGTGGCCAACCCCGTCCCCGACATTGGCCAGGCCCGGAGGGAGGGGCGGGCGCGGGGTGAATGGCAGCGAGGGGAGGGGGCGGGCCGAGCCCGGGAAGGGGGAGGGGCGCGGCTGGGGAGCAGCCGGCGGCTCGGGGAGCGGGGTGGGGAGGGGAAGCTCCGCGGGATCCGCGCTGGGGACGGCGCTCAGGCCCGGCGGCCTGGTCCGAGCGGGGCAGCGCAGGGCAGCGGCCTCCGGTGGGGAAGGCGGGGACGGGGCTCCGGGAGGGGCTTCCCCTTGTGGACGCACCAGGAGACTTTTGTTTGTTTGTTTTTCTGAAGAATAAACTTAGAGGGTCCAAAGCTGAGCGGCAGAGCAGAAAGCGCACGGCTGACCCGGTTCGCATTCCCGAGCCTGCCGCTCACTTGCTGTGTGACGCTGGGCCAGGCTCTTAACCTCCCTGTGCCTCAGTCGGACTCTGTGAAATGGGAACAGCAGTAGCGCCGGGGGAGTCGGCCGGAGCGTATCCCTCCAGAGTCCCGGGAGGACCCGGACTCTCCGCTGGCGTCGCCAAGGACAGAGCGCGCGCCGTAGGACCGGGGAGCCGGAGCTGCCCAGCACAACCCTGGACCTCACGTGGTGCCACCGCTCTGTCTGGGGACAGAGCTAGGACTGCCTGAGCGTCCTGCGGATTTCTGGGGCTCGGGGTTTGGGGTGGAGCGGGGCAGCTACGGCTGCAGATCGGAAGGCGGGCCCCTCAGGGCCGCCCCAGGCCGGCCGTCTGCAGCCCTTCCCTTCTCAACCCAAGGGGTGCCCCGGCCTCCCGCAGAGCCAGCAGGCGCCCTCCTCAGGGTCACCGCCCACCCGTGTTCTGGGGCTGAGGGCGTCGGGGTGCAGCCCAGGGGCGGGCCACGCAGCAGCAGCAGCTGGATGGCAGTGGGCGCCCCTGAGCGCGGCGCCCCGCCTGCGCGCCCCGGCCCAGCCTGGGGTACCTGAGGCTGTCCAGGAGCGGCCCTCGGGCCTCGCGGGGCAGGGCCAGGGTGAGCGCCCGCACCAGCGCGTCCACACGCTGCTCGGCCGCGAACTGCTTCAGGGCCGCGAACACCTGCTCCTTGGCCATCGGCTGGTCCGCGAGGATGTCGTCCACCTGCGAGGAAGGGTCCCGTGACTGATCACAAAGGCACAGGGCGGGACGTGGGGAATCAATCGCCCCTCGGCCTCCCTTTCTTCCTCAGTTTACCTCCACAGCATAGCCCGGCTGCGAGCTTGCTACCCAGACCCCTCCCTCTGAAGCCTCAGCAGCCCAGGATCCTCTTTCAACTGAAGGAAACTGAGGCTGGTGGAGGCACAGGGGATGGGCCCGATGTCACGGGGTCAGGGCTCAAGCCCAGGGACAGCCCTTCTACTGGACATTGTAAGGATCGAAGGAATCGATACAAGAGCTTACACGCGAATGTGTGCAGGGCACTCAATAATTGCTAGTTACTATTATTACTCTACTCCCTTCTACTACACTGTTTGCTTAGATACCTCGGAGAGCATTCTCGCTCCACATAAAAGCCCTGGAGTGCACGCTTCCCTCTGAATTTTGGCTCCCCCGTGCTGTCTCTGGGCTTTTGTTTTCTTTGTCTTTGTGTACAAACCAGCTGATGCCAATCCACACAGAGGAGTCTGTGCGGCCCATGGAAACATGCACGTAGACATACATCTGAGAGATATTTGTAGTTTCTTGGCTGCTGAGCTAAGAAGGGAGGAAAACCCCAGATTGGTGAAAGGCAAGACCCCAGCAGTTACGTTGTAGCGTCGGCCATGAGGAAGCTCTTGCCCAGGGCTTTGGCTCCTGAAGGAATGGTGCAGGAACGCGGGGGCAGCAGAGCTTGCTCAGGGCCGCGGCAGAGCCCCCCCCCCCCCGGAGGACGCCCTGAGCAGACTCTTCCTGAAGGACGCTAGGACTGCTGTGCTCCAGGTTGCCGATCTTTTCTTGGCTCGGAGCCCAGGCCTCCGGCACTGAGTCAGTGAGCTGTCCCTCCCACAGTTGCCCTCCTGCCCAAGTTGCCGGAGTTGATGTTCATTGCTCTGTGGCCAGTTTCGCTCCATACTCTGTAATTTTGGACGTCAGTTTTTTCATGTTTTAACATCTCTGTGGCTATTTCCTGTGGGGAACTGTCATTCCTGTGCACGTATGAATTTGGCTGTAGGTCTTCATATTATTACATCCACTGAGTTATGTGCATTGCTGCTAAGACATTTGTCCAAATAAAAGTCCTCTTTCAACAACTACTAAATTAAGCGACCAGAAAGCGATAAAGATGCAGGTGTCACGGGTTTATTGGCAGGGATTTTTCACCCTTGGCAGAAAATAAAACAACGGCACATCTTACAATTGATGGTGCTTTAGGTTTTGTGCCAGGCGGCGCTATTCGGCCATGAGGAAGCTGCTGTCGGGGTGCAGGGTTTCTTTTTGGGTCGATTAAAATGTCTTAAAATTCACTGTGGTGATGGTGGCTCACCTCCTGAATACACTGAAAACCACGGACTCGTACAGTTTCCATGAGCCAGATGTATAGTAAGTGCATTCCAGCTCAGTGAAGTTGTTCGAGTGGACAGGCAAGAGTGCGATACACAGGCAAGTGAAGAAAGCAGATTATCAGATAGAACACACAGCCTTGCCTTTTCATGATATGTGATTACACATGTGTTTGTGCAACGGAAACATACCCAGACACCTGAACGGACCCGGGGGCGGAGGCGGGAGGCGGGGAGGCCGGGGCAGCGCCTCTCTCAGGGGCCTGCGGGTGCAACTTCAGCCACAACCAGGGTCATCGGGTCCTTCTCCCCTTCCACCCGCCTCCAGACCGAACACACGCCGTGTCCTCCCCCGCCCCCCTCCCCTCGCGAGCGGATGAAGAGCCGAAAAGAACTCCTCGGGGAGCCTTCCGGACCACCCTGCCCTGGTGCCGCCGTCACTGTCTTATTTCCCCCGGTTTGTTTCTTCACTTCTTTGGTCATGACCTGCAATCGCTTATTCTGCGATGCGTCCACTTCCTCCTCATCGCTTTGCCCACAGGAATGGCGACTGCAGAGAGCAGGCCCCCTGCCTGTCCTGTGTGTGTCACGGCCCATCATCAACAACCGCTAAATGCGCAGACCTGAGCGGCCCTCCTGCCTCCTCCCCTTCATCTCATATAAATGCTCAAGTCTCTCCCAACCTATAATTGATTGTTAATAAAGTCCCCCGGTCCCCACGACCCAATCATCTTCTCGCTGTTTTGGCCCAGCGCTGTTGACAGCTGCTCCTACCGCACAGCTGCCCCTCCCACCGCAGGGCACCCCGCCTGCAGCTCCCTGATAGGACCCCACGGACCCCACCTGGCGACTCCACAGCCTGATTTCACCCAGAGCTTGCTCCTGGATTTCAGGACTGTATACCCAGCTGCTTCCTACTTGGTGGCACGAGGGGATGAAGGAAGGCTTTCTAGGGGGGCAACACCATAGAGGCAGGGCGTTCCAGGGCCTCAGTCAGTGGCCACATCCTGGCACGCGTGAGTCCTAGCACACGCACGCCACAAGTCTGGGTTACCGGCTGTCTCCTCCTCCGGTTAGGACAGCCCGAGACGCAGACCTGAGTCCTTGCTCCTGCCCAGCCCCAAGCCCAGGGCCTGGCACACAGGAGGCATCCGGTGGAAGCGTATGGCACCAAACCGAAGGGCTGTGAGTGGCCGGCCATCCTCACGTTGCATTTCCTGCAGTCCCCCTGCCGGCCTCAGTGACCCCCGGTGAGTAGGGCGGCTGTAGCACCCTGCACCCCCTCGTACGCCCACCGTGCTGAGGAACGTTCGTGGTTTTGAAATCAAAGTCCGCTGCAGCCTTGAGTCAAAGGAGAACATGGCTCGCTGGAAAGACGCTTTATGTAAGAAAGGAAAAAATAGTTCCTCCCTCCTGGGGCCTGTGCCACAGCACGGTTTTGGTGTCAGCTATTATCTGGATGCTCTGCAACCTACATCGAAGCATGAGATGCCATCACGGGACACAGATGGGTCCTCTGTTAAATAGCAGAGTCTTCAAGGAGGAAAAACTGGGGCAGGGCGGGCGCTGGTGAGAACCTGGCGGCCGAGTGTTGAAAACCAATGGGGGCTCCGCCGATGCCCTGATCTTCTGGGGGCAGAATTTTTGGGGGGTTTGTTCTCAGCCTTTAGAGGGGCTTGGTGAGCTCTCAGTGGAACCCATTCTTCCTGCGCCCCTTCCTACAGCACACAGCAGCTGGCCTGGGCAGCTGGTCAGATTCCACCCTCTGCTGGTGGCCACCCAGGCCCTGCTCCCTGGCTTATCTGCCTGACCTCCCTGCCCTTCTGGAGGCTCTGGTCATGTCCCCTTCTGACTTCCCAGGGATTCGATGGGCTCTGGGACAGGCCTTTGGCTCTATAGCAGGTCCTCTGGGATCACAGCAGACGTTACCAGTTGCTAGAGTCTGAATGTTTGTGTCCCTCCCCCAAAGCTCATATGTTGAAACCTAATGTCCAATGTGATGGTATTGGGAGGTGGGGCCTTTAGGAAGCGATTGGGTCCTGAGGGTGGGGCCTTCATGAGTGGGATTAGCACCCTCGTGAAAGAGACCCCAGAGAGCTCCCTAGCGCAGTCCATCATGGGAGGACACAAGCTGAAGGCCGCAACCCGGAAGATGGAACTCACTCCGCCATGTTGGCTCCCCGAAGTCAGACCGCCGTCCTCCAGAACTGGGAGAAGTAGGCTCCTGTTGCTGAGGAGCCGCCTGGTCCCTGGCATTTTGTTATAGCAGCCCAGGTGCGCTAAGGCGCCTTCCATGGCAATAGAAGGAATGGATAACTGCCACACACATGGATGAAAGTCACAGATACAGTGTTGAGCACAAGAAGCCCTGCACCGAAGAGTATGTCCTGCGTAATTCCATTTATGTGAAGTTCACAGATGCAAAATCACCTACAATGATGCAAGTCAGAACAGCAGCTGTCTCTTGACAGGGGGGAGGGACAAGGAAAAAGGTGCATAGGAACCTTCGGGGCTGGAGAGATCACTCTACATCCTACATCTCTTAGTCTATATTTTCGTCAGCGTGGTGGTTACCAGGGTGTATTCACATAAAATTTATTCAGCTGTACACTTACAGCACTTTACTGCCTACCTGTACCAACTGTAAAAGAAAAGCAACCCCCACATCAAGGTACAGGGCCTTGCAGCGTGAGCGTCATTTTATTTCTGCTAAATCTGACCCTAGCAGAGTCCTCTTCCCCAGGCTGTGCGAGCCTCAAGTTCCAGGCCCGCTCTAGGTCCTCCGAGACGCGGTCTGCACAGCCCCGCCCCCACGAGCCAAGCTCCGCCCCTACCTTGCGGCTGAATTCCTGGGCCTTGCGCCGTCGTTCTCGGTGCACGGCGTCGGGGCGCTTGCGACCCCCCAGGCGCAGCAGCTCGCGGCCCAGGCACAGGCCACGGCCCGGGCGCGAAGGCCTTAGGGCTGTGGTCGGGGGCGCGGAGCCGGAACCGGGTCCCGGGCCGGCGCCGTCGTCGGGGCCCGGGAGCACGCCGAGGCTGGGCGGCACGCGCGGGCAGCGCCGGGCCAGGCGCACCAGGCGCTCGCGGCTCAGGCCGCCCACGGCCAGCCCCTCCACCTCCAGGATCTGGTCCCCGGGCCGCAGTCCCCCGGCGTGCGCGCTGCTCCCTTCGGCCACCTCCAGGACGAAGCAGGGGCCGGAGCCTCCCAGCCGGAAGCCGAAGTCCTCGGGCCAGCCCTGGTTGGTGGCAGGCATGGCGGCGGTGGTCGTGCTGCTGGAGAGAGCGACGACACAGGGGAGTCCTTGTGGCCCTGTCCGCGGCGCTGCACGCGGCTCAAAGGCCCAGGACCCCTTCTTTCGACATCCAGGTGGAAGATGAGGTCCTGCCTTGGTGTCTGAACTCCTGGATCCAGCTGTGCCTGAAATTCACCAGCTTCCATGGGACAAAAGGACTTCGCAGTAACAGGAGCTCACAAATTCCTGCTGACTTTGGGGCGTATCTGCCCTTTGAATTGTAAGACGCTCGGTCCTTGGGGAAGCACGGTGCGGCTGATTTGGGGTCCCTGGGCTCCTGACTCTGGGACAGGCTCAGGGACAGAGGTTGCCTCTGTCTTCCAAGAGAGACCGCCTGCATGGGCTAGTGAGGTAGGTGGAGGCACAGGCACAGCCTGGGGACCTGAGGATGACCGTCCCAGGTGGGACCGGGTCTATGTGCGCTGTGTCTGTGTGTGGGTTTTCCCTACGGTGGCTTAGAGCAGGGATTCCTTACAGGAGTGCGCGGAAGCGCCCTGCTGTCGCGGGCAACCTGGGGTGTGAAGGCTTCGTCTCCTGGGGAAGGGTGTGTAGTTTCAGGACTTCCCTGCCCTGGCTGAAAAGACCTCCGAGGCCTGGCCTTGGGAGGCCCTGCCCCCGGCCCGCTTCCCACGCCGGGCACCCCTGCCCTGCCAGCCATCCTCCCTCTGGCTCCCTCTCCCGGGAAGCCTGGGAGCACTCCCGAGGCTGGAGAGTTGCGGGCAGGGAGGAGACCCAGGGTCCCACAGCAACATAGACTGAAAGGAAATGGCCCTGAGTGATATTTGAGAGAACCTGTGTCACCAGGCACCAGTAGCGCACGAGGTGAGAGCGCTTCACACTGGGTGGGGTGGAGGCTGTCACACCCCATGGGCTCCGTCCGCCTCTGCCAGGCAGTGGTACTGCCATGCGGCCTCAGGGACATTTCCTCTGTTGCTTGGTGGCCGCACCAGACCCCAGGTCCACTGGGCCCGGGAGGAGAGGGGGCATCCCATGCCTTGGAGGAGCAGGTACCGTGAGGGAAGCAGCCAGCGCCCCCACAATCAAGGAGGGGCTGGCTAGAAGCTCTGAATTTGGGGCCGGGGCAAACGCTTCCCCTCCAGGGGCACGTATGTTCTGACCAACACACCTGCCGCCGGGCTGCCTGTCAGAGGCCAGAGCTCCTGGCACCTCCACACCCAACCTGCGGCGCACACAGGGCCAAAGGGCTGCAACACCAAGAACCCCCGCCCCGGCTGGAAGCACGTCAAGCCCTCCAGTGCGCCCCGGCCCTGAAGACTGACCCACGCCCTCTCCCGCCCACACGGAGTCCCCCACCTGGGCCACTCTCTCCCCCTCTCCCCTTGCCCTGGAAACAGGAACCCAGGCTCCTGACAGGGCTGACGGGCTGTCTCAGGGCACGAGGGAGGGAGGCGTCCCAGGGTTCCCCATCCCACAACATGGAGTGCCGCCCCTCCTTGCCCGCCAGGTTTGCTCACCTTCCTTTCTGGTGACGGCTGTGGCAGCAGTGACAGAACGCTGTGCTTGTGGGACAGCCAGGGACACTTGCTTGCTGCTGGCCCTCTGTGGCTTGGGGCCTTGGCTTCGGTTACTGGCGCGCCCGTGGTGACAGCTGGAGTTTCTAAGGCAAAGTGATCCCCGGGGTAACCTGAGAAGGCCCGCTTACCAGGCAGACCAGCAGGATGGCCAGGCAGCTTGGCCAGGGCCCAGAGTGGCCAGCCGGCCCCCGCTGCAGGGTCCTGCGTGGAGGAACGGTGGTCCGCAGGCTGGAATGAAGGCAGACCGTGAGATCACAGAGCTCAGCCAGTGGATTGAGAGGATTCAGCTGGGTTGTCCTGAGGGGAGGGATGTCACCAGGCCTAGGGATGGCACAGGGGGGCCGATGAGCTTCAGTAGGGCATGGGGGGCACTCAGCCCCCACAGAATTCTCTTGTGGGGCCACTACCGGAGCCCCACAGACCAGGTTTCATTGGCAGGAGACGGGGAGCCAGGCCAGAGAGAAAGGTCTGCAGGGAGAAAAGATGCTGATTTAAGTCTTTTTGGAAATGGAGCCTGTAAAGCTAAAGACAAAAGGAACTTCACACAGTGCTGCACTCCAGTTGGCGAAGTTGTTCCCCGTGGGATGTGGGGTGACAATTCTGGAGTCACACAATACGTGCAGACTGGAAGTGGCAATTAAGTAAGGGGATTGCTGGAAGCATGTTTGTCTGCGCGGGAGGGCGCGGTTACCAGCGAGCAGAGGGGAGAGGCAGGATGACCCCCGTGGTGGATGCGTGTAGAAATAGCTACGCGTGTGCACATGGGTTAGTACCTGAACGTTCACTTGCTTGCTCTGTCGGCAGCGAGGGCCTAGAAGTAAGGCCGCCCCAGCAGCAATGAGCGCATCCAGCACTGCCTCTTGATTTCCACGTTGTCCCCCAGCGGAAGTGGGGGAAGTGACTGATTCTAGGGCTTGAGCAGGAAATATGCAAGATGAGCCTGGAGCATCTTCTCAGGCCAGAGAGTAAGAAGTGCTAAACACACACACACACACACACACACACACACACTGCCAGAGGGACAAAGGAGGCGACTGAAAACACTCCCAGTGGCCAATGCGGCAACAGTTAGAGCAACAGCATAACATAGTATTGGATTCTAACCCAAAATATAAAAAAAAAAATCCACCAGTCCCTACTGATATAAACAGACAACCGATTAAATAAGAGGAAAAGGGACAAATCTCCATGTAGAAGAATTCCAAATGATTTGCATAGCTGGAGGAGCTGGAACATGCCCCCCCATACATACGTGTGGGCTGCGCATGTAACTTCCTTCCAAAGGGGCCAGCATGAAGCGGCGGGGTGGGAGTAACTTTACAGGGGACAAACCTGGCAAACATGACCTCAGGCGATCAAGGTCAACATCAACAGGGCTAGGCCGGCTTGAAGGCATGCGCCCTGGATTTGACGTAACGTGAATGGCACTCTGCTTCTGTGGTCTTCCTCCTGATAACCCATAACCAGCCTACGAGGAAAATGCCAAGCCAGCCCAAACCGAGGGACGTTCCAAAACGTCTGAATCTTCAGAACTGTCGAAGTCATTGAAAGCAGAGAAAACCGGAGGCACCGTCATGGCTCAAGGCAACCTAAGTAGACCTAACAACCAAATGCAGCGTGGGATGCTGGGGCAGAGAAAGTGCATTAGGTAACAAGCTAAGGAAATCTGAATTAGCTACTAATAATGGACCAATATTACTGTTCCTTGGTTATGGCAGATGCACCCTAGTAATGTCAGGTGTCAGCAGTAGGGGACACAGGGCGTGGGGCAAAAGGGAACTCTGCACTATCTTCATGACTTTTCTGCAAACCTAAAACGGCTCCAAAATTAAAAGTTTATTTTTAAACCATCTTCTTAGGATGTGGGAGATGGGGATTAGATAGACTAGAAGATATTCTTTTTTAAAAAAAGATTTTATTTATTTAACTTTACAAAGAGGGAAAGAGAGGGAGATAAACATCAATGTGAGAGAGAGAAATATCGGTCAGTTGCCTCTCTCACGCAACCCAGGCCTGTGCCACGACTGGGAAAGGAGCTGGCAACCCTTCGGTCTGCCGGACAACGCCAAGCCCACTGAGCCACACCAGTTAGGGCGAGATAGGTCACCATGATTGAACTGGACGTTTTCCAGAGTTCGCTCTACCCAGAGGTATTCTCCAAGTTCCTGTGTGTGTGTGAGATAGACGTGTCCTTATGTGTTCTCCAGCCTCACATACATTGTAAATCCTGCTAGGGAGCTTACAGTATCCTCATGCTTAAAAAAAGAAAAGAAAAGAAAAGAAAAGAAAACCATGAGTGAATGAGAGTGCCCGGAGCTTGGTGGAAGAGTGCCCGATGTAACAGAATATGTCTTCGAGCGCAGAGCCAAGCGCGTAACGGGCTGTAGAGCACTGTCCTGCGGCGGCTATGTGGGTGACTGCTGAGCCTGCCCTGTCGTCTTCTTGCGGTAACAACCGATGCTTCTGGAGAGGGCAGAAACGGTGCTACCTGACACCGCTGATGGGAACGTAAACTGGTATAACCACCAGGGAATACTGTGGCAGTTTCTTAAAAAGTTAACACACTTATCATACAACCCCCCCCCCCACCTAGGTATTTATTTACCCAAGAGAAGTGAAAGCATCTAGGTCAACACAAAGACGTGGGCATGAATGGTACAGCAGCCCCAAATGGGAAACAGTCTACATACTCATCTACTGGCAAATGGATCAACATCTGCGCAAGGGAACGCTACTCAGTAATAGAAAGGGATGAAGTAGTGATACGTGCAACAGCAGGGCTGGACCTCACAGGCGTTAGGCTAAGTGAGGGAAGCCGGCAACAAATAACACATGGCTTTTTTTTTTTCACTTAGCAATAAGCATTTAAGGCTCATCCATGTTTTTGTGCCTTTTTAGCTCATTTATTTTTATTTTTGTATGTCATCCCACTGTAGGCATAACAATTTCTTTAGCCATTCATCTATTGAAGGACATCTTTATTGCTTCCAGTTTCGGGGGGTTATGAATCAATCTCCTGTAATATTCACATCCAGGTTTTTGTGTAGACATAACTTGCAATCACCTCGGTAAGCGTCTAGGAGTATGACTGCTGTCTCACACGGTAAGACGACATTTAGCTTTGTCACCGGTCAGACTGTCTCCAGAATGTCCGGTAATTTCACGCTCCCGCCAGCGATGAACGGGAGTTGCTGTTGCCCCTCACTCTGTGGGCAGTGGGCAGTAGGCATGCTAGAGGTTATTTTGGATTTTAGCCTTACTAGTACGTAGTTGACAATTTAATTTGCTTTTTTTCTAATAGTAGATGATGTTGAGCATCTTTTCGTAGGCCTGACTGCCGTCCATGGGTCTTCTTTGGTGAAGTGTCTGCTCAGGTATTTTGACCATGAAATATTTTTTTGGTAATTGTTGAGTTTTAACAGTGTG